GACTAGCACACAAATGACGTCACACAATGAAGCTTGCTGATTGGGTAATGATTCAAACCACTGGACCTGCTGTGGTTTCTAGCAGTGCTACGGAGTCAGAGTCGGAGTCTGATGGAGTTGGCAGTTCTGGCCGGAATAGGAGTCCATTTTGGAAGACAGAGCGGGAGTGCGAGTCACTGAAAATCCGTTAGACACCGCATCCCTGGTTCCTAACACAAGTGACGTCAGAACAATTTATGTGATGATTTAGGTTCGAATACACGACAGCTTTCAAACATTTCATGACTCATGCTGGAATGTTCCTCAACAAATGACAACACACTTGAAGGTATCACAAGGGTATCAGATCCCTTTTAAGGAACATTTTTGTTTACACCTTTTGAAGTGTTGATGGTTTAGGGTGTTTGACACCCGAATGGATGTTGGTGTAGGACACCCATTAATGTGTCTTTCTGAATCCCATCATGGTGTGTTTAAAAGCGCGTTGCACTTGAAGGTTGTCATCGTGGTGTTGTACACCTCCATGATTCCCAAAACAACATTTTTGACACCAATCTGGGCGTTATATATGACACTGCAATGATGTCCGACACCCGTGAGACACCCCATGGGAATATTTTTCCTCATTTTTTTCACGCTGTTTTTGGTGTCAGATCCTTTTGCAAGTGTCAATGTGACACCTCTAGCAGTGTCGGACACTTTTAACATTCCGCTTCAATAAATGGCAACACCTGTGAAGGCATCATAAGGGTGTCAGATGCTTTTAAAAGAACATTTTTGACACCTTTTAGGGTGTTTGATACCTTATGTAGAGTGTTTGATACCCGGATGGGTGTGGGTGTCGGACACCTATTAAGGTGTCATGCTGAATCCCATTAAGGTATATCTAAACGCTCGCATGCGAACGAACACTTGAAAGGGTGTCATCGTGGTGTTGTACACCTTAATGATTCCCTAAACAGCATTTTTCAACACCAATCTGGGTGTTCGATGACACCTCCAATGGTGTCTGACACCCGTAAAACACCCCTGGGGAATAATTTTTTTTCTCAGTGATCACTTTATTCTGAGGATGCAGCAGTCTTCCAGTACGCTGATTATACTCAATTGTTGGTGAGTGGCCCTTTAAACGACCTTAGGGGACTCATCTCGCGCTTGGAAGCGTCACTGGCGTCTCTCGACCATTGGTTCAGTGCAAATGCTCTTAAAGTAGGGGAAGCCGGGGGAAGCCCGGGCGCGGGGGAAGCCCGGCCACCCCGTTTCCGGCTAAATTATTGACAATAAAATGCTCAACTGTTTGTCCTTTCAGCGTGGCAGCTAAGGTAACGCCAGCAAACAAGTTAAGGCTAACAAAAATTGCATATTGTTAAAGTTATAGCGCAAAAATGATATTTTAAGGGTTTTTAGCTAAAAAGTGAGATATGTTGCACTGTTAATGCTATACCATACAGTACTAATATTTATACGAATGTTATGTAAGGACCGTTTTAGTGTTTGTAGTGAGGGGTGACGAGGCAGGCTGGCTTAAGCATGACATTTTTTCGAATATCGCTGTTCTAAAATAAAAATTAGCACATTGGGGTAACCCCGGGCGAGTGGCCAAGCTTACCCCCAACCGAGAGCAATGCCTCTAAACCACTGTTTTCCATGAGATAATAGGTACTGAGCAGGTTTGGTTTACACCTAGATCAAATAAAAATTTCGAAAATAAACATGTTATCATAGACAAAGCCAGTCATGTCACTTAAGGTCAACTAGGGTCAAACTACGTTTTTGCAGATAACGCGACAGACAATGAAGCTAGAGCTTCAAAAATGGTGTCGTTGTGTTCTTCTTCATCAGCCGAGTCGAATGATATGCAATATGATGCATTAAAGTTAAAAGAAAAATAAATTTTAATGAATTTTGAAATACACATTTTTTGTCAATTTTGCATCACGATTTTCATCGACCTGTACTGTATAATGTGGTAGACGCTAGCTAAAATACCAGTAGTGACATAAACTCTAAGATGTCCAGAGCTAATCAGTACCTTACTATTTCAATTTCCGTTAATATTTGGAAGACACATAATGGTTTCATCAACTCGTTGTAAGGCGCTGGGGAGGTGGCCGGCGTTACCCCTATGCCGGGCTTACCCCAGAAAAATCAACACTTTTTTAAAACTCGATTTTCTCAACCTTATACTTATTCCACGAAACCGAATTTTTGGGAAAACACGGCCAATGAACTTAGCTAGCTAACAGGATATCAGCATTTTATACAGCACGTATGGTATGTAATAAAAAATGAAAAAGAGCTTACTATGCCGGGCTTCCCCCGGCTTCCCCTAAACACTGCTAAAACTCAGCTCATGGTTTTCGGCAGTCGGCAAAATTTGAGAAGCATACCTGCTTTCACCGTTTCTTTTCGCGACACCAAACTAGTGCCATGCAAGCAGGTGGGCAACCTGGGCGTTATCTTCGACGGCACCCTGTCCTGGGACGCGCATGTGTCCGAGCTCAGTCGCCGATGCACGGGTCTCCTAATTGGCCTCTCCCATGTCCGCCACTATCTCCCCGACGGTGTCACCAAGACACTAGTGGTGGCTCTCGTCATATCACGGATCCAGTACTGTCTCTCCGTATTTGGTAATGGTAGCCAAAAGAACTTCGATCGCATTCAGAAAATTCTTAACTTTGCCGCTAGAGTCATTTTCGGTCGCCGTAAATTTGATCATGTCTCCCATCTCCGGGACCAACTCGGCTGGATGGCACCTAAAACAATGGCTGAATACCATACCCTTATCACGGCGCACAAGGCCATCCAGAGAGGTGAACCCGAGGAGATCGCGACCCTATTTTCCAAAAATTCCCAAACACGAGCAAGGTCTACTCGCCAAGACCACCTTTTCCACTTACCGCGACCCCGACTAGAGACCGGAAAACGTAGATTCGCCTACCGTGCCGCGGCGCTCCTAAATACTCTCCCCCTCGAGCTAACGCAGTTGCCTCCAGCCAGATTTGCCCGTGCTGTAAAAAAGGGGCTTAAGCGTAGCCAGAGTAGCCATAGTAGCTAGCCTCATGACTCTTGGACTGTGAAAGGCAAACGAGTCTGTGTGTACATAGTTATGAACGCGGCTTCGTGCGGGTTACACCAAGTATGTGCGTGTTCGGCGTTCGCGTTGTGTATTTCGTATCCGTAAGTGTGTGCGTTTTCTTGTGTAGGTACCTATTTCTTGTGTTATCTTCAACCAGCTCGGACTCGGAGTGTAATCGCCACGCCGATTGTGGATTGCTCTTGATCGTCAATACATACATGCATACATACATGATACATCAGGGGGGTGACACGGCTATTCGCGCAATGTATTAATTTATGGGCCGCGCGGGGCCTCGCGATGACGCGGCTGGAGGCAAATGCTCAGCGCGCTAGGATACTTCTGGCGGGGCGGGGCGCTGAACGGTGTGCAATGAATGGGTTATGGTCGGGCAGACAGAGATGAGGTATTGAATTTGAATTGACATCAGCAATCGGGTGGGGAAGGAGAACGTTTCTAATCGAGCTTGGGATGGGGAAAGCCGAAAATATCGCGATCGGCTCATAGCTCAGACAGGGCCGGGTGCCGTACCATGTGTTGTATATTTAGGCTGGCAGACAGAGATGAGTTATTGGATTTAAATTCACCTTACCATCGGTTTCTGGTGGGGTTTGAAGACGTTTTTAGTCAAGCTCGGAGTGGGGCAACCCACTGGCGGATCCAGGGGAAGGCATTTGGGGCAAATGTCTTCCCCCACATTGGCAGCGCCCGAAATCGCTTTTCGAGAATCAGAGAAAACTTCACAACTTTTCAGAGGAAGTGTTGGTTAATCACACTGCACAGCAGTGCGCAAGGAATCGAAATCCGAGTTTTTTTTTAAATTAATTCCGAGAAACCTTTTTGGGGTAAGCCCCCGCAGTGTCCAAGACCGCTTCCTGGATCCGCCAGTTGTGAATAAGTCACGGTCGATACCGAGCTTCGGCGGGACCAGGCGCTGTATACGTTGTTCTTTCAATGAAGAGGTGGACAGACACCTAGCCCCACATCCTACTGCTATGCCCGTGCTTCTGTGGGTGAAGCACTAAAGCATCACGGAATCCCACAGGACCTGCGAGTCGACGAGGTGGCCGCTTTGGCCGCCGGGTACTGCAGCTCCCTGGAGTTGCCTGGGACCGATGGCAAAACAACAGCTCCGGCGGTGCCCCTATGGGCCGTAGTAATTAGTGAATTCCTGTAATGTAGAGATCATATCCTCAATAATCTCCATTACCATTCTATATTCCTAAACAGTATGACAGAACAATTATGCTTGCCTACGTTCAGGCATTACCTCTGATGGTCATACGCCCAGTACAACATGTGTTGTCTGTCAAACAACAATCGACGACGGGATCCCTTCTCATCATCTCTTAAGCCATCGGTTGTCAATTCACCCACCCCGTTTCCCTAAAAATAGACGGTCAGATTCGGCCTTTACGACCCCTCTAGATTCGCCAGAGACGGGATCAGATCGCCGTTATTGCACCCGTCGGCCGTCTTAGTGTCTTTAATACTATATGACAGCTTCGACCACGGACGTCGGACGGGGTGATCGTTCCACGAATGTACGCACCATTCAGGCCTAGGATGCATCGAGGTTTAAAAGATTGCAGTCTGTAAATCAATCAACATAACAATGGTGGTATGAAACCACATTAAAATATCTCCCCGGCTCCCGCAACGTTCCAACGCCCCTCCGTTATGCATTCGCCTTGTGTGTCCGCCGAGCCGGCTTGCCTCCAATGACGTCATCGGCCGGCCGGCGGCGTTCAAGGTCAAACGGCTGGTGTCCTTACCTGGTATATAGGGCCTTGGCATACATACACTTTTCGCTTAAAATGCTGCATATTGAAACAGTGCTGTAAAATAGTAGTAATCAAATAAAGTTTCGGCTCTGGCGCGACATCGACGATATCAGCGCAATCTTCTGTTTTGAAACTTGAACTGTGCGAGAGAGCAAGCGAGAGGAGAGGAGCATTTCAGTAGGCGGAACTATGGTCAAGCGTACCCATTTTCGGGAACGCATTTTCGTTCCCATGTTTGGGAACGATAAACCCAAATATGGGAACGCCATGTAGGCATTATTTAAAACAAGAAAAAGAAGTGTTAAAGGGACCCTCCCACCTTAACATTAGTTTTGAGTTGAGATAGCCAAGTTTGCGGCCAGGCTCAGAAACCACCATTTATCCTGGTCGCAACCCCCGCAGCTTTATGGTATTCAAGAAATTTCTTCCCTTTACTTGCAGGGTGGGACCAGCGCGTATATATCTTTCCCGAGCGAAAAAAACAAACATTCCAGTTTTTTGGCGCTTTTGTTTCAATTGTGGTGGTTCTGTTCGAAGGCTCATACAGATGGTGTTTGCGCAAAATTTCCAACGGAAAATCACCGACTATTTAGTGTCGACAGCTGCATATTAACTTTTTGAACACGCCTCCATCACTGCTTGTTTATTGGCTGTGTCTGTGGTATTGGGCTGTGTTGCTGTATCAGTATATACCGTGTGTTGGTGGGTGATTGTGATAATATTTTGATGATTAACCTTTTTATTCAGCGGTAGAGACCCACACGTTGACTCCATTATAAATATTGTCTCTTTATCATGAAACAGACTCAGAAACCTTGGCATGAATGCTCTCAGGCTCTCAAGAGAATGTTGAAATTCAGGTCTCAAAAGATTAAAATTACAATAATGAAATGTTTCACCTACCTTCCAAGCCATAAACACTCATACTGGTACTGGATGGAACTTAAAATAAAAAACAGGGGTGGATAATTAGGGGTTTGTAGCACCCCCTGGGATTTTCCACCAATGAAGTACCTATATGCTGCAGAGACCAGGGCCCTGTTTCACAGTTGATAGCAGCATGCTACTATCAAATTGCGCGAGCTGACGTAATGTGATGAGGTCACACTAATGTCGTTTCGTGTAATCCGTGAGCTGTGTTTGGAACAGAGTTGCTGTTTCGTTGAATGCTATGTGTTTGATCGCGCGGCCGTGAAGCTGTTGGCAGCAATATTTGATGACATCACACAGATTGACGGCGTCATGGTTTGCTGATGTTTCCATGGAAGCCCAATTTGACACGTGTGATAGCAGCGTGCTGCTATCACCGGTGAAACAGGGCCGAGAATAGCATGGTCTGTGTTGCACATATTGATGCTGAAGCTATACCTATCAAATGTCTTTCAGATAACCTACCGAGTGTTCACATTCATCATAAATGCAGTCATTCTCCGGTATGTTACATCTGATGTCCTGGGCATCATCAATGTCAGGTATGCACCCTTTACTTTTTTCCTTTCATGCATCAGTGATGCATCCAATGTCTGAGTTCCTAAGTAGAACATATGCTATTTTCTCACCAGAACTGTAGTGTGTACTCCATAAGAAAAATGCTAATTTTTCATATGTTTCTAGTTGAACAGAGTTTGTTCTTATTTTCTAGTTATTGTATAAAATGAAGTAATATACGGTTATCTTCATAAGCATGAACCGAATTACCTGTTCCTTTTGACTGACATTCAGTTCTTTTAAGTGTAGTTTTAAAGTAGGTAAATCAATTCTGTTCAAAGTTCTGAAGCCCTAGTCTGCTTCCCAGGCCGGCTCTACTCTACTCGACTGCCACCTTTGTCAGTGTGGAGGCTTTCCGTCGGGCGGCGCTGGGCGTGACAGAGAGCAGCAAGTGGCGCCAGGCCATCAACTTGGTGTGGCTCAGGTACATCGCTCCGGTCCGGACATCAGTTTAACTCGAAATGGTCACAGCTGTTGGGAGAAGCTGCATATCGGCAGTTCCCAGCAAGAACATCCCAAGTGTCAAATTTTCGAAACTGTGATTTTCATACCATTCGACTCAGCTCGACGAGCTGAGTCGAATGGTATAGAAATCTCAATTTCAAAAATTTGACACTTAGGATGTGCTTGCTGGGAACTGTCGATATAGGTACCTACTTCAAAAACAGGTGTTGTTGTGGAATGTGGACTGTGGAGGCAGTCAATGGGTAGCAGCTAATCGGCACAGTTCTGTTGAGTAGTAGTGGGTTTAAAAGGTCATTGCCTCGATAAATGACGTTTATTTCTTCAGATGTGGGATCGTCATAGGCACATAAGTATGTAATGTTTTATTGCCAGTGAATTGAGTGTATTACAAAAGAGCAGTGTTGTAATTGCCTCTGACTGACGCCCCGCTCCCCTGTTAGCGTGCCCGTGTCAGCGGCGGTGTCGGCGGCGCTGGCCGGCCTCTGGCTGCACGCGCTCAGCCAGCCGGCGCCCGAGGTGACCTCAGAGTACCGTCTGGGCGTGTGGGTCACCGCGGCCATGGTCGTACTGGAGACGGCCGCCCAGCCGCTGGTCATCCTGGCGCAGGCCATGCTCTTTGTCAAATTGAAGGTGAATGACGGCGGTGGGGTGACGCAGAGGAGAGGAACAGGGTGTCAGGGGAAAATATTTGAGGCGCGTCGGTTCCCCGATGACTCTGCTATATCAGTGAAATTATATCCGAAGCTCAAATCGCCTGCTGTGACAGTCGTTTGCGGATCGTCGATCGTTCACACCGCGTTGAAGTACTGTATTCTCCCTACCTTGCTGGCATATGTGGATTATCTCTGACTCTCTTATCGTCTTCTCGCCCCTCCCCATCTCCTCTCACCACTCTCTCACCCACCCGCTCTCCCTCTCTCCCAAGGTGGTAGCCGACATGGTCAGTCTGTGCAGTCGGGTGGCGCTCAAAGCCTGGCTGATCGCCCTGTACCCGTCCCACGCCATCTGGGCCTACTGTGTGGGCCACGCGGTCAGCTCCGCTCTCCTCGTGGTCATCTATTACGGCACCCTGCTCTGGCACGTCCGCTCACCGGATAACTGTCTACCGGTGAAGTCGGCGAGCGAGCTGGGACCCAGACTGGTGCCGGGACAGGTGAGGCCAGTGAACTATTTGTAAAGGGGCGGGGTTTCAAATGAAGTCAAGCGTTTTCGCGGTCATAGTGGTTTCTTTTGGCCAAGTCGTCGCATTCTTCGTTTCATTTAGCTAGAACTTTAGGTCTAAGGCCTCTTAGATTGCAGTCAAACGGTATTAAGACCTACCTGTGTTACAGACAGCTCTCGGCAGCGCTGGATCGAGTATCCTCAGAAATAGAGCCAAAGTTGTGCTGCCACGTTTTACCAGCAACCGCGTCTGCCTCTAACATTTCCTGTCGCGACGGTGGCGATGTGACCCTTGCTGCCATCTCTCTTCACTGATCAGTAATACCTCTCCTCCCCTCCCCGTCAGCCGGCGCTGGACCGTGACCAGCTGGCCCTCACCTGGAGCTTCTTCAAACAAGGCCTTCTGAAGCAGTTGCTGACGGAGGGCGAGCGCTACCTGATGACCGCCTTCCACCTGCTCGACTTCTCCGAGCAGGGCCTGTACGACGTGGTGGCCAACCTGGGCAGCCTGGCGGCCCGCTTCCTCTTTCAGCCAGTCGAGGAGAACGCCTACGTCTACTTCTCGCGCACAGTGGAACGGGGAAAGGTAGGTGGCAACGTGGCTGATTGTGTGGTAGGAGGTGTTTGATGTTAGTTTTTTGTTTGTTTGTTTTTTTACTGAGGAGTAGTGGCATTTGGTGAAAATATCAGTAACGTTGACCACAGTGTGTCGATGCCCGGTGAGGCGCCGAAAAAGCTGTAAGCACACACTCCTCTGATATTAGCCAATTATACTCGTAGCTACTCTTCATCTCCGCTATAAGTCCTTACTGCCAGTCGTTGTGATCTTCATCTTGGTGTCTTTTTTGTCATTCAGTTTGTTTTGTTGCCCAGCTTCTATCCTTCTGGCCATCTCTCCCCTTCTCGCCAGTCACTGGAAGGGGACAGTTTGGCACCTCTCTTCCAGCCGGTGCCTGACAGCTCCCTCCCCCTCCAGCCGGTGTCTGCGGTGGCGGGCCGGGTGCTACACGACCTACTCCGCGCTATGAGTCTGACCCTACTATTGGTGCCAATCGGAATTTCTTTTCTTGGAATTCCAATTTTTGTCCAATTCCAATTTGGAATTTGGACGGAATTCTTAACATTTTTTGGAAATTAATCGGAACACAAGGCCTTTAAAATTTAAAATTTTAAAACGGAGGCCTTTAAAACGCTTTTAAACACTTTTAAAATTTACGCAAAAAATGCAAAAATCGTTAAAAATTGGAATAGCCCCCGCTTTGGACAAAATTGGAAATTTACTTGGCAATTTCTTGGAATTGGATCGGAATTGGAATGGAAATTTCATGAAATTGGCACCACTAGACCCTACCCCCTCTCCCTGCAGCCGGTGCCTGCCGCGGCGGGCCGGGTTCTGCACGACCTGCTGCGCGCCATGAGCCTGCTCGGTCTGGTTGCCGTCACGTTCGGCTGGAGCTACTACCACCTGCTGCTGCGGCTGTACGGAGGCGCCCTGCTGACCGCCGGTCCGGCCGTCAGTCTGCTGCGCGCCCAGTGCGCCTACGTGCTCCTACTGGCGGTGAACGGAGTGCTGGAGTGCTACACGTTCGCGGTGATGCGCCAGGAACAGATCAATGGGTAAGTGCCGTGGAGGGTTTATGGAAAGCAGTCGGGAAATGGTCGGTGGCTTAGTAAGCAGTGAGGTAAATTAGTCGGTAGAGGCTGAGCGGATTAGGAAATGACGTTCTCATGTTGGTTTTTGTTGTTGTTAGACTGCCTTTTGCGGCTAAAGGCGAAGTGGAAAGGCTGGCCAGTCGTGTCGATAAAGTGAAGCTAGGAACGTTACTATCGGGCGCTTTGACAGGTGTTGTGGCGTTTTCCGGTGTTTCAGGTATAACCGGAAGATGGTGCTGCTATCTGTGATATTCGTCATCTCGACAGGGATCTTTACTAGGCTATTCGGCGGGGTTGGATTTATCCTCGCCAACTGCGTCAATATGCTGACCAGGATATACGTTTGGTGAGTTTTTGTGTTTTTGAATAGATTTGATTTGTCCTAATTGGTCTAATTATTTACATCATTATCCAATCTGTCATGGATAGTCAATATCACGCTTTATTCGCCGATCTCGATATACTTGGATCTCGTTACTTCACCCGTCCATCGACTGATACGAATGTCTGCTGTCCCCAATAGTGTCCTGTACCCCTCTCAATTCTCATCCCGTCCCCTCCCCGTATGCTGCTGGTTCCCGATACAGTGTCCCGTGCCACTCTCAACCATCATGTCTTCGTCCCATTTTCTGCTGCTGCTGCCCGCTCGCCCCGTCCAGTGTGTTGCTGGCGCTTGATGCAGTGTCCCGTACCTCTCTCACCCTGTCCCCGCCCCTTGTGTCGCCAGTTACCGGTTCGTGGCCGGTCTGCCGCTGGAGCCGGCGGTGTCCGTGCCGCCGCTGCTCGGTCTCCGCCCGCCGCCCGCCGTGGCTGCCGCGCTGGTGACCGCCGGCCTGCTGGCAGCCGGCTCCGAGAGCTGGCTGTACCCCAGCTCCGCCGCCGCCCATGTGGCTGTGGGCGCGCTCTGTGGGGCCGCCGTGGTGGCCGCGGCGGTGTACAGCGAGCCCCGCCTCCTCCAGGCGGTCAGGGAGCGGGTCGGGGATAAACTGAAGCGCAGCTAGGGGGGAGTGCTACTCACATGGTCACGCAGGGAATAGGGGTTGTTTTGTTGTGATATTTATGTGCATTTTGGGTTGAATATACACCGTGCCTGTCAGTAGAGTGGATCTATCAATTTTAAGACTGGTGCGACTGCAGGGGGCGTTGTGGCTATCGCCCATTTGAGAGCTGGACAGTGCTTGAAAGCAACTTCCTACCGATGAATTTTGGCATTCAGATCCTAATTATAGCCATTTGTGATGGACGATGGCGATGCAGGGGACGGCAGAGGAGGTGTGGGGATGGCACCTCCCTGGAGCTTATGGTAATCGCGGAATCCTATTACCGTTTACCACCACTGCACAGCCAAAGTGGTAAGACCGGAGAGACGCGATCAGGCCGGATTGCCAGTTGTCGATTCCTCTATCGTTGTGGAGGTCGCTTGCAAAGTGAGATGACTGCTTTTCGTAGAGGGCGGTAAAATCGTGGCCGGTTAGCGTCTGGTAGGGCTTGTAGAATAATGATGGGCACGACCGGGTGCTGTATGCTATATGTGGTGACAGCGGCGTTCCTGAGCGTAGGGTGCATCTCCTGCTCTGAAGTCCAGAAGTCCTTATCGTTCTTGTGCATTCACTTTGTCAGTGCCTGATGTCAGTGTCAGTGTTTGTCAGTGTTTCATTCTGTAGCAGACATGCAGTCATATTTGGTTAAATAGAACCTTGCAGTCTGAGGCAGTCTTTTCATTACAGTACCTCATTACAGCGTCTCATTCATTACAGTTCAATATTTAGAAATGCAAGACATTACATATTAGGGCCGATCGGGCATAGAAATACAAAACAACAGTATACGCTCGCTGGCTATTATTCTGAGACTCAGCATTGAACCTGCCATCACTACAATACAGGAGGCGACAGGTGTAGAGGTGATGTCATACTCATCAAGTTCTGCCGACTTGACCCACAAGTTGACTCCATCATAAATATTGTCTCTTTATCATGAAACAGACTCAGAAACCTTGGCATGAATGCTCTCAGGCTCTCAAGAGAATGTTGAAATTCAGGTCTCAAAAGATTAAAATTACAATAATGAAATGTTTCACCTACCTTCCATCGCCAAAAACACTCATACTGGTACTGGATGGAACTTAAAATAAAAAACAGGGGTGGATAATTAGGGGTTTGTAGCACCCCCAGGGATTTTCAGAATTCTCTACCGCTGAATAAAAAGGTTAATCATCAAAATATTATCACAATCACCCAGCAACACACGGTATATACAGCAACACAGCCCAATGCCAGAGAGCCAATAAACAAGCAGTGATGGAGGCGTGTTCAAAAAGTTAATATGCAGCTGTCGACACTAAATAGTCGGTGATTTTCCGTTAGAAATTTTGCGCAAACACCATCTGTATGGGCCTTCGAACAGAGCCACCAAAATTGAAACAAAAGCGCCAAAAAATTGGAATGTTTGCTTTTTTCGCTCGGGAAAGATATATACGCGGGACCAGCTTGGTCCCTATCTCTTAACCATTACGGGAATCTGATGACGTCATCAGGCTTTCGAACGTCCGTCATTAAGTTTGACTAAAACGTTTTGTAGCACGCGGTGGTATATGCTATTTGCGCGCAACATCTGCCGCAAACGCCGCACTTCTAAAATAAAGTCGCTAGAAACAGCGGAGATCCCAAAAAGTAAACAAAAGTAAAAGTCTAATATCTTGAAAACCGGTGAATATTTTTCGGTGAAATTTGGTAGATATTCGTTTTCGCTCTTTCTGAACCGAGCGACATCACTTTCATGCCAATTCATAAACTTTTTTGAAGGTGGGAGGGTCCCTTTAAATGACGTCCAAAAAATATAAAACGATCGTGAACCGCCTGATAGTTGTCTCAATATTGTTGGGAAAGAGTTTGATATTGTAAGGCCCATCGTAGTTTCAAATCGTTCCCCTATTTCTAAAGCAGTCCATCACCCGGGCCGCGAGCCCAAATTTGGGAACGCTCTCGTACACTGGCGCTGCAAGCGTTCCTTATTATGGGAACGGCGTACCCAAAATTGGGAACGATTTCACCGACGCCTTTCAGGGGCTCTTTTCATTAACAAGCATCACGTCCAACGCCGCAAATTATTGTTAACGCAACAATCCTCAGATGACCTTTCCGGCAAGACCGTTGCATGTTTCGCCCGGTCTTCTGCGCTTTTATTCCCGTCGATCTCGCAGCGGGCACGCCCCCCTCTGCAGGATTACGTAATCCACAACGCTCAGCGATGTTCAACAAGGTCTTCCATACCTATATCCACCGTCCGCGCCGAGGGTGGAGACATGTCAAGCACCTGTCTGCTAATCACAGAGAGTTGACGAGCACAAGAAGTATCCAAAAATGGGAACGCTGAATATGTTACACCCTCAAAACACCTAGTCCCAATGAAAATCTAGTTTTTTCCTTTCTTAATGAGTGTAAGTGGCAAAAGGCCTGGTAGGATGGGCACGAGGTATGATCGAAATCAGCATAAAAATTATAAATAAGCCACACAGAGCGACCTATATCAGAGAAATTCCCCCCAAACGATCATGCTTAGAAACGCCGAAGACAAAAACCACGCTCATGACGCTGCTTATAAAACAACGCTAAACAGCTAGCATCCAAATAAAATATGTCTTTCAGGGCTGATAAAATACAGCTGAATGATTTTAAACCACTGAAACTGAGTTTACAACAGTAGTTCGGTAAAATCACTGACGTTCCACGCGGTCGATCGCCCCGACACCAAAAGTCAACAATATTACCTCGGGACTGTCCGCGTGTTCGCTTGCATATGTCAGCATCTGGTGTCGCTAGAATGAAATTTCATAACCAGGCGAAAATTATTATACTTGACCTCAAAATGTAAAAAATGCTTCATTTTCCTTAAAATTGCATGTTAAATGTCGTATAACCCATATTTCCACCATTCTGTCATTTTTAAAAAATCATTAAAAATATCATTCCACGGTCAATTTCCTTGTTCCACGGTCAGATTAAAGATAACTTTATGGAGATTTAGTAGATACTTAAATCAGCGTGCACTTTTTTGAGACGTGATGCACTTTTGAGTTTTAGTGGGCGAACGGCCGAAAAATTGCCTTCCGTTCTCATAAATGGGAACGCCCGTTCCCATATTTGGGAACTCCGTTCCCAAAAATGGGAACGTTCCTATATTTGGGTACTCATGACCATAGTTCCGCCTACTGATTTATTGACTTGACTTCGGACGCTCTTTACCGTTTTTACTTCTTATCGGTCAGAGGAATTGTGTTTTCTTTGTTATTACTACTCTATAACATAACACCTCAGTCATGAGTTTGTTCGATCATATCAAACGCATGTACGAGCAAGAGCTTTACTCGAATGTTGTTCAGCTGGTAAGTGAAAGTGAAGTGGAAAGTGAAAAGTCATGTCAATGTTGATGTTGATGTTGATTTTAAAAATTGATGTTCTCAATTAGTTCAAACAGGTAGTTCTAACTTAACATTTCAATTAATAAACTAAGCCCTGAATAGCTCATACGTTAAGCGACTCATAGATCCGTAGATCCATTTTGGGCTTTTATCAGTGAAGATTGTACTATGCACCCTTTGGTCAAAACGGAATAAAAATCATGTGTTAAAAGACATAAATGGATTTAGAAAGTTGTTCATATAATCACTTACCACTCATAAAAGCAGATACACTACCTATAAGGGGGCAAGGGGCAATGCCAAAACCTAACCTAGCTCAACTCAACTGTACTAGACATTGCATAGACATGGTTGAGTGTACTGTGTAACTTATTAATATTTGTTGTAAGAAATATTGTAAGTATCAATGAGCTGTCACCTTTCAATCTCAGATGGATGTGTTCTTTCTTCCTATGTCTTTCCCATCTGCTATGATGTGTTTAATTTGAGAATTCCTGCACTTCTTAGAGGTTGCCAAATGCCAAATGCTTAAGGCCAGTATGGACCTTATATCTATTTGTAAAGGTTTTGAAAGTGAAGTTGCGGAGTCTGAGTTGGAGTCTGAGTCAGCAGTTCTACCTGGAGTCAGAGTCAGAGTTGGTTTTGTGTAGTCAGAGTCACTGAAAATTCATCGACTCCACGCTTTGCAGGCCTGGTCAGAATTATCATTGTCAGCCCATCATGAGGATAACATCTGGCCAGAGAAAGGTCATTAGTCATGTCTACCAGTACCAGCCCAAAATGACCTATTAGGACATATGATTATTACTACATTCATAAATCTTATATGCTGGGAAAACTTTCTAAGATTCTAAGGAAGATTCTAAGTGCCTAAGTACATGTTGACTATCTAAGGAGAATAAATTATTTGGGGCCTGCCTAGGACCAGAAAAAAACAATGTTTTATTTCCAACAATGTCTTGTATTCATGGGCTTAACCAAAAAGTTCTTAATTAAGGTAAAAATGTTTATTTGATCTTGGGAGGTGACATTTATTGTGCATATTTAATGTTTATCATTCAATGACCTTATTTGCTTTTGTATAGTCAAGTATTATTCATGTAACTCGTCCTAGAAAATTCAGAAGTATACCACTTTTTCCAGGTGTGCCTGGCACTGCCTTCCTCCCTGATTGATCAGGGTGAAGGTCTCTCCCCTCTACACAAGTACCAAACACTAGTGTACTCTGCAAACTCATTCTTCCATTTGCGCGACATCAAACGAGCAGAAGCATTCTACAAAAAGGCACTGCAGTACCGCAAGTCACTGGCCAAAGTTAAAGGAAAACAGCTAGACTTTCCCAGAGACTGCACTTCAGAAATAGGTGGGTAATCAAATTTTCCACTTCTTGTTGATCCGAATTTGGAAATAACACAGACATGTTTGTGTTATGCTCATTTTATACTAGGCTTTGTCTGTCTCATTTAGTGGGTGTGCCATGTTCCCAGACGTCAAGTTCCAGTTGCACCTGTGCTATGTGCACCACAAACAGTTCGGCCAGGCCACCGGCATCCTGGAGTCGATCCCGGCCAAACAGCGCACAGTCAAGGTGAACATGGCGCTGGGTCGGCTGTACCAGCTGTGCGGCACCGAGCGGCCCGCCATCACCGCCTACAAGGAGGTGCTGCGCGAGTGTCCGCTGGCCATGGAGGCCGCCCAGGCGCTCCTCCAGATGGGCGTCAAGGGCACGGAGGTGGCCTGCCTCATGGTCAACGGCACCAGCAACGTGCCCAACATGGAATGGTCAGTCGACGTCCAAAGCTGCGCTTTTATGTGTACACTCAGATAGTCCAGTGCGAATGTTCCCTGCTCATGTTTTAACTTCACCGATGCGTGATAATCTGACATATTTCTTTCGGTTTGCGAGTTCAGGTGCTAATAACACCTGTGCACTCAACTGGCGTTAAGTCTGGGTGTCGAAATTATCGCAGTTGTGTTCTGAAGCTGTTGACCTGGGCCGCTCCGGCAGGGTGTCGCTGTGGCTGCGCGCGCACGCGCACCTCAGTGCCCAGGAGTACGTGCAGTGCGCGCACACCCTGAAACAGCTGGACGAGCGCTCGCCGCTGCACGACAACGCTCAGATGCTGGTGACGCTGGGGCGCGCGTTCTACTGCGGCGGCGACCAGCGGAACGCGGCCACCACGCTGCAGCGCGTCCGGCTGCTGGAGCCGCTGCTCTGCGACGGCATGGACTTGCTGGCCGACATCCTGCACCACGAGCGCAAGGCCAAGGAGCTCGAGGCGCTGGCCACGCAGCTGATGTCCGTGGGCGCCGACGTGCATCCGGAGCCCTGGATCGCCATGGCCTACCACACGCTGCTCGGAAAGCGGCCGCAGCGGGCGCTCTACTTTGCGCACAAGGTGAGAAGAGTGCTCCGATCGAGAGTCGGAGTGAGGTAGGAGCAGGCGAATTGGAGGGAGATATACTTTTAATGACAAGTATGAAACTGCTTCTCTGAGAGTTTCCGTCTTTTTTAGTCCAGCAAAAAGCACATTCGATAATGTCATTTGGCCCTCCAAACATGCTGCTGATCGATCGAGGGTAGTACACTGACTGATCCCTGATATTGTCGTCCGAGTACCAAATTACTTTCGTCGACCAATCATCCCGTCTGGCCCTACAGGCGTCGCTGCTGGCGCCGCGCAGCGTCGAGGCGCTCGTGCTCAAGGGGAACCTGCTGCTGGAGCTGAAGAAGACGCAGGAGGCGGTGGTGCACTTCCGCGAGGCAATGCAGATCGCCTCTTACCGCTACGAGCCGGTGCACGGCCTGGTGCAGTGCTACGTGCTGCTCAACCGGTGCAAAGAGGCCATCGCGCTGGCTAACAGCGCCTGCAAGGAGATGGGCTTCACGGCGCGCGCACTCACGGTAAGGGAGATGTTTAATGGGATGGAGACTAGACCGATGCCTCGTTGAGCGAATCCGTATCGTATGAGGGTGAGGACTGAGGATGCTGATGTTGTGTTTCAGCTTTACGCTAGTGTGATGGTAAAGGAGCCGCTGTACCTGAGCAGAGTCCGCTCCTGTCTGGAGAAAGCCCTGGACAAGGACCCCAGCTACCTACCTGCCGCGTACCTTCTGGCGGAAATTTACGAAAAGGTGAGAGCGACAATTTTTGTTGTGTCAAATCGATTTGCCTTCTACGTGTCTCTGCTGCATCTTTTTCAGACTGTTACATCTATTGCATTACGTGTACAGTACTGGTGCTCATTTTCGGTTACCACATGATTCTACATAGACATAGCTTGCCCGCAATTTTGTTTTCGTTTCACTACCGACATCACGTCCGCTCACGCGGCTATCGTTTCATGACGTGTTGTCTGACTCGCTCCTCCCCCTCTTCCCCGCTCGGCGTGTAGAGCAACCTGCCGGAGCTGGCGATCGAGCTGCTGCGCCGCCAGGTGGCCACACACTCCACGTGCCGACTGCACCTGGCGCTGGCCGACCTGCTCGTCAGGGACCACGACGAGGCCAGCGCCCTGCACCACTACCAGATCGCGCTCAAGTGAGTCCGCCTACTGGTCATACGTGGTGTACATATATCTAACAGCATTTGGTGATATCAAGAACAAACTATATTTCATGGCAACCACATATCAGCTTCTTAAACGTAGTTTTTCCAGCTGAACCTCAAATAATGTTAAGTTCATTAAAAAATTCAATAACATAAAATAAGGTGGCTTTTGATAGTCGCACATTTTAAACCCGCTGGTCCGTGCCGTCCCTGGCCGTTGGTCGTACCCTCCCTGACCGTCGGTCGTCCCTGCGCGTGCCCCTCAGCCTGGATCCGACCAGCGAGCGGGCGCTGCGCTCCCTGCGGAGACTGGAGCAGGGCCCCGACCAGCCGGAGCGCTCGTACGAACTCGATCCGGACGAGGTAGCCGAGTCGGAGAATGACGAGGCCGTGGAGGACACGGACAGCGACCTCGGACAGAACTGGACAGAGATGGACATGACGTTCAGCTCGCAATAGCACAGCGCAATGCCGGCGAGGTAGGGTACAATTGGGGCAGCGGACGGGTGACTTTGAACAGGGTCCGGCTGATTTGGGCGGGACGGTATCCTGTGAGGTGATGTGACGTGAGGTTCTTCTGACGGTGACGTGAGTGAATCAGATGGTCGGACGGAAGTGAATGAAGCGAAGTGGAGGTGGACGATGAACATGACTTCGCGTCGACCTGATAAAGCCATATGATATTGCTTATATGTAAGTACGACACTCATCGTCTCCTGTGGCCCGTTATTACCTTTTTTCAACGGAAGAAACTGGGAGATTGATGCTTATCTCAAAGCACATCATCATCAGATTCTTGTATATGTTGTTTATATTATGTGCGTGGTAGTTGGTGGGTCAGCAGTGGTGTCGCTGGACCGCAACGGCCGGACCCGGGGCAGAAGTGCTCGTACCGTAGCTCTTCCTTCCAGAGGCTTTTCTAGCTCACTGCATCGTTGTTGGAATGTTCTGTGTCATTTAAGTGATGCGGAAGGGAATTTCTGGTTAATTACACCACCATAATCATTGTACGAGATGAACATTGTTTGTCAGCTTTTCCGATGCGTCTACGTGGGCATTTGCTTTGTGCTTGCTAGGTCGGTGGTCGTCCTGTTTTGCGATTGATAAATAAACGTGCTCATATTAAGTTGTGCTTAGTGATAGAAATTGGAATATGTACCAAGACACCAAGAGCCCTTCGGTATTTTTATCACCACTTTCTAAAGTATCCGCTGACTAGTACTTCGTTGTGACAGTTGAAGCACAGTATCGCTGCTCTCCTCCCGTTCACAGTGCGTTCCGCGGCCGCCTTTCTCCGACTCGGTCGTCACGGCGGCCGGCCCTCGGCGCCGTACAGCTCGTATTTTTCGAGTGGCAGGCGGGCCGTGTGCTCCTCGAGCAGCTCTTCCGCGGCCTCGATGTGCTTGTCCACCAGTCGGCGCAGCTCCGGCTCCCGGAACGCGAACTCGACTGCCACGGCGGCGTCGAGGCCGCGCCGCGTCGGACCGTCGCCGTGCGCACTCAGACAGTCGAGTCGCGCCCGATCCGGCGCCGACAGCTCGAGGAACTCGAGCACGGCCAGCAGGGCGGCCTCTGGGTTCGCCTGACGACAGACGGCCGCCGGTCAGAGGAACGAGCCCGGATGGGTTAGCTAATTGTGGGTGTCTCAACTGGCCGCTATGAACGGAGGGGAAGGGTGATTTACTCTGACAGGTCCTCATGTCCTCATGTGGACCTGTCATTACAGGCACCTGAGGACTCCGTTTCCAAGAATACCCTGCAGCTCCACGAGTCCTGCCTGCAGTCCCACAATCCCCACCTGTGCCTTGGCAATCCCAACCTGAAGCTGGACAAGCGCACCTGCAGCCCAACGAGCCTCACGTCACGTGCAGCTCAGCAAGCCCCACCTGCAGCTCCTCGTAGTGGACCACGTGCACCCGCTCAGAGATGCCTAGCGTCAGCTGCACCTTGAAGAGCCACTGCTGCAGCTGCAGCCGGACAAACTGGTGCCAGCGCGTGCCGCGCACCAGCCGGGACGGCGGCAGGTCGTCCCGGTGGCCGGCCTCGAGTCCGCGCGCGTGCACCAGCGCCCGGTACGGGTTCCTCAGCAGCAGCACCACCTGCCGACCGCGGGGAGACAGAGGGGCAGATGACTTCACACAGAGATAGAGACTGCACGCGGAATGATACTGGGACCGTGACTTGATTGATGACGCTAGATGCCCTTGCACTGATAGGTTGTTTATGATCCATGCAATGTGTAAAATCGGGTATTCTATATCATGCGTCGACGTCTATAGAATCGATCGACACTTCCTGTGTTGTGTTGTGCATGTGGCTATGCAGTATGTTGCCCTGTTTGATCTTGGCTAGAGGATCAGCTCACCTTTGGCACTTTAAATTCGAGGGCGAGTGGGACGTCGTCAGTGTGCCCGTGCTGATCGCCGACGTACGGTCCGCGGTGGGTCTGCTGCACGAGGGTGCTGCCGTCTGTCTCCGGCGCCAGCTCTCCCAGCAGACCTGCGGGCCGGTGCACCCGACGGGGGGAGGAGGGGTTACGGCGGTTACCCAACCGACCGACCCGAGCAGTAGGTACACAACTCCACAGCCGGTATCTGTTTCGACTGTCCCCCAGTAACCCGCTATCAAATTGTACGCAGTGATACAGAAGATAAATACTACATTGGATTGACATCTGGATTGGACTGAATTGAAAGATGGAATGGCTACGGTTGTGAGCTGAAGAAGAATACGATACGTGGTTAGGCATACCTTTATCGTAGAGCTCGGTGAAGTGGTGGACACTGCCGGTGAATATTCCGGTGGAGCCTTCTATGAGGTATCGCAGCCACGTCGCTCCGCTGCCGGGGAGAGACAGTAGGGCCACTGGGGGCAGCTCCTTCTCACGGGAAAATCTGAAACAAGCCGAACAAATGTCTGTTTGAAGTATATTTATAAAAACTATCGATACAAGTAGGCATCTGAAAATATCTTATTCAGGAGTAGAAGACTACGCGAACTGCGGCATGCTTGTCATACAGTTCTTTACTAGTCCTTCCTATGCTGATGCTGATGCTGATGGTGACATTGGGATATCGACTTTTACCTATCGCTTTTATCCCGCAGCCGCGGGATAATAGCGATATGCTATTATGTCCCCGCGCGCGGGGACATAATAGCTATTGCCTGAAGTCACCGCTACCGCTTAATTGTGCTGAAATGAGACAATGTAGCGTGCAATGCTTTTTGGTGAAGAAATCAAACTCATACCAGTGCAGTCAGGAGTCGATTCTCGTCAAGATAACTTTGAACCTTGTCGCTAGATGTCACTAGTGAAAAACGCCTGAACGTAGACTGTGCCGCATGGCTCCCGCGCGGAGGCTCTGCAAGCCTTAGTTTAAAAAAGACCACTAGATGGCATTAGCGGTAAACGCCTGAAGGTAGTCTGTACCGCATAGCACCTGAAGGGAAAACCTTCCGTTCGTAGATCGTAGTGAGCCTTGAGGAGAAAGAAAGCAATCTTGTGTGAAAGTAAAGTAATTTTGCCGTGAAGCAGAGGCTAGTACAAGGCCATATGACTCGAAGTCCAATGCTATATAAGTATATAACCAGGCATATATGATATCCAAGGCTAGTCGGGTCCACAAAGATCTTGTCACTATCTTCACCTAAGGCTAGTCGTTGTCTGACTGGTAAGTCAAGTGAACAAGACTGCACTTGATTCGAAGGACGGCCAAAGGCACATATGACGCACCTAATGATTCTGAGTCCTTGATATCCTTTTTAGGAAAGCCATCTTTCTTATAGCAAAGATTCCGTTATATGCATTCTCAATAGGTACTGGCTTATCATATGGCTAGATATGCGTACCTATATCACAGCCACTCTACAATGAATTGCGCTCTACACCGTGAATGACCTCGCCCGGCTCTGCACACCGAAAATCGCGTGCTCGTTACCTGGTAACAAAATTGCGGCAGTCGGGATCGCTCGGCCAGGGCACGTGCGCCGGTGCAGAGTCGTTGAACCTGACCGGCTCGTCGCGAAACAGCACCGTCCGCTGGAGCCGCGCCGGCGCCGCCAGCTCCGGGCTGAGGCCGGCCAGCCAGGTGGTGTAGGAGGGCGCGGCGGGCCGGACCGGCCCTACACGGACTCTCACTGGGCGACTGCTGCCGGAGTGCAGCAGCAGCGCCGTGGTCAGCACCAGCAGCACCAGCAGCGGCATCAGGCGCAGCAGCACGCCCGGCAGCCGCAACCGGCGGCCGCGGCTGATCCTGCGCTCCAGCACAGCCGGCATCAGCCGAGAGTGAGGGGGCAGCAGCAGATGCTCGTCGTCAGCGAACCGGACCGTCTTCTTACGGAGAAACGGCGCTATTTCGGCAGCTTTCAGCATCACGAGCCTGGTCCTGGAGTCCAGCCACGCCGGCTTTTGCTTGACCGTTTGGCCAGAGAACTTCCGTGTTCTGCCTTAGTTAGGCCACCCAATGCCCGTTATTCCACTAAATTAGCTGTGTTGAGCATTGAGCTACACTTGTACTGGAAGTTCTCAAAGCTCGGACCCAAGTCCCACTAGGTACCTATATGCGTGCCGCGCGGGGGCTGTGTGTTGTGTTTGTGTACGGTCTGAGTATCCAGGCTACGCTTTATACTATCGACCGAACTCCAGCCGGCCTTCTGGAATCTGGGCCACTACTAAACGGTGCCGGGGTCGCGGGACGACCAGGTAATACGGTTCACTGCTCATCGCTACTTCGGTCACTACTGCCTGTAAGCACCTTGCATGGAAAATGGATTTTTTTTCGTATTTGGAGCGATGTGAACTTGTGGACGTTTTCGGTGAAAAACGCGAATATGAGTAGGTACGTACCTACCTAGGTAACAATATAGCCCCGTTTACATAGGGATTGTTGCACGCTTATCGCTGTACCCGTTATGTTGCAAAAGATGCCAATGGTGCTTTATAATTTACAAACTTATCCCCTCTTAATATGCAAACATAAATGCATCGAAATTATCGAAAAATAAATGAGCTAGCCTAGCCTCTGTAAGCGCCACTAATTTTGTAAGGGAATACTTCGTTCATCGTTAACATTTGGCAGCAACAGAGAAATACAAAAACGGTTACAATGTTTCCAACTCTTATGTTCATTGATACGCAATTCATGATGACGGACAGGCAATTGAAAAAGTCGACAAATCAATGAAATAATTTTTGCATGTTTGTGCACATGTTTGTGGGAATGCTTGAAAAAGAACAGTACGATTAGTATCGCCTTGGATGGCCTCGATTTATCCGCGGTTTCAAATCAAAATTTTATGGTGATCAGTGATGGGCCAAGGCGGTTGTTAGCGGGCGTCTAAGTTGAAATTAATTTTTTACCTTTTGAGCTTCTTGCTCTGAAGATATAAATCCTGTCATTTGTGCCAATGAGCATCTCAATTTAACGTCACTGTATGAGATCTGATTGTCTACATCAGTGAAAAGGTAGTAAGTAGTAGGTACTAGGTAAGTTTCATTTTGTTTATTCTCTTCAATTCAACTTGAACTCATTTACTTCATTGATCGCATTCTGATTCTATAATTTTGCTATAACTTCTAGTAATTTGACATATTTTGTTTCAAACTGACATGTTCAAACTCTCTAGTTGGGTTTCCTCGCTTAGCAACCTGGCGGATGAGGAGTGGGATGGGATGAGATGGAAACAGTGTCTGAAAGGTTCAGTTGTCACTGGTTCAGTTGTCCTGAGGGGTGTTCACGGGCACCGCACACTGCTGCGTGCGGTGTGTGCGGTGCGTCCAGCAGGCGTGGGGGTAGGGGATGGGTAGGTGGCTCTGACGTCACGGCTGCGTGCGGTGGACGGTTCGCTGTGGCCAGTCCCGACCGGCCACAGCGATCGCTGTGTGCGGTGACGGAAGGCTGACGTAGGGACGCGGTGGGCGGAGCTTGGAGGCTGTGTGCGGTCCGACCGCACACAGGGCCCGTGAACAGCCCTCTGGTTCAGTTGTCACTGGTTCAGTTGTCATGGAACCACTTGATTTTGGCATTTTAACATTAGCCCTATCACTATGGGCATTGCATGGAAAGAATGGGACCAAAAGTCGGCAGTGCCCTCCTCCGGTTCCATGACAACTGAACCAGTGACAACTGAACCAGGACAACTGAACCAGTGACAACTGAACCAGGGACAACTGAACCAGTGACAGCTGAACCAGGGACAACTGAGCCAGTGACAACTGAACCAGTGACAACTGAACCAGTGACAACTGAACCAGTGACAACTGAACCAGTGACAACTGAACCAGTGACAACTGAACCAGTGACAACTGAACCAGTGACAACTGAACCAGTGACAACTGAACCAGTGACAACTGAACCAGTGGACAACTAAACCAGTGACAACTGAACCAGTGACAACTGAACCACTAACCAGTAGCCCAGCAAGCAATTTTACTCTGGGCCTAAGCAGGCTGAAGTGCGGCTTGCCCGAGATTTTTAGTCGGGCCAAAGTCGGCTAGCGCTTGGACTAAAGTCGGCAAGCGCTTGGGCTAAAGACTAAAGTCGGCGTATGACACAAAAACGCCGACTAAAGCCCATTCTCTGCCGGAGGTATATGCCCTCTCGGCGAGCTCTGGACAGCCGTTGTTTAGCCCTAGTTGTGCGACGTTTGGCGTAAGCCCGATGTAAGCCCGAGCAGTGAATCCATTCATATACCGGAGATTCCTCTGGGCCCAGGCCGACTGAACTCTGCCAAGCCCACGTTGCGTGCCCTGTCTGTCCCGAGTTAGGCCATCAAAGTGAATATTATTTATACGTTGCTAACTATTCGGGCGTCCCAGGTGGGCGTAACGGTTACCATACCAGTTCGCGACCACCAGGCTCTGTCAGCCCTGTCAGCCGTCGTACGGCTCTCGGACGGACACTCTAATAGATCGGACACAGATCAATTGGCAGACCGGCAGATTGGCACAGACCGTCCGTCCAGCCACGCGCTACCTTATACCTATACAGCGCAGTACGACATAAGTTGTCCACTGGTTCAGTTGTCCACTGGTTCAGTCGTCCACTGGTTCACTTGCCATACTGGTTCAGTTGTCACTGGTTCAGTTGTCCACTGGTTCAGTTGTCACTGGTTCAGTTGTCACTGGTTCAGTTGTCATACTGGTTCAGTTGTCACTGGTTCAGTTGTCACCAGTGACAACTGAACTGGCTCAGTTGTCACTGGTTCAGTTGTCACTGGTTCAGTTGTCCACTGGTTCAGTTGTCAACTGGTTCAGTTGTCCACTGGTTCAGTTGTCACTGGTTCAGCTGTCCCTGGTTCAGTTGTCACTGGTTCAGTTGTCCCTGGTTCAGTTGTCGCTGGTTCAGTTGTCACTGGTTCAGTTGTCACTGGCTCAGTTGTGACTGGTTCAGTTGTCCCTGGTTCAGTTTTACTGGTTCAGTTGTCCCTGGTTCAGTTGTCACTGGTTCAGTTGTCTGCCTACCAATCAAGTATATGAAGGGTCACCAAGGGTCACAATGTGAGCCAAACTATACCTACTAGGGTCGTGTGATAAATGTTTTATGGCCAATTTTACATTTGAAATTCAATGGTGTGGGTTAGACGACCATTGGGGCCGGTTTAGGTTATGTATTTATAGAGGTCAGGCCAAGGTCAGGTAAAAAAAGTCAACAAAGTTGATGTTTTATATTAAAAAAGCATTTATTCAATGCAGCTTATCACGGGGAATGCAATGGTGGTCTTCGTTTTACTCTACGTGGGCTATAACGGCTTAAATTTGAGTTAGAAATTTTACATAATAGATTTTTACCAGTTTTTTTCGCCATATCTTTGCCAAATATGAAGCTATCGAGCTCAAATTTGGCATGTCAATAGCAGACCAATAGTTCTATTAACGTTCTGAGGGTCAAAATCAAAATTTAAAAAGATCTGTGATAGCGTTTTGTAGCCCTGTTTATTCAGCACCTTTTTGATTCAAAACATTGTCTCTATCTTCAAAACTGCAGGCGTGACAGCTCTTCCCCTAAAACCTTTTTTGTCAAAAATGGCGGGACAGACGTCACTCTGACGTCATTTGAGGCCATTATATCATAGTCTTTGGGAAAAGTTTTGGTCACAAGTTGTAAATTCATGCTCGGAAGGGTCCTGAAAGTTTGGTAGCGATATCTGCGTTACTTAAGGAGATATCGACTGAAAAGAAAAGGGGGATGTTTCGCCCGCCCCCCTTCCAGCAGGGCGCGGGCTAAGATTGATCCCGTGTTTGATGGCGTTCCGAAGATTTTAGTATCATCTGCGAACTGCGAGGACTTTGATGGAGTTCTGCATGGACTTCGGCAAGTCGTGAATAAAGTGTTGAACAACATTGGTTGTTGATTTTGTATCCTGATTATTTTATATCTTGTTTGGATTAAAGGACTTGCAAGCATTTTACTTTTTCACGGGAAGAAAGCAAATTCCACTTCCCAGCCCCCTCGATGCTAATCTAGCCCATACTTGACCCTATTAGCACGCGTCACCTGCCTGATAAACCAACAGATGCTGACTATAATAGGGAACATGCCTAAACATTGGGAACAGGAATTATGAAATGCATCCACATTCCTCAGTTAGTGCTCTGTAGCTTTTACTTCTTGAGTGGACACTGCTGAGCAGGGCTGTGAAGTCGGACTTGGGGTCGGTCGGAGTCGACATTTTTGATCGGAGTTGGAGTCGGAGTCAACTTTGGAAGTCAAAGTCAGAGCCTCCGAAAATCCATTGACTTCGCAACCCTGCTGCTGAGTGCTGGGCATAATGGACGTTAGAAGTGTCTCGGACTCTCGACTCTATTTCTGGAATCAGCATCTTACTTTTTCAGTAGGTATTACACATCAACAGGGCATAGGCTTAAGGCTTGACTGACCAGTAGCCTTCATGGCTTCATGCTTTCCCATTCATTCCCCATTCATCAGGCATCATCCTTATGGCGCTTTTGCATCCACACTAATGCTTTCTATTTATATTCCGTTTCAGACATGTCTCAACCAATGGACAAGGATATGTCAGATTCAGAAATGGACAGGATTCTCGAAGGTGAGCTACAAACAATGTGTGTCATTGCCCTTATAGTGATTTTTTTTTCCAAGATAGTAATCAATGTTTTATTTTGGGGGGGGGGGGGGGCTTTTCAAATTGATAACAGCCCTCGCATCGGGTTAAAGGTATTGGAGAGATAGCTAAGCAAAAATATCTGACTTGAAATCACTGATGCTAAAATCCTAGATTAAGTTTAATGCTTCCTATCACGCTTATCGATCACTGAATGTTTCAATCAGTGTAGCTATAACGAGCATTTATTTTTTAAAGATTGGGTTACTTGACGGGGCTTGGTGACATGACATTGAATGACTTGGGTCTTAAGTTTTTACAGTAAAAGCAGAAAAGGTGTGTGATAAGGTTTGCAAAGCAAGGGCGTTCCTGCATGCCGAAGGTTTTTTTTTTAGATGTTTGCGAAAATTATTGGAGTAGGGGAGGTGCGTACTTGTAGTTGTGCGGCTGTGTCCCCCGATGGTGCGGGTTAACTTCACTCTATTTTTAGTCATTTTATTGCGAACACCACTTGATGTTTCAGAATATGGATTATATGAAGATGAAATGACAAGAATTGAGAAACGACAGCTGATACAGACGTTGGAAGTATCGAAAATATCAGCGCAGTCAGAGCAAGAAAGTCGACTCAAGAAAGAGGATGACGTAGTTATTCTTCAGGTAAAGCGTGCAACTTCGTCCGCACGTATTTTTCCCCTCTCGTTTGAATTTATTTGATTCTGAACTAACCATTACAGCAAATAGGACTACTTCGTGCCCAGTTTCTCCACAACATTAGTTCTGCTCATATTTTTGCGCGCAAGCCGGCGCATCATAATACAGACGTATCATTCTTAAATGCGTTTTGGACCTCCAAAGGTTACTCTCACCTTTGGGATCCCCCTACCTGTGCCTGTTTTTTAATCTGTCTAACATGTTTCGTACTATGTTGCAGAGTTCGCCTGCGCTGAAGCGTCATGCGTCCTCTGCAGGGACGAGCATGACCGATGCGTCTCCGGGAGCTGAGCCTTCGCCGCTGATCGGCGGGGCGGCGCTGGCGCAGAGACGGCGACCACTGCGCGCTCCGGCCGGCGCCAGCCGCACAGTCATCGTGTCAGAACCCGTGCAGCGGGAGTCGCAGACAGCAGACAGCCGGGCTGCAGATGTGCGGACTGCGGACAGCCGGACAAGCAGCGAGCCGCCCAAACCGCCGGCAGCAGACAGTCGCAGAGTCGTTGTCACAGACACTCGGGAGCGGAAGTCACGGACATCAGGCAACCAAGAGAAGCGTCTTCGAAGTACAGCAGACACCGACCAGGGGCCTGCTAAGGTAGCGACCACCTCGGGTGGAGCCCGTGACTCGGGAGACAGCTCAGACAGCTCCGATAGTTCTGTCAAAGAGACCACTGCAGGCCGTCGACGGTCGGCGGCGCGCGACAGTGGATCGGAGCCTGCGGCGTCGCCGGCTGACAGTGGATCGGAGCCTGCGGCGTCGCCGGCTGACAGTGGATCGGAGCCTGCGGCGTCGCCGGCTGACAGTGGATCGGAGCCTGCGGCGTCGCCGGCTGACAGTGGATCGGAGCCTGCGGCGTCGCCGGCTGACAGTGGATCGGAGCCTGCGGCGTCGCCGGCTGACAGTGGATCGGAGCCTGCGGCGTCGCCGGCTGACAGTGGATCGGAGCCTGCGGCGTCGCCGGCTGACAGTGGATCGGAGCCTGCGGCGTCGCCGGCTGACAGTGGATCGGAGCCTGCGGCGTCGCCGGCTGACAGTCCGCCAGCATCGCCGCCGCGGCCGAAACTGTACTACGTGAACCACGAGGGCCGTCGGGAGGCGGTGGAGCGCTCGGAGCGCGCCACGCGGCTGCTGGAGCTCCTCTCGGACGGCCGGTCGGTGGAGGAGAATGTGCACCGCGTGCTGCGTCACCTGGAGCAGCAGCAGGAGCGTGCGCTGGCCGCCGCCGAGCAGCGCACCTGGCAGGACGATATACCGCCGTCACGCACCTTCCACGAGTCCAGCCTGCCGTCGCGGCTCGACCCGGCGCGGCTCGAGTACCGGCCGAAGGCACCACTGGCTCGGAAAAGGTCAGCCGCGCCCGACACTGATAAGGTGCCTGCCGCGCGGAAAAGATCAGCGGCGCCCGAGTCTGGTAAAATGCCAGCGACGCGGAGGAAGCCGTCAGTCACGCCCGAACCCGATAAGACGCCGAGTCCTGAGCCTCCACCAAGTCCGCAACAGCGGCGACCAACATCGCCGCCGCCCCAGCCGCGTGAGCCGGGGGTTTCCGGCGGTCTGCCGACCGTGGACGGTGGCCGCCAACACTCGCGGGCCAGCCAGCTGCTGCAGCGCGCCATCGACACACACTCGGCAAAGAAACGGCCGGCCACGACCAAACTGTCACTCAAACTGTCCACCCGGCCTCGCCCAGACGCTGCCGCCGCCGATGGGTCCAGTCCCCCAGAGCGACCCAGTTCGAGCGGCGGCCCGCTGTCCCGCGGCACTGCGCTGTCCGTGCCGCTGCTTCCGGAGCTATCTGCGGAGGAGGAGCCACCCTCGGCCGCCGCGCCGCCCGCCCGCCGGCGGCCCGTCTCGCCGGTCGCCGGCCCGTCCGGTCTGGCCAGACAGTCGCGTCGCCGTCTGGCCAGCGCCGAGATCCGGCCGGCGCCGCTGCGACTGCCGCGTCGGTCACGGCTCGACCAGAACGGCCGCGTCATGGTGCCGCTGGTAACAAAGGTTCAGGTGAGTGAAAGCTTGTGAAGGCATTTGGCTTTAGGGGAGGAATGGGGGAGGCTGCGCAGGCTCAGACAAGTTATGTCTGGGTCGCAGCTCGGGCCTAAGTGTCTCAGCAGGAAATGCACACAGGATTTCTTCTTTTGTCGCTGGTAAAAATAGTTATCTCGCGCACCACTATCCGCATTCTGTGATAGGAATGTGTTTCCTCCAGAGCCGCTGAATGCAGACCACTTTTTCAGGCGCCGGGAGGTCCGTCTAAGCAGCCAGCGGCCTCCGCGCTGACTGCCGGCGTTAACTCTTCGTCTTCGGATGACGACGGTGGCGCACCGGCGACCAGTCGCGCCCGTGCTACCGGTCGGGGAGGGAGGCTCCCCGCTACCGGTGGGAACCGGTTAGGGTCCTCTGACGCCACCACCGGCCGGCCGGGACCCTCCGATATCGGCCGGTCGCGACCCTCCAGTTCTGGTGATGGTGGCGACGGCGTATTGGCCACCCCGTCTGGGACAAGTAACGGTGCGGCTGCAGCAGCTTCAGGAGACGCCGCCGGACAGAGGGTGCAGTGTCCGCTCTGTGCTGCCTTCTTCCCCAGCGACAAAATCGAGGTGAACGCTCGGAGGAACGCGAACTGTCATTGACATTCGGATTTTGTTACGGTAAATGTAGCGGTAGACGTTGATGTGGACTTTATGTGGTAATTGACACATGATTTGGTTAGGAAATCTCGATTACAATTCATATCTGTTGGGTTGAGGGCTACGTTGAAAGTATTGCATGGTATGAATCATAATTGGAAAACGGTTGTCTATCAATATCAATTGCATTGTATAGCTAAAAATTTCCATTACGGGAGTCTAATGTGAAGCTTCATTGTTGATACCGATGGTGGTGACCACGGAGGTTGGCGATGGTGGCAGATTGTGAGAGCGGCTGTTTTGTTTCAGGCGCACGCCAGTCGGTGTGAAGGTGACGACGTGATGGAGATAGAGGAGAGTCCGTCTCCGCCGATGCGCCGGTCGGCCACCAACGCCATCCGCGAACGGTCAGTCCGGGTTCTGAGAGGGACGGTCAGGTTCACAGAGGGTGGCCGTTCAGTTCCACAGAGGACGATCAGTTTCACAGGGAGTCGGGCGGGGTCCTACCCACAGGGGAGGGCGGTCCATTACACAGGAAAAGGTCAGATGCACAGAGTGTGCGGCCAGCTTCACAGAGGGTGGTGGTCAGCTCCAAGAGGGATGATCAGTCATCGGGCAGATATTGTCTCCTCTGCCCAGCGCATGTTAGCTGGGCCTCTTGGAGAGAACGGTCGAACGGTCGAGATACCAGCAGAAATGGCCTGTCTATCGCGGACACGGGTTGTTTTGGTGTTTGAACGATGTCCAGAAATGGCCAGCACTACCGCGGAAGCCGTCTGTTTTACACTGCAAGCGCACAGTTCTGTGCGAGGAACGGTTGCAAGTCTTCGGTATAGATGCTGCAAAGACAGCGAACATCATAACGTGGGAATGACGAACACTGCCAGTGAATTATTACATGGGAGAATGGCTACATTTCTTCACATGGTCCTGGTCAAAATATTTTCAAGTGATGGGGACCCGCCAGCGAGGGGTTATCTTATCTATTCTTATTTTTTCTTGCCTTTTTTATTTAAACCTTGCCTCGTATTTCGTAACGGGCGTCATTGCTGTCACGCCTTTGATTTGCCTCCAGCCTCATCACACTAATCATTGCACCATCGCTGGTGGGGTTCATCGCAACTGAGTCCCCGTTCCCGCTAGCGCCATGTTTCACCACCTCTCATGATTTGATCTTTGGTTTAGCGAGTTCAGTTATGTTTTGCTTCGATTAATTTTTAGTTTTCCTTTATACAAGTCACGAGTAATGATCACTCGTAATGTACCTAAGTGAATCGTCTCCGACCCACGGACCGAGCTCCCGCGGGGGCGGCCGGCGGCACTGCGGATCCGCGGTGCCCGGGCAGCAGACAGTGACGCGCTGTGCCACCAGGACGCCGCGCGGCCACCAGCGGTGCCGGCTCTGCGACCAGCTGCTCGAGGAGGGGCCCGCCTACCTGGACCACGTGGACGAGTGCCTGAGGCGGCGGCGACAGAGTCCTGGTGAGAACCGCACCGAGCGACAGGTGCGGCGGCCACAGAGCGGAGACTTGTGGGACCCACGACAGTGGCGCGTGGAAGAACGGGAGGCTGGATACAGTGGTAATGCATGTTCGCAACCTCACAAGTCTGGTGCCTGACTCTTGGCCGGTGGTGGACTGAAGACCAGGTGACACAACCGCATTGTTAACCTTGCTGGAAACCTGAATCATGTGCATGTCAGGTAACGGATGGTTGAAATAAATCGACGATTTTGGGATCGTGAGTGATGAATCATGACGCTTGCCGATGATTAGGTATCTATTACAATAGATATAGCTCGACAATGCCGCTCTTCTCATGCGATGAGTTGTTGATATTTAATAGTGGATACTGATAAGGACAGTCCGAACTCTGATGAGGCTCCCCGTGCGTATAAGAGTCGTTCCAGGACCCCCTGCACGGTGGGCGCCTTGTAGCGCGCCCACCGTGCAGCAGTCGAAAGGCCCGACGCCTGTCCCCACCCGGTAACGATGACTGATCTAGTCTCCCGTCCGGTGACTAACCCCGGCTTCTTCCCGCGACAACCCCTAGTCTCCGCCCAGTGCAGTGGCTAACCCGGTCCCTACCCGGCGACTACCCCCCCCCCCCCACTCTCCGCCTGGTGACTAACCCCGTTTCTTTCCGGCGACTAACCCGTCTCCGCCCGGCGACTAACCCCGTCTCCACCCAGCGACTAACCCCGTCTTCGCCCTACGACTCGCACCCGCCTTCATCCGATGTTGCAGGTGGCGAGGCGAACGGGGTACCTGAGGACGTCCGGCCGCCATTGACGGTTCCGCTCACTCCCGTACAGAACGGCAGCGGCCGACACGCGAACACCGGAATATTCTCAGGTCAGACAGGCACCAGGGAGGGACATGGTCGGAACGCAAGCACACAGGACTGAGCTTCAGGCACCCGGGTGGGACCTGTAATCTTTTCATTATCATGCTATAATTGATTAGTTGCCTTGCCGTCAAGGTTTCCTAAATCGCACGGCGACGCAAAACCTCGTAACTTGACACTGTTACGTCTCCATAGCCGGTGCATAGCGCGTTTCTCAATAGAATGTGCTTTGTGTTGTCTGTAGCCGACTAGGCTGGATTCGGACCGGGCAGTGGCCAGCGCAGTAGGCTGGCCGCTGGCGAGGTGTCGCCCCTTATCGTTGTGCTGGCCGGACTGACGCCTCCTCTCCCGTCTCAGGCTCGGGCTTCTCGCCGACGTTCCAGCGGATCAGCGCGCAGACCGGCTCGTGCATCGACTACCACAACCAGTTCTCGTCGGCAGGGCGCCTCGGCGGCGGCACGGGACGGAAGAAGGGTGCTCGCGGCCGCGGCCGGCGCGGAGGCGGCAGGGCCAGAGGCCGGGCCAGGGCACGACGCTCCTGACCGGTCGGGGACCAGTGCAGACCCAGCAAAGCACAGGATCTAGTCCAAAACATTCTTTCACGCGTGTCTTGCTTATGTATGTGCCTTATAAACTAAACAGTTGACTTAGTAAACTGTGCAAATGCATTTAGTCATCAGTGAAATACATTCTTACTGTTTTTAAACGCATCTTGGTGGTGTAACTTAAGTGCGCGACATCCCGAAGTTTGTTGCTTCGTAACGGTGTGTTACTTAGCCACACGCTGGGAAGACATTCAACTGAACGCGAATAAACTGAGGATATCGATCGTTTCGGTCGTAAAACGGCCATTAACGCAATGGGTATGTATTTATAAAACGTTGTTCTCGATACGATGATACACAGTAGCACTGAACAATGATCAATCTTTGTACTCACTCATTTCAAGCCTTTGGCGACGATACTTGCTCCTCAGTCTTCATCCGTCATGAGCGAGTTACACTTCTGGCATTTGACCACTCCCATTTTGTCGCGCATCTTCCCCAGGCAGTGGTGGTGGTTCTTGGCGCCGCAGCCGTCCTGCTCGCACAGTCGGCCGCGCACGGTGATCTTGCCGCACATCTGGCACCGGGGCACGTGCTCGCCGTAGTGGCGCAACAGGTACGGCTCGAGCTCGAGGATGGCGCGCGTGTGCAGCGCCAGCCGGCTGTCGGTCTCCTCCAGCCAGCAGTCGCGCACCAGCCGGCGCAGTAGCTCCTGCGCGTCCGCCTTGGGCATGCCGTCGGCCAGGTTGAGCGCGGCCATGGCCGAGATATCGCCGCGCACCGAGGTCACCACCTCCTGGATGAGGGCGCGCAGGTAGCGCAGCTGGACCTCCGAGAAGGCCGCGCACGCCACCGTCTCCTCGCCGCCCGAAGTGTTAATCAGTGCGTACACCGGGCGACCGTCCCGCTCCGATAGGCCCTTCTTTAGGTCCAATCCCAACGAGTGCACTTTGGAACGCACTGTTAGCAGGAAGGTCTTAATCTGATCGAGGTCACGGATGGTGTTACCTGAAATGTCACCAACCAGCTTCTTCAACCCATCTGCAGAGATTGCTGGCTGGCTAAGCATTGCCTGCATGAAGTGCCGGTGCCAGTCGCCATATACGTCCACTGTGCAGTCTACCTCCATCTCCATACTGATTCCCTGATTCCTGGGGGAAATTAAAATGGTCAGTCTAGGCCAGCCAGCCCACTGCAATGCATCCAATAAGCTAAATTTTGGTTGATTGGTACTTGGTACCTACCTACTCACGCCATACTAATAGCCAGAGGAAACTTAGCATATGCTTATGTTTCCCATTGGCCATTACAAAATTGAGTTTTAATTGCAACAGACATAAACAAACTGCTGTGAGCTTGAATGATTCTACTGTTATGTCAGCATGTTGTGTCCATGACAAGTTGAGCAGGGCCACGGCAAGTGTCCTATTCTTTTAAAGAAGTTTTTGTTTGTGAAAAATCAGATTAATGTGGCTGCCCTGTCAAATCATCAAGATTCTAGGACAAGTCTTTGTATGGCATTTTTCATCACGCAATTCTTGGTCTGCACCTTTCTTTATGTCACAATTCTTTGTGAGCTCAAATACTTGTAGCACATTTCTTCGTTTCACATTTTTTCATCAGCAGTCAGCACAAACCTTCATATGAAAATCTTAGCCTAGCCTTACTCAGCATTAACCAGCCTTCCTCGTGCCTTACTCAACCCCACCCATCTAGCGTTGAAGAACGAAGATTTACGGGGACGGAAAATGTGAAACAAAGAATTTCCACGGGAGGGGAGTCTCGTCCCAAAACCTCTCCAGTCCTTGCTCCATTCGCCCGCAGCAATGCCCACAGGGCGAATCCGCTGCTAGATTGGCCAGCGTGCCGACTAATTTCGGTGGCAGTCTTACCAAAAAGGTGATGCGGCCGCTCTGCGCCGAAAAATTCACCATTCGCCATGCTGATGCGCTGAGTTCTGCGCATGCAAAGGTATACGCCCGATATGCGCGGAAATTTTCGGCACAATCCCGCCACTACGCCGGACATATTCGGCATATTGTGTATTTTTTACTTACCACCTATCACCCACCCCACCTACCTAATATACGACCTCTCGTGCAGTCTTTTTCGTTTTCAGTACCTACGATTCAAACTGATTCAAACCACATTACGCACTGAAACGTACAATTTTGAATTCAATGGATTCAGCCGATTCAGCCGCTTCTGCCGCTGATTTTCGTCAACATGAGGGTAACGCATGACATTTATAAAAGGGTGGTAATTTTCTCAGCACTAAAAACCGGTCATTTTGTGGTATTTTCGGCAAAACTAGGCATTTCCAGTTAATTTGAGGTATAACAGGGTCATTTAGCACCTAACCAGTTTTAACACCTATTTAAGAGACTTTAGCACTGCTTTCAGTCTAAATCGCAGTACTTTTAGTTTGAATAGCACCTAATGGTAGTCATTTCGCACTATTTTTGGTAGATGTTTAGGCATCCCTACTAAATCTAGAAGGATTTTAGTATATTATGGAGAAATAAACTACAATACTAGTCTGTACTAGCTACAGATTGTTTGTTGCCAGGTCGATTAGCGTCTGTTTCGGCGCATGCGTTTTGAGAGGACCGATCTTGGGACCGATAGGACGCAAGGCGCGCTTCTTGGACGGATTTGGCAAGGAATTTGGATAGATTGATTTACGTGCAGCCTCAGCGTGTGCCGATCATCCTGCCTTTTCTTGTCCAAGAGTGAACTGAGCGAGGTTCTTAGCATGGAAATTGGAGAGTGATGACGATTTCCGCGAGGATGTTGGGTCCTACCGTCCGCCCAAGCGTACCTACTGGTCCGCCAGTGCTGCTGTCTTTATTCTGTCAGGTTATCTAACGGCGCTATGGGCATGTAGGTACAGCATTGCAGTAGCAAATGCTTAATCTAAATTTTGTGCGGTGGCATTTTCCCATGCTTAGTAGGAAGCGCTCGACGTCCCTTCCGTACGTGTCGTGGAAGGGACGTGTCTGTCATTGACGCACATCAACTAGATGGATCTTGATTGTAGCATTTCGCAGCAGCGTTTCATCGTTCAGCGGCCTAACGCCTAGCCAGCTCTCATTTCGAGGGGGTGGTACTTTGCTGCTGAGGAGCATGAGTGGTCACGCTGCATCGTGAGCCAGATGAAGCCGGTGGGCAGACCGTGTACCGTACATTTGCGTACATGATTTTGTCCCACGAACTTAACCCTCGCCCGCACATGGGGGGGGGGGTGGTTGCCACCCCCCAGGTAGTCTTTCTGCTCTGCACTCAACATTTTTAGAGATAGAAGGCTGATTTTTCGTATAGCTGCTCCTCTATCCTTTCTTGATGTCCACTGAAAATTTGAAGTTTCTGTGATTTTTGGTTTCGGAGATATGACCTTGTTTTCAGGTCATGTCATGGCCCAAATGGCCAATTCTCAACATCTTGCGCTGGCTATGGGCCTTGTGAGCTTTTGACACCTTGATTTCGGCCTTTTTTGCCAGTCTTACCTCCCAACTATCATGGAACATGTTGTTCGACGATGTACAGATGTCAAGGTCAAGGTCAAGGTCAACCTAGGTCATCTAAGATAATTGCGTTTTAGGTAAGCGGAAATTACTTTTTGTCAAGTTTTTTTACTACATTTTTGGTAAAAGCTTCTCTGATTATGATATCATGTAATATGGACACAAAAACAATCGGTGCATACATAAGTATACACACAGACACACACAGACATACAAACACATATTATTGACCTTGACCTAACTTGACCTGACATGACCTCAGCAGCACAAATCTGGTCGGGTAGTGTGACAAAGAGGTTCTAGCTGGCTTGGCACCAGAAAACAGCATCGTCATCGGTAGGTATGGTAAGCAGCGCACTTGATATCCAACGTTGACCCAAAATAGCAACATTTTTTAGTTTGACCTGACCTGGAAGGTCAACGACTGACCTGAGAAGGTAAAACTGGGTATCATTGGATTCGTCTCTTCCCAAAGAATCTTTTTGGTCTTTACCGCTAAGCTCTATCTCCAACAGGAACGAAATGGCACGGGGGGGTGGCAACCACCCCCCCCCCCATGTGCGTTCTAGGATGGGAAAATGGCATGTGCGGGCGAGGGTTAAGCGATGCGCATTTTTGTCCACAAATTTACCTAATATATACCCAGCATGCCTATTAGTCGTTAGGGGACAGCACCGGGCGTGGTGTATTGCGTAGAGGGCAGCCCCTATGCAACAAAACTTGCTCCAATTCCGTTTTCATCGTGGAAGTAATACGCTGAATGGAGGATCATACTTTGATGTCCAACTTACGTACAACATAAAAAATAAATACCTCAAAGCTCAAGAATACTGTGATCATAGCAGTAGCTCGTGCTCGGCAGTGAAATCATGAATAGTGCTCATATACCGGATTTAGTGCAAAATGAGCTACCACACACCCATTTATTATGCCAGATCTGGCATCGCCTCTATACTAACTAAAATAGTGCGGAATGACCGGATATACCTGTGTTTGACAGGAATTGCCTGCGAAAAGACGATAGTGCAAACTGAACTTATGATAGTGCAAAATAACTGAAATTTAGGTACTGAAAAAATTATCCCCCTTTATAAAAATGGGACGGAAGTTTATGACGTCAGAGATTCAATTTTTAATTCAGATTAAAAACAAATATGTGTAGTGTTTCTGCTTTAGTAGGCTTTGTAAAATCACTTGAATTTAATTTGGGTCGGATCAATGCCAACACCGATCACAAATATATATTTTAAACCTTATTTATTGCAAATTTTTCATCTTTCTGTGTCTCAATTGGCGAGTTAGTAATGACGCAATCGGACCACAATGTGAAGAATGCATACGTGTACGTTTGACACTCCCTGACAAAATAACTATTTTTTTTCTTAAATTGTACATATATGACGTGCAACTCAAGCTGGGGTCGTTAGGTGTGTATTTGCAATTATTATACAATTTTGATACAACTTAAGATTTACCTGCTTGAGATAAATGTCTTTGTCTGTTGGGTTTTGCGGCAAAATGGTGATGCAAAGGTGCATACAACACAGTGCAAGATCAAGATTAACAAGAATAATTAGGTATCAATATCATGTTTCATAATTTGCACCAAATGTCATAGGAGACCCTGGGCACTATTCCTTATCTGGGCCATGCTCCACACTAGAATCCAGATAGAATGTTCTGCTGGGTGTTACATCACCAGACTGCAAAACGTGGCAGGTTTCGACAAGATGTCTGGCGTGCATGGTGCTGTCGCTAGCCTTAATCAGGCATGAGGCATGCAGTACAAATCTCAGGTGTGCAAGGCATGGCCCAGGTGCACAGGTGTGCAATAACAAATCAGGGCGTACATGCCTGCGATACTGGAGGAATTGGAAGGAACCCTGAATGCCAGACGCGCCAGCCCAGTTGTGATATTCTTGACCATTAGTCCTTGGAGTTTTGACTGGTATTGTGCGTCTTCCACAAGCTCGTCAGATGAACACAGTCACATTTCTACACGCTTAGCTACGAGGAAGTAACCTACATACCTATAACTACTTACAAAATCAGCACTGCTCATCCTCAATCATATCTGAACAGGCTATTACGTGCATGTACCTCAATCATTTTCTTAAAGCTAGCTATGTTAGGTGCACGGACAGCATCCTCAGGCAGTGAGTTCCAAACAGCAATGCATCTGACAGAAAAAAAGCGCTTTCTAGTGTCTGTGTGGGTGAGAGTGGGGAAAATCCTAAAGCAGTGGCCCCTAGTCCGCTCCTGTGGAGGGCGGTCGAACAGGTCATCTGGACTCAGGCACGATCTACCGTTAAACAGCTTCCAACATTGTATCAAGTCTGCACGAATGAGCCTCCCTTGGACAGAATACAGGTTCAAGGACTGTAGGCGATCTGCATAGCTTAATCCATTCATTCCATCCACTCGCTTTGTCCACTTCCTCTGAACATTTTCTAAGACCCGCAAGTCTTTCAGATAACCTGTATGCCACAAGCATGAACAGTATTCTATAACAGGTCGGATATGAGTAGTGAGCAAGAACAACATAAATGCGCGAGACCTGCAAACGGTAGACTTAAGAAAACTATGGGCCAGACCGCTAGCCTTGTGTGCAACAGTCCTAATGTGCTCGTGAAATTTAAGCTGCGAGTCGACAGTAACACCAAGATCAAAGTGAGAATCTACATGTCTACATGAATCATGAATCTACATGAATCAGGAGAGCTCACTCAAAGCTTGCAAATGAAGCAAACGTGAAATACGAGGACAGACGTCTTAGCAACTATTGCAACAATGCACCGGCACATCATTATCAAACAAAAACAGCTTCATTTTCAGACTCAGGACCTCAAAATACCTATGAGAAAGCTGACTTCAAGAAGTTCTAGCTCCAGACTAGCTGGTCCTGGGCCAGGGCCCTGTTCGGTCGCTGTTTTTATATCAGCGTGCTGTCAATATTCCCCATATAAGGAAGTTATTGCTGGCGCGGCTTGGCCTCTCATTGGTCTAACGAATAGACCACTTGAATTTGACCAATGAGGAGCCAAGAAGCAGCAGCATGGTTGCAGCCTGCTGATAAATAAAGGGGATGCGAACAGAGCTCTGGTTTTCCTGACATAAGGTCATTGATCTGAGCTGGAAGATAAGCCAATGATCAGACTCATAAAATCTAAAAAAGATCAATTATGACCTCAGCTTGTCACAAACAAAATGCTCAGTTTTTTATGAGGATACTTTCCTCCAGGTTCGAATGGCTTGGAGGAAGTCAGACCGAACTTCCCCTTCCCCCAACCCCACCGGTACATGTAAGCTGCTGGGAAAATGTCTGAATTTGTGGCAATATCCGCTCCAGTGAACTGTCGTCTGTCGCAATATTACCCCAATACTGCTCTCATCGTAATCCCAATACTGCTCTCACAAGAGTGTGGTTGTTCTTTTAACAGACAACTTGACAACCTTCTTCAACACATTTTGTGTTCATCTCATCGGCAAGCTTCGAGTGGGAGCTCTCTGGGCGAGCACGCCCCCATTCGCCAATGCAAGCCTTTATGCCTGGGCTGTGTCTTGCACACCTGATATTTGAAATGGACGCCAGAGTAAGGCTGTCATAGGCCGTGAGCACGCCAGAAATTTCGTCGAAATCCACCTCGTTTTGCCGTCGGGTGTATGACAGAATGTTTTGTGAAACACTGTCAAAATATTCTGGGAAAGTAGCGAAGTGGAGCAGGGGTGCAGCAACTACTTTCAGACTGGGGGAGGGGGGGGGGGCAAGCTTCTCCCACTGCCCCCGGTTCCTGCGCCTATGAAGCGCAATAATCTTTCCATCGATGGGAATCAATTTCACGTGAGAGACACACTGTGTTTTCTACAGAAATCCTAGCTCAATAGTCGTGAAACCGCGAAGGAACCCCTCTCAACCCGATGTATAGAAAACCGATAGTTAAGGGTAAAGGACTATACTATCCTAAGGCCTGTAAGGCCCTCAAATGTCAGAATGATATGAGAGGACACTTAACGTGTAAGGAGGCCACATGCCAGCCTCCTTAAGGCCCACACCAGCATTAGGGTGAAGGGTCTGAAAGTTATTAGAGTCTAAGTCATATTTTTTGTATGAGAGTGACCAAAACTTCACCAGTCTGAGAGGGTTTTTGATAGACATTCAGTGTGCTTCTGGCCTCTGGGGTCTGGACCTTGCGACCCTCATACGATTAGAATCTGTAACCAGGGCCAACCCTTGTTGGACCATCAACTTTCTGCCCTAGCAGAATATTGGGATAATAATTTCCCATACATTACCTGCAAAAAAGCTAAAATGTTCTGACAAACAAATTAAGATAGGGCAAGTCGACTTTAACCACACATATAAATGCCCACTCTGGAGATAACCAGCTGCTCCAGAGGCCAGCTTTTGTTGAATCCTACTGTGACTCCATTCACAGTTGCTGACTCCGACCACCTTCGCGGTTCCTGACAGGCAGCATAAATAATTGCAATCATTCCTGCCCATAAGCTACTGAAGCTAATTTGTATGTCGTCCATTCCATATCATTGCACCAATGTGTTGTATAGGTGTAGGTACTGTGTTATACAAACTTCTGTTCATCTTTAATGGTCCATCTTTAATGTTCATCTTTCCTGCCACAGACTGCTACATTTTCAAGCTTATTCAGGAAAGGCTACAGGCGCAATGTCTATAGCTGAGTATCCCAAGCCACGCAGGGATGAAACCTGTGTTGAAGAGCTACATGGCCACAAGGTGAGTACTTCACAAAGTGGTAAACACCATATATAATGCATATGACATATGTAGCATCGATTATCTCCTACATGATCATACATGCTTCTTTTTTAACCCGAAAACGTTTTCAGCTTAGCTAGGTGTTATAGCTGTGTGCTGGATGATGTGCTTTTGTTGCCTGTTGGGTCTGTTCACGCCCGGCTGACCAGCTGTGTTCTCTGTTGGGTCTGTTCACGCCCGGCTGACCGGCTTGTTCTCTGTTGGGTCTGTTCACGCCCGGCTGACCAGCTGTGTTCTCTGTTGGGTCTGTTCGGCCCGGCTGACCGGCTGCGCTCTCTGCGGCCTCCTCCGGCAGGTGGTCGACCCATACCGCTGGATGGAGGACGCCGACGCGCCGGAGACCAAGGCCTTCGTGGACGCACAGAACCGGCTCACCATGCCCTACATCCAGTCCTGTCCGCACCGCGAGAAACTGCGCGACACGCTCAAAACCATGATGGACTTCCCCAAGATCGGCTGTCCGTTCAAACGCGGTGACCGCTATTTTTACTTTTACAACAGTGGTCTTCAAAATCAAAGGTAATTTGCAGTTTAATTGTTATGACGTCGTGTCTGCAGGGAACTTAATTGCTTTTTTATTCCATAAAGTGTACCAACTACACAGACAAAAGTGAGTCAGAGTATGTTTATCCGTGCATCCCGTTATCTTGTACCCCGCTGCCGTGTATGCCATTAGCGGCCGCCTCTCCGGGCCACCCCTCCTCTGAGCTGACCGGGGCGGTCGGTGCGCAGTGTGCTGCACGTGCAGGACTCGCTGGACGCCGAGCCGCGGGTGTTCGTCGACCCGAACCTGTTCTCCGAGGACGGTACCGTGGCGCTCACCAACAGCGCCTTCAGCGAGGACGGCGCCACGTTCGCGTACGGCCTCAGCACCAGCGGCTCCGACTGGAACAAAATTCACTTCCGGTGAGCGGCCCGCCGCCGGCCGGACCGTGCACGGGACGCGAGCTCTGTCGGCGGCAGTCGGAGGGCTGTCTATTAACGCCAGTCTTTGTCTTTTGAGACCGTCATTTACCACAGTAATTTTTGCGTGAAAATCAATGATTTACTGAATATCTGTACCGGAACGTATCTGATGATATTTAAAACGTCTTATTTTTATTCCTATTTTACTCGTAGTATCCAGGGTAGATGGCCTAATTCTTGTTTTTTATCTTGGCGTTGCTAAATTCTAACTGTAATGTTTTTAGTGCCTCAATGAACCATGTCTGGACTTTTATTTCAGTTGTGTCGAAACGGGAAAGGATTATCCTGAAGTTTTAGAAAAAGTCAAGTTTTCGTCCATTGCATGGACACATGACAACAAAGGAATTTTCTACGGGGTAAGCACAGTTCATATATTTAATATTATTACGGAGCGAGCGAAGCGAGCGTAGTCTTTCCTTAGATTAACGGAAATTTCTGAGTATGAGCGGCCGGCCGGCCGTGCGGACGCTTTTGCGAGGCTTATATCTCAGCAACCACTTGACCGATTTACATGCGGTAATTTTTGTAGGGTAGCTTCATTCCTTCTACCAAGTATTGGACTATTCCCGATGCATGTGGGTGACCCCTTATGCACGTGCCACGTGCAAAACGAAGAGGTGTCAGTTTTGCAATTGTTGCAATATCTCGGTAACTACTTGGCCGATTGCGCTGAAAGTTGGCATGTAGGTAGGCACCCACTAGGCACTGCATATCCATGTGCCAGAGTTGGGGTGCTGCTGCACGTGCGCACGTGCAGGGGTCGTCTCCAGATCTCGAGAACGGTTCGACCGATTGCGCTCAAATTTGGTACACAGTTAGGTACCGGTTAGTAGGGTGCCGTGCACAAGTCAGTTGGGACCCATTTTGCACGTGCGCACGTGCAGGGTGCCGCTTCCAGATCTCGAGAACGGCTGGGCCGATTGTGCCCAAATTTGGCGCATCGCTAGAGACCGGTTAGTAGGGTGCCGTGCACAAGTCAGTTGGAGGTACACCCTCGCAATTTCGCACGTGCAAGGCCCACCCTCTCGCTCGCTCCGTTAGTCGCCCCCAAAGGCGTTATACTGGTTATTATTTGATAGTGTATTGATTACGGAGCGAGCGAAGCGAGCGGAGTCTTACGTAGAATTAACGGAAATTTCTGAGTATGAGCGGCCGGCCGGCCGGCCGTGCGGACGCTTTTGCGAGGCTTATATCTCAGCAACCACTTGACCGATTTACATGCGGTAATTTTTGTAGGGTAGCTTCATTCCTTCTATCAAGTATTGGACTATTCTCGATGCATGTGGGTGACCCCTTATGCACGTGCCACGTGCAAAACGAAGAGGTGTCAGTTTTGCAATTGTTGCAATATTTCGATAACTACTTGGCCGATTGCGCTGAAAGTTGGCATGTAGGTAGGCACCCACTAGGCACTGCATATCCATGTGCCAGAGTTGGGTTGCTGCTGCACGTGCGCACGTGCAGGGGTCGTTTCCAGATCTCGAGATCGGCTGGACCGATGGCTCTCAAATTTGGTACACAGTTACGGACCAGATAGTAGGGTGCCGTGCACAAGTCAGTTGGGACCCATTTTGCACGTGCGCACGTGCAGGGTGCCGCTTTCAGATCTCGAGAACGGCTGGGCCGATTGTGCCCAAATTTGGCACATCGCTAGAGACCGGTTAGTAGGGTGCCGTGCACAAGTCAGTTGGAGGTACCCCCTCGAAATTTCGCACGTGCAAGGCCCACCCTCTCGCTCGCTCCGTTAGTCGCCCCAAAAGGCGTTATACTGGTAAAATATGATCCGTTTTTTATTTGCTAGCGTTTCGTCACCATAGATATCAAGTATTCTAAATCATAAGCTACAAGTTATGCTACCCTTGGATTGTCCTGCTGTATTTGACTTGCATGAATAGTAATTATGCCTTATTTAGTCATTATTTCTTGACTGATTGTGTGTAGTCTATTATATTTACTGCATCACAATGACCGTTGTCCCGTTCGTATCACTGACATGCGCTCGTGTGCGGCCGGGCAGCGTTTTAACCAGGAGGGCACGACGGACGGCTCCGAGACGACGTCGAACCTCAACCAGAAGCTGTACTACCACCGGCTGGGCACGGACCAGTCAGAGGACGTGCTCTGCGTCCAGTTCACCGATCACCCCAAGTGGCGGATGTGAGTGGCACTTACTGAGGCAGCGGCCTGGGACCGTGCAGGCCCCCCGCAAGCCCCCCCCCCCGCAAGTTCGACAAGCGGCCGCTCTCTTAGTATCGGGCTTACCGGGGAGTTGGGTGACCGCACTAGACTGTGACAGAGGCGCTTACTAGTAAATTTATCGCATTTTTTTTTTTTTACTTGTCAGTGCTGTATCGTTTTTTATGTTTTATATTACGTCTTGTATAATTTGCATATTTACAATAGTCGGTGAAATTTTGTCGCTCTCGCGTTTACTCGCTGGCGCGGTGTGCATCTATGCCGAGTTTGTCCGTGTGGCCTGACATCCCTCTCTGTGTCTGCCCACGCGGCCTGCAGCGGTGCCGAGGTGAGCGACTGCGGCCGCTACCTGATCCTGCTGCTCTCAGAGGGCTGCAAGGACAACATGGTCTACTACGTGGACCTGCAGGGTCTCCCCGAGGACGGGCCCCGCGGCCTGCTCTCGCCTGTCTGCATCGTCGACAAGTTCGAGGCCGACTATGAGGTGGGTGCGGCTGTTGGCGGCCACCCTCGGCCAGTCTGCCGGGTGGGCCGGGAGATGTGTTCCCAGGCTGCCGTACGGGGTATAGAATGGATGGAGCTTCAAGATACAAATGACTTAAGTGTGATGAAAATGCTTAACGTACTGGAGAGGATCCGAGATTGTTCGTGACCAGCTCCTTCCCGCTGCCCCCAGTACGTGACCAACACGGGTCCGGTGGTGGTGTTCCGCACCAACAAGTCGGCGCCCAACTATCACCTGGTGACGTTCGACCTGGAGGATCCGGCCGCCGGCTGGAGCGTGCTGCTGCCCGAGCACTCGCAGGACGTGCTCGACTGGGCCGCGTGCGTCAACACCGACCGTCTGGTCGTCTGCTACATGCACGATGTCAAGGTGAGGGAGCGGTGATCTGAGAGCCGGGGCGTCAGCGCTGGGGGGAGGCGGGGGTGGTGGGGTGTAGCGTTAGAGGGTCCGGGTTCAGTGGCGGTGACGTGGTAACTTTTGGACGATCTATTGGTGCTTTGAATGGTTGAAAGTTTGTGAGTTGGTTGTTGGAGTGTCATCCGCCGCAGGTATGAGTTACGTTTTATCAGTGGTGCTGGTGTGCGTGCGTGCGTCTGACCTCAAATTGTGGTTCTCCTGCAGAACATCCTGCAGTTGCACAGCCTGTCCTCGGGCGAGAAGCTGTCCACGTTCCCGCTCCAGGTGGGCACCGTGGTCGGCTACTCGGGCAAAAAGAAGGACACGGCCATCTTCTACAAGTTCACGTCGTTCCTCTCGCCGGGTATCATCTACCGGTGCGAGCTGAACCGACCCACCATCAAACCCGAGGTGAGAGGGGCGGCACCGACTCTGTGTCTGAGCGGCGGGTATGGCAACTGCAGTGCATAGTGGTGGAGAATAGCTACGAGTCTTGCTGGTATTGGGACTGGCTACTGCGAGCAGTAAATTGGGGTCTGTTTAATCTTACCGTAAATAGAAATAAAGTTGATTAGAATTGCGTATTGTTTAATAAAGTGATAGCGCGATCTACATCATATGCTGGACGGTGGCAGCTGCGACCTTTCCTGTTTGAGGCTCACATGTCCGGTGCACCCGTGTCCAACCCCTAAGAGCGTCTCTCTGTTTTCGACAGGTGTTCAAGGAGATCTCGGTGGCGGGCTTCAACCCGTCCGAGTTCGAGTGCTACCAGGTGTTCTACTCGAGCAAGGACGGCACCAAGATCCCCATGTTCATCATGCACAAGAAGGGTCTGGTGAAGGACGGCACGGCGCCGTGCCTGCTGTACGCCTACGGCGGATTCAACATCAGCATCACACCCACGTTCAGCGTCTCCAAGCTGGTGTTTGTGCAGCACCTGAACGGCGTGTTCGCGCTGCCCAACATCCGCGGCGGCGGCGAGTACGGCGAGCGCTGGCACAACGCCGGCCGGCTCTTCAACAAACAAAACTGCTTCGACGACTTTGCGTGCGCGGCCGAGTACCTGGTGCGCGAGCGGTACACGAGCTCGCACCTGGTGAGCTGCGAGGGCGGCTCCAACGGCGGCCTGCTGGTCGGCGCCGTGGTCAACCAGCGGCCGGAGCTGTTCGGCGCCGCCATCGCGCACGTCGGCGTCATGGACATGCTGCGCTTCCACAAGTTCACCATCGGCTACGCCTGGGTCACCGACTTCGGCAACCCGGACGAGAAGGAACACTTTGAGAACATCATCAAGTACTCGCCGCTGCACAACATCCGAAAACCGACCGGTGACGCCAAACAGGTGAGCAGGAGCAGGAGGGACACCGGCGCACCTTTGCTGTGTTGGCGGGGCGGGCGGGCACCGGCAGTGCTGTGCTGTGTAGGTGGGAGCGGGCGGGACATCGGATCGGGTGTCAGCCGTGCAGGCGGGGCGAGCTGCTCCCGAGCGCCTCTGGGACGCTCAGGGACAGGGTGGGCCGGTATCTATCGCCTTTTCCCATTTCCTTGTTTATTCAGCTGGTGAGTTGTTTCAGCATGCTGATAATTGATTGCATCATGTATCTTTGCACTTATTTCAATGTTTGAGTCATTTGTTCTCTTGGGGGTGTTCGGTATGCTGGCGTTTTTACCAGGGTTGTCTATCAAACAGCGATGAAACTTTTGAAAAGGTCATCAATGGCCTTGCGGTTTTGTGCCGTTTGAGAACATGTTATCTAAACTAAGCATAGTGTCTCGTTTCTACATATTCCTTCACCATATTTCACCACCATATTCTTTCCTTTCATATATTCCCTGCTTTTCCCAGCAATATTTTATCATTTGTTATATCGTACAATGTGTTATTGATTCAGTTTAACAGAAATCCCTTGTAAGGTGTAATTTGTTGATTATCCAGAAATAGTAGTTTTTGCTCAAGTATTGAGCTGCGCGTGTGACTGGTCGAACTCTGTTGCAGTACCCGGCGACGCTGTTGCTCACGGCCGACCACGATGACCGTGTGGTGCCGCTGCACTCGCTCAAGTACATCGCCGAGCTGCAGCACACGCTGGGTGGCGCGCCCGGCCAGACGAACCCGCTGCTCATCCGAGTGGACACCAAGGCCGGCCACGGCGCCGGCAAGCCCACCGCCAAACAGGTCAGTCCGCCGGGCGCAGGGGAGGGTACTATCTGCGACTTAAACATCAGCCAGCAGCTCAGTCCGCGTATCAGAAGGAGGCGGGACAGTGGCCGCTGCAGGCCGCTCGTACAGCCGTGTCGCTGGGTAGGCCCGGCGGCACAAGGCACGCACCCTGCTCAGATAAACTGGTGTAAACCATTATACAGCTGTAATCTGCACTGCCGGACTGCTGACCGTATCTCGTCCCGTTCCTCAGATCGATGAGTGTAGCGACATCTACTGTTTCATCATCCAAGCGCTTGGACTGCAGGTCCAGTAACTACCTCGCCCGCGTGCTCTGCCAATGGTACAACCGCCTAGCCAGCTCCGACATACAGTGTATCTAGGGTACAGTCTGCCTCCAGCCCCCGGCGCGCGCGCACACACAAACATCCAGCTCCACACCAGCGGCGGCGGCTCCGGCCCGCCGCTGACCGGCAGGCCACCTCAGTCCAGCGCCGCCCGCGCGCGCCCAGCGCTGGCGGCCGCTTCATTTTATTGTTGACTCTTACGTCCTTGATTTTGTTTTATGTTGATTTTTATTGTTTGTCCCACCCGGGGCCGGCGTCCCGGGCCGTTTTGCTCAAGGTATTCACTCTGCGTGGCAGTTGACGTTCTGCCAATGGTTTCCTACACATGAGCGCACGGCGGGACGGACACCGAACAACGCGCCGTGTGTCCGATTGTCGCTTTTCGTAATACCTCGGGTCCGCTATTGTACCGCGTGATTCACGCGGTACGGGCCGCCCAAGCAGCTGCTAATGTCACTGTTAACTCATGATCAATATACGTATCATTGATGGCCGCGGACGGGTTTCACATAGATGCTTTGCTGGTAGTTCCGTCGCGACTTAGATGTTGTGTGGCGTATGCGTTGGGACGTACGAAGCGCACTAACCCGCGGCCTGGTGTTTTTCAGTTTTGTTTCGATTACCGTATGACTTACAAGATTGCATGTCGATTGGGATGTCTGTCGATGTTGGGACCTGTCAAGATGTGCAGCGTTGGTGCATGTGTCGTTTTGTCAATTGCCATGGAGTCTTAAAACCGAAACACGGGTTCTGAATGTGATTTTCAACTACTGATATTCACATGACATATAAAGCCCCGTCGCCCCGTGGTCGTGTGTTTCATTATGCGCTTGGAGGTTCATTGCACTGCATAAACACACACGGCGAGTGTTCACTGTATTTATTGACACGCTCTGATTCCATTCGGAGTTCCGGCGTCTGCCCTGCCGAGTCGCCCAGAAGACGACTCCACCTTTACTGGGCTCGTACAAATGCACTGGACTAGCTACGGGGCAAGTCGGGACTGCGCCGCCGCACGTCGCTCAAAACACGGGTGAGCATCAGCCTGCCTATGAACTGTCCCGGCTCTGGCCATCACAGACCGCGCGTGGGCACCGAGCCGACCCGACTGACCGCTGCGACTGGCGCGCGGGGGTCGGGCCCGACCGAGACCAGCCACCAATCACACACGCACTCACACACTGACAGGCAGCCGCACCGGTCCCGGGTAGCGCCGCCCGGGAAAACTCAAACCCGCTACACGCGCGCCCACAAACGGCGCGCTTACAAGATGCTGAGATATATGATCACTCCTGCGCGCCGACAACAGACTATGCATTCGCCACTGGCTCCTGAGTCTGGTCGGAGCAGAGTACGGCCCCGCTCGGAGACCGGAACGGGGCGGCGCCCTTCCCTGCCGTGATCGTCGGGCGCCGTACTGATAATAACCGCTATATCAGCTCGGCCGAGACGCATACACACTCCAACTTTCCGCGCTAGTAATATCTACGGATCTCCTACGGCCGTTTCAAACATCAGAGAATAAAACGATCAAATCACTCTAAAGCTCGTTCATCGCCAACTCATTCAGTGCCCATCGGGAAGGTTGTTCAGTTTACTAGTCATGGTAGCAGGTCGCCGGACGGCGACGAAAATCTAGCAAGGACTAAGAAGAGAGGAGGCATTTGAAAAAGGGGTGACGGCAATCCGATAGGGCCTTTGCAACTCTCGCGCTAAATGTGCGTGACCAAGTCCAGTGCAATATTCGGACTAGTGTAATGCACGCGACAGCAGAAACTGCTGTCCGGTGCCATCATACGAACACTCGCTGGGAGAACTGAGTCGGGCCTACCCTGATCCACCGGCCGGCCGGTCTACGCCCGGTCGTCAGCCCGGTCGGACGCTCAGCTGGTGACAAGCACCGGCGCGGCGCGGCGCAGGTCCGTCTTGGGCAGATTCTCGAACAGCATGGCGCGGTTCTGGCCCTCGGCCTTCTTCACCCAGTGGCCGTAGACGCGGAACGCGCACGCGTCTATCACCTGTGGACAGGTTGGGGTAGAGGCCGGTCAGACCACGGGTGGGACTGGCAGCTCGTAAGTGACGATACAACGGGCGGGTGCTGAATGCGCACCAGGTGAAGCGTTTCGGAGTCTCAGTGAACTGCAAACGTAACCACTGGAGCCACCTGTGCTGTCAAGATTTCAAGACACCGCAGTGTCTTGAAATCTCAATCTCATGAACCAGTGCACTGGTTCATGAGAAAAAAAAAACAAAAAAAAAACAGGCAGCGTCCTGACCTTCCGTAGCGCCTTGATCCGGTACGGGTCCATGATGGCCACGGAGACGGACAGGGCCTCGGGCGTGTACTTGAGCCGCTGGATGCGCACGGCCGCGCGCACGCTGTTGATGGCCAGCTTGAACATCCGCCGGCCGGAGAAGGGCCGCTCGCGAGCCTGGTGAGCAGACGGTGCGCAGTGTCACAGGCCAGCTCAGCTCAGAGTACGGAAAGGTGGGCCCGCGACTGACTGCGGGTCATAACGGTCAGCCACAGCTGGGTATAAATCAGGTCACCGTAAGATCGGTGGCTCGTGGACTGTGCTCAGCACGGAGTCAATTGTTAGTGGCTTAGTTTCAATCGACTGGTCTGACGCCATGCTCTTTATGAAATAAGTCACACGGTATAGGTGCGGCGTCCCAGAAAAAAAAAACGAGGGCGACGGAAGAACTGAGAAGACTGAATTTCGAAGGCTGGATGAAAACATATGGTCAAGAATTACATTAGAAGTAGGTAACATGCTCGTTATCAGCTTGAACTAATGACCGCAAATCATAGCTAGGCATCATATACGAGGGTAAAACTAATCGGCTGATATGTACGCTAGCAATGTAATCGCCACAAAGGGCATATACGGTCAAGAGGGATTCAAGTTGTAATCGCCTACCTTGCATGCCAAAGGGGTTGGTTTCTTCAGTGTGCGACCTGCAACCATTGAGTGCGCGACCCGCAACCATTGGGTGCCCTTACAGCCGGCATTGTACCTATAGTAGATACTGCACTACCCAGCTATGGCTGATTCATGTTTGTGTGAAGATGACCAGTGACAGCCAGGCAAACGATAAGAAAATGTTTTAAAAAGGCACGTAAATTGAAAATCCGCATGCGACATGCAAACCTGGGGAAGGAAAGGGAAACAATGTAAATTTATGCCTGAGATATAAGCTCTTATAAATGCGAACCCAATTGTTAAAAAATCGCGACTGTGAGCTTTTATAGCCAGCATCTCCATTTACCGTTATTGAAAGGAGGTAGTTGCCTCACAATGAGGTTGCTCCAAGTTCATGATCGCAAGCGGGTTAGTGTGAAGGCGATTGCGCTGGCTCGGATAACTAGAAGCAAAATTTAAATTTATCGCCCTCTTTACGGGTCCGTAACAAATTGAGGTCCGCTGATTGCTGAAGGGACGGTTTGGGAGGTGGGCGGGGTAGCGGGCCCGGGGCTGCGCCGGCCGTTCGGTGCCAGTGCCCGGGCTGCGCCACGCCGTCCCGGCTCTCACCTCTACCGTCGGCGCCTCCTCGAGGTCCGGCGGGGCCGCGGGGCAGGGGGGAAAGTCCTGTCATGCACAGGACACAGGCACACGGGTCAGCAGAGAGGCGGCCGTGTCCAGCGCCGGCCGGCCGGCCGGGTCGGGCGCGGCCTCAGCACGGCGGGCGCCGCCGGAGAGACGGCGGTGGCCGCCCGCGACTGTGTCCCAAAACCACCGACAGGTGTCATAGAGAGGACAGTAGAAGCTATTACAGAAACGAAGACTTGTAGAAAATGCCAAAGAAAAGTAACGAGAGAGTGAAAGATGAGAGAAGTAAGCAACGTGCTTGAAAAGACTTAAAAATTGTCCATTTTCAACATTAATTATGTGACGCTATTTACGTCACTCGAAATCGTGGCATTTTGGCATAAGTTAGCGGATATTTTTTTTTTTTTTTGGAAAGACATTTTCAGTCCAAAGCAGACGATTTTGAGACACTGGCCACGGGCGTGACCAACCGCCATCCCAACCGGCTGCGGAGGCAATACAACACTGGCCAAATACACAGCACTATTATACAGTGAAGCCGCTGCTGAACTACGGTCTATTGTGAGCTGCGACATCGAGAGAACATGATTAGAACTAGCTACGGAGGCTGCGGCGGGTTACTGGTGAAGCGCTTAGCACACACGTCCTGCTGCACCGGCGACTGTGGCGGCCGTCGGCGCTCAATGACGCATCGCGGTGGCGGACCGCGCTGGCAGTCTCCCCACTACGGGGAGCGGCACAGGTCACCGATTCCCGGTCTCTGCACCTAGAGAAGCCGGCGGTCCCAGCGTGTACCGCCAGCGTGCAGCACTCCTACACAGCGCAACTACCCCATTTATTAATATAGGCACGTATAGATTTTTAACCCAAAACATGCATTGAACCTAACAGTCTTTTCATCTGCTGACTTTGTAAAATGTCGAGATTTAGATATAAGCCATTTATAGCTGTTACATCCCGAACATAGTAAAAATCAAAGTAAAAACGTCGGTGTTACGAGTCAATACCGTGGAACGTTTGTATTAAACTGCAGTGCCGCCATCCCCGTTATAATGTCAATCGGCGCCGGAGTTCCTCCGATTGCACCACAGGCCGGCTGCAGGTCGGCAGCGGCCCCCGAGCATGTGTCAGTCACGTTAGCAACAGAGAAAACCATAGAAAACGCGCCACGGCGGCGCCATGCACGGCACCTCCACCACAGAGCCCGGCCCGGTCAGGGACGGTGACCCCAGCTCACCACCGAACCTGCACCGGCTCCCAGGGCGGCTCAGCAGTGAACCAGAGGTGGCTCCGCCTCAGCAGCAGCTCAGCTCAGCAGCAGCTCGGCAGCAGCTCGGCTCAGCGGCTCAGCTCAGTGGTTCAGCAGCGAGCCAGCGGCGGCTCAGCCTCGGCCACTCGGCCTGGATGGCGGCAGTTGACCATGCACAGGGAGGGATGGGGAGGGATGGGGTACGTACCGTGACCCGGTGGAAGAACGGGTGCTGCAGCGCCTCGCGGACGGTGATCCGCCGCGCCGGGTCCACCGTCAGCAGACGCGAGATCAGGTCCTTGGGCGCGTCTGAGCGCACAGCGCCGCAGCAGGTCAGTCATGGCAGGTGTGTGCGTGTGAGGGAGGCGAACGTAAGATTGGTTGGTTCAGGGAACGTAGCATACTAGTGCTTAAAAAGCAAAGTACCACAGTCCACATTTGATCACACGTCTATAGTAATGTGATGTCAGCTGAAGCATAAATCGGCACAGCTTAGTTCGTACAAAAAAAAAACATCAAGTCACGTAACGTTACTGCAAACGTGTCACAAACTGACCCTCTCGAATGCCGCGGGTTGTCGTCATTGACGTCATCGCTCTCACCTGTGACGTCATCCCACTCGGGCGAGCCGAACGTGAACTTGCCCTCCATGATGTTGCGCAGCATGACCATCTGTTTGCGGTGCCAGAATGGTGGACAGCCGACCAGTCTGCGAGATGGCAGCAGCAGCGTCAGACAGCAAGGCTATTCGGTATACCTTCATATCATATACCGCCGGGTGACCAGTCGAGGAACTGGCAGCAACCGTCGGTCCGGCGCTAGCATAAGTAACTTCGTAAGCAAATCTTTAATAATATAAAGCTTTCTTGGCAAAACTACTACCAAATTTACACCACATGCATCAATCATTTTATTCATTAACGTCCCTGCAGTGGCAAACAGTGGTGTTCCCGTACGGTCTAATCGCAAATGACTATGAATAGTTATTACGCTTGTGATGTGATCCGACTAGGCTAGAGACTGGCACAAAAGTACCCCACCATGCTCTGGAGAGACGGGAGGATACTCACAGTGTGTACATGACGACACCACACGCCCAGCTGAAACCCAAACCGTTGGTAAGCATCAACACATTTATATACGAACCTTAGAGACACTGCCTGGCTATACTGAACTCGAAAAACACACCGCTGTTTATTACATAATATCATAGCTAAAGGGATTGTATCGGTCATAAGCTATTTTCAAGCCAGCATTGGTTGTCATTACAATTACACGTAGTCATACTAAAAAATAATACCGGAGCAATTAATGCAATCACATTGAAAGCATATTCAAGACTAATCCAAGCCCCGAGGCTCCAAGTTTACACTTCTCCAGACTGCTTCTGGTATTCAAATAAATGACTGCACGATTAAAGTTTTTATGTAAGCAGCATGCGGCAAGATGACAGGCTTTGATGAACCTAGAAAAGCAGTAGGATCTAGGTAGCTATAGTAAAATACCCATGCACTGCAAACAGAAAATGCAAGCCAATAGCCAGGTAGGAAAGTTCAGACGCATTCTTGGTTTTGACACTAGTTAGACCGCATTGGACCACTTTATAAAGAATGTAAGATATAACGTGGCCTTGATACCTTCATTGCTCAACAGTGGATAAATGACATCATATTTGCCAACACAGAATGCAATTCACGGAATCCGATACTGGAACAATTTGGAGCATCTGAAAAGTGTATTGCACGCAGCCGCAAGTACAAATGCATCGAAAAGACGCTTAAGAAGCATGCTCGGAGACGAGGCCGTTGGGCGGGTGAGCGGCAGTGGCCGGCCGTGCGGCGGGGGCGGGGCGGAGCGGGGTCGGAGGCAAGGCGGGGCGGGGCGGGCCGGACTCACAGGTCCACCGGCTGGCCGTATCCGGGCGCCTCCTCGTACAGACCGGACCGGATCAGCTCCGGCGCCATGTAGCCGGGCGTGCCCAGAATATCTGCGCGCACACACACAGACAGACGGCCGGCGCCGGTCTCAGAGCTCGGTCCCGTCCCGTCCGCCGGCCGCACACTCACACTCCATGCAGTCTGGCAGACGGTGCCGGCGGAGCGTTGGACCGGGACGCCGGGCGGACAGCTGGGGCTGCTGGCTGGGGCTGGTATCTGAGGCTGCTGACTGGGGCTGCTGGTTGGGGCCGTGGGCTGGGACTGGTATCTGAGGCTGCTGACTGGAGCTACTGGCTGGGGCGGTGGGCTGGGGCTACTGGCTGGGGCTGGGGCCAGTGTCTGGGGCTGTGGGCTGGGGCTACTGGCTGCGGCAGTGGGCTAGGGCCGTGGGCTGTAACAGCTAGAACCGAGGGCTGTAGCGACTCTAGCTGGATACGACACGAATGGCAGAGCTACTGGCTGGGTCTGTGGTGGCTAGGGCGGCGTCTGGGACTCCTAGCCGTGGTTCGGGGCGGCAGACGGAGAGCCAGGGGCCATAACAGTTGGGATCAGCTGGGCCGATCACTAGGATTTTGTGTTCCTCTCGTGTCTGAGGAGAGGTTGATCTGATAAAAAAAAAAATGATTTGTCATTGGACCATCATGGGTAAATGTCATACTTTGCTCAGTCTGTATGTAATATTGTATACTGCGTACTTGTTATCTTGGTTGGAGCAGCTAAGCAGGTCGTTATGATTCAAGGTGGCTTATATTTATATACAGAACAATTTAGAGTCATGGTCGGAAGATCATTTGTCATCCAGCTTATCCCGTTCCTCAGTCCAGTAGGTGAGTCGCTATCAGTCCACTCCTAATGCAGTCAGTCACGCCCGTCCTGTCCACTCCTGGTGCAGTCAGTCACGCCCGTCCTGCACCTATCCTGCAGTTAGTCAGGTACAGCCCACCGCTAAAGTAATGTAGGGTTTTACCAATCTCAACGGTTGGCTTTGACTGACGATTGTTTAATGCGGAGTGATCGAAAAGAAGATGTCAATAGCTAAAGTTGCAGCTGCAAGGGTGACGATACATATAAGTCACATTCAAAGTTTTATTGTAGTCTGGCTAATCGTTCCTAAGCTTCAGAAGCAAAACATACCCATGACTGAAACCCCACATTACTTCTGCTGTGGACTGTACATGGTCATTGGTCAGTCCGTCATCGTGCCCGCCATCCTCGCGGGGGTACATGCCGTCAGTTTGGGCCCAGAATCCCCCAGCACGGGCCAACAGTCCAGCCGTCTCTCCAGCCCGTCAGTACCCTCACCACTACCAGTCTCCCCAGAGCCCCCACCGACCAGTCGGCGTCCCAGCCAGTCTCGCTCGCGGCCCGGTCACCCAGCCCAACTCCGCCGGCACCCGCCTCACACGGCTAGCGACACGAGACGCAAACAAAAGGCCAGCAAGCTGTAATGCACCACACAACAGCGACTAGGGAGCACACTGGCTGCTGGGCTGGGCTGGGCCGGGCGGCGGCCGCGGCCCGGGTGAGTGAGGCGGCTGGCAGCTGCGGACCGGCGGCACCGGCGGCCGGCGACTCACGTGTCCACTTCGAACCGGTAGCCGGGCGCCGTCTCGATCATGTTGGCTCGCAGCAGCTCGGGCGCCAGGTAGCCGGGCGTGCCGACCAGATCTGCGGTCACGCGCGCGAGACGCCGGCCGGCGGCCACCGCTCTCACCTCACTGACACACTGACAGACACTGGTACCGACACACACCGACACACTGACATCAGCGGTGACACCGACGTCCAACACCACAGCCATGACACTGACACCCGCAGTAGCAAAAGACCGACACTGACAGCAACACAGACTCTGACGCCGACATCGACAGTCGACACTGATACCCGCAGTAACATCACTTATGGCACACACTGCGCCATATCATTGACATCCACAGTAACACTGACACTGATACACGGACCGAGAGTGATACTGGTCACAGGTCACGACCTGATCCCCAATCCTGACTGCGGCCCAACACTGCCCAGAGGCCGATCAGTCCAGCTGCACCCAATAAACTGGATTTCATGGTATAGTATTATCTGGCACAAATATAGCTGAAATGCCGCGATACATACCTACTGCTCAGTTTCTTAACCCTCGCCGGCCGAGGGGGGGGGGCGGGTGCCGCCCCCCCCCCCCATAGGGTTTTTTCGCGATAGCTCCGAACACGCTGGCGATAGAGAGCTGAAACTTGGCATACCTGACCTTTGATCCAAGCCGGATCTTTTGACACCAACCGCATTTTTGGGTCAGGTCAGGTCACTGACCTATGACGTCATAAGTGAACCTCTGCACGGTCTTCAGATGTCGCAACTTCGCAACGCCCTCACTGCCAGAGGAGAGGTCACAGGGAAATGAAACTTGCAGGATCTAGTATCCATTATGAGTCCCACAACTTGTATATCTCGGATTTTTCCTAAAGGTCATATGAGGTCAGGTCATTTTCGTGACCTCACCATTATAAGTCAATGGGGAAAAATTCAAACTGCTATTCTGGCGCCGGGAACGATCTCCAACTATCTCAAGCACACAGAATCGTGATTTGATGCACTCCTTGCAAGGTTAGATGCGTCACTTTTGCAATGTAGACCTTGCGTGACGTCATTTATGACGTCATCAAGGTCAAATTAGTTTTTCGTCAATAACTCTTGATCAAATTGAGCTAGCGAGTCGGGAAAGGCACCAATGGACTCAGGAAGGCCTGCCGAATCGAATGATATGCGACATGACCTCTTTCGACCAACTTCGTGACCTGGGGGTGCTGACCTGACCTTGACCTGAGGTCAACACCCCAAGTTGACCTGACCCGGACAAAAAGTATATCATTCGACGCGCCTGAGCGAGGCGAACACGATGCTGCCAAAATCGGCGCTCTGCGGCCGTTTTTTGCGAAGTTATTCACCAAAAACTGAACCGTACCCTGGGGCACTTGACCTGACCTCAGAGGTCACCGGTTGACCTAGGACCTTAAAATCGGGTACCAATCTCTGCGTCTCGTAACGGCGCACACGCTCGTTTTTTTCCGCGACGCGCTAGCTCCACCAGGGGCAAAACGGCGAGGGGGGGTCGTACCCGCCCCCCCCCCCCCCTCGGCCGGCGCGTATGTAGAAAACCAATAGGTCCGGCGAGGGTTAATCTACCCCGTGAGACAGACCATGTGCTCAGATGACTGTCATTTCGCGCGTGCCTCACCAAGGACTATGCATCTATATGATTACGCACTCCATTCAAGTACAGTACCAGCTCATCTTAACGTTGACTTCTGTGCTCCTAGGTCCAATGCTACCGCACTTTTTTAACACCCAGAGAAACAAGCCGTCAGCTGCTTCTCACACATGAAATATACGAATGAATGACAGGTGCGTGCGTACAAGAACCCTGCGCCACCTATCCACCATCCCACCACTGCTCTGCGGCGGCGACTCACCGTATAACTCCTCTCCTGGCCGGAGAATGCGCGCGAACCCGAAGTCGGTCAGCTTGATGTCCAGGTTGTCGTCCAGCAGGATGTTCTCCGGCTTGACGTCCCGGTGCACCACGGACTTGTCGTGCACGTGCAGCAGCGCCTCAAACAGCTGCTTCATTATGTGCCTAGTGTGGAGATGTGGACGCTATCAGAGGGAGAATGATGGTAAAGGATCGCGAGACATAGACAGAGACCAATGACCTCAAGTACATACACAGCCTAGAAAACATCGTAACACTTACACTGCTGCCTGGTCGGCTTTTATGCATCAAACAAGGGGGTGCAGAGGTGAAAGTACGCTATCAATTGTCGCCGGTTGATAAAACAAAACATATGATAACGTTTCGTTTGAAGGGACATGTTGACGTAACGCCACATTCTTGACACCCAGGCAAGCTTCATATCAGACGTGCGCTTATGTTCAATTTATTTCAAAATGTGCTTAAACCAGTGGTGCTAGAGAGCGCGAGCCAATTACGCTTGATCGTGCACCTTGTTCGGTAACGACAAACATTTTAACAAGGCAAGGTGGAAAGTGTGAAGAGATATCATGCTATTCGTGGTCACAATTATAACTTAACCCTCGCCGGACCTATTGGTTACGGAGCGAGCGAAGCGAGCGTAGTCTTTCCTTAGATTAACGGAAATTTCTGAGTATGAGCGGCCGGCCGGCCGGCCGTGGTCACGCTTTTGCGAGGCTTATATCTCAGCAACCACTTGACCGATTTACACGCGGTAATTTTTGTAGGGTAGCTTCATTCCTTCTACCAAGTATTGGACTATTCCCGATGCATGTAGGTGACCCCTTATGCACGTGCCACGTGCAAAACGAAGAGGTGTCACTTTTGTAATTGTTGCAATATCTCGGTAACTACTTGGCCGATTGCGCTGAAAGTTGGCATGTAGGTAGGCACCCACTAGGCAATGCATATCCATGTGCCAGAGTTGGGGTGCTGCTGCACGTGCGCACGTGCAGGGGTCGATTCCAGATCTCGAGAACGGCTGGACCGATTGCGCTCAAATTTGGTACACGGTTACGGAGCAGTTAGTAGGGTGCCGTGCACAAGTCAGTTGGGACCCATTTTGCACGTGCGCACGTGCAGGGTGCCGCTTCCAGATCTCGAGAACGGCTGGGCCGATTGTGCCCAAATTTGGCACATCGCTAGAGACCGGTTAGTAGGGCGCCGTGCACAAGTCAGTTGGAGGTACCCCCTCGCAATTTCGCACGTGCAAGGCCCACCCTCTCGCTCGCTCCGTTAGTCGCCCCATAAGGCGCTATACTGGTTTTCTACATACGCGCCGGCCGAGGGGGGGGGACGGGAGCGGGTACGACCCCCCCCTCGCCGTTTCGCCCCTGGTGGAGCTAGCGCGTCGCGGAAAAAACGAGCGTGTGCGCCGTTACAAGAGGCAGAGATTGGTACCCGATTTTAAGGTCCTAGGTCAACCGGTGACCTCTGAGGTCAGGTCAAGTGCCCCAGGGTACGGTTCAGTTTTTGGTGAATAACTTTGCAAAAACGGCCACAGAGCCGCGATTTTGGCAGCATCGTGTTCGCCTCGCTCAGGCGCGTCGAATGATATACTTTTTGTTCGGGTCAGGTCAACTTAGGGTGTTGACCTCAGGTCAAGGTCAGGTCAGCACCCCAAGGTCACGAAGTTGGTCGAAAGAGGTCATGTCACATATCATTCGATTCGGCAGGTCTTCCTGAGTCCATTGGCGGCTTTCTCGACTGGCTAGCTCAATTTGATCGGGAGTTATTGACGAAAAACTAATATGACCTTGATGACGTCATAAATGACGTCACACAAGGTCAACATTGCAAAAGTGACGCATCTAACCTTGCAAAGAGTGCATGAAAGCACGATTCTGTGTGCTTGAGATAGTTGGAGATCGTTTCCGGCGCCAGAATAGCAGTTTTCATTTTTCCCGTTGACTTATAATGGTGAGGTCACGAAAATGACCTGACCTCATATGACCTTTAGGAAAAATCCGAGATATACAAGTTGTGAGACTCATAATGGATACTAGATCCTGCAAGTTTCATTTCACTGTGACATCTCCTCTGGCATTTTTTTTTTTTTTTAATTTAGTCTTCCCGGCATGCCTAAGGCAACCGCCAGGGAAGGGGAAATTACTAAGGCTGGCAATGAGCCAGATCTTTCGTTTTACTTTACTTTACTGTCAGCTATTTAATTCTGACCCAAGCAAGAGAGAGAAGCAAACTTTAATTTAATTCGGCTCATGTGGCGTCCGATTAACAAGGCAAGGGTGTCCAGAAAGGGGTAGAATATTCATACTTGCTGCTGTAAATCTTGCTGCTAATGGTGTGAGGTGTTGCAATGTGTGATGTTTGTTGTGGGATGTATTTACCAGGAAAAGTCCTAACTAGAAAAAAACCTGGTGCCTAAGTCAAGGGGCAAAAACTGTCGAGTACAGTAAAAATCCCCGCAATAGTTACGTTACGTTATATCTCTAATGTGGACAGTGAAAGTGTAATTGCGCAGGCTGTTCGCAGGGATCGGCCAAAATAAAAACCGGCCTACCGAGTGAGACAGCCAGCGGGTTATGGCAGCCGGTGTGACCCGGGTGCCCCAGTCATGTCCCGCCCGTCTTAGGGGTACAACTTTGACTGGAATTTGGTGGCTCTGGAGGAGTAGCCGTGAGGCATAGCTCGACTCCTAGGCAGCGATGTTGGTAGGGCTAGTGGTTACCCGTTGGAGGAATTCTCTGAAGGAAGATACGGCGTCCGTGGTGAGGGGGTCCGTCAAAATAGAAGCCAGCCACGGCTGCCCTGTACAGTCTGTCTTAAAAGTACCGCGCAAAGTGGCGGTGGATCCATCGAGCCTGACTGAGGAAGGGCCTGCTAAATTTGGGTCACCGAAGCAATGGACATTCTCGTCCATTCCCCAGCTCAATTGGTTCGGTGACTTTCAAATTAAAGCAGACCTTTCTCGGTCAGGCTTGATGGATCCACCGCCACTTTGCGCGGTACTTTTAAGACAGACTGTACGCTTTGGATTCTGGGCGAAGGTCAAGGTCGTATAGTCGGATTTCATGGTCAAACCAGTAGAGGATGGAGGGAGGGTAGGGAAGTCGCCTGCCGCTGGCATACTCAAACTTCAGCGACCCGATTTCAGGTGGAGGGATCTCACCCCTGGGACGTCTCTTCGGGATCAGGTCTGGATCGGGATCGTCGGTGTCGTTTCGGGGGTTGTCAGGCTGGAAGCTCGCCGTGTAGCCTCGGGTGAACGGCCTGCTTCGAGAGCAGCCGAAGTCGTCGGGGTCCGTGGTTGGTGTCGGTGAGTCAGGGGTGTCAGTCTGGACTTCGGCGGAGACCAGTCGGGCGGGTCGAGTTTGAGACGTCGAGTCGAAGGTGGTCAGTTTGGTCGTTTGGGTGCTGGCGTCGGTCGTCTGAGAGCTGGCTGTCTCGGTCTGGGTCTGAATAGGGACTGCGGTCGCCTTAGGGGCCATGACCTCACCATCTGTCTGGACAGAGGCGTCTGTGTGAGCCAGAGGGGGCTGCGTCGTTCGGTGCTGGCTCTCGAGTGGTGGCCAGGCTGTGGAGTTGAGCGGCGGGGGTTGAAATGGCGTTCGCTCTCGAGTGTCTCGTTTGGTGGCTTTCCAGACGGGGCAGCTGTTTCGGTCCCATGCTGGGTGTGGACCAGAGCAGAGAGGGCACTTTGGGACCGAGGTACAGTCACCTGTGGGGTGGCTGTCCCTGGCAGAGCACTGCCCGCAGACAGTCTCTTTCCGTCGGCAAGAGCGCATGGAATGACCTAGCTTCCAACACCTACGGCATTGCCTTGGCAGCTGGATCCAGGGTCGAACAGGGACGGAGAGGTACCCGCAGAGGAGCTTTCTTGGGAGGTCGAGTCCTTTGAAGCGAAGTCGAATCAGGGGGTTTGGAGTTCGATCTTTAGATTTCAGTCTCTGAACCTCGATAACACCCTGCGGGGCTAGTTCGGCGAGAAGCTCTTCGTCAGAGAGGTCGCTGAGGTCCGGACAGTGAATGAGACCCTGTGATGACATCAGGTTGGTAGCGAGAATAGCCGAAACAGGTTTTCCGAGCATGGTTTGGCAGGAGAGAAGGGCAGAACTTTGGTCTTTGTTGAAGGTCGAGATGAGAATTTTGCCAGATCCGAGTTGTTTCGTTTTTTCAACTTCCGAGTCACAGATCGAGCGGATTTCCCTGATGATGGCGAACGGGTTCCCTCGCAGTGGAGTGCCATCAGGCCGGCTCATCAGGATGAGAGCGCGGCCTTCTGGTGGGTCAAGGTCGGGTGGGAGACGCGCCCCTGGAGGCGGTCCGGTCGAGTCCATGGCCATGATCGGGGTCTGTTACAGGCAAAGATAAAAAGTCCGGTTCGTTATCACCGCTAGGTTTCCCCGGACTGAGCAGTTAACCTAGATGACCTACCTACAGTCACATAGAGCAAAAAGAGCTGAAGGCTTACTCAAAGTTAGCGACCAAGGTCGTCCATGGACGACCCTGGAGCTCAGTGAGGACACCGTGCGCTAACTGACGTGAAGCGTCGAACTGGTGCGTGAATATCGAAGAATCCAAGGTTTGCGCGAAAAAAAAGATCGTCTCTCCTCTGGCAGTGAGGGCGTTGCGAAGTTGCGACATCTGAAGACCGTGCAGAGGTTCACTTATGACGTCATAGGTCAGTGACCTGACCTGACCCAAAAATGCGGTTGGTGTCAAAAGATGCGGCTTGGATCAAAGGTCAGGTATGCCAAGTTTCAGCTCTCTATCGCCAGCGTGTTCGGAGCTATCGCGAAAAAAAACCCTATGGGGGGGGCGGCACCCGCCCCCGCCCCCTCGGCCGGCGAGGGTTAATAATAGTTTATCAAATAAAATAGGGGTATTAAATTCCAAAATCAGTCAGATAATACTTAACAAACTTAGCTTAGCACAACCCAGCCCCAGACTTCACATTAACGAACTGACAGCCAATGAAAAGCAATGTGTCACCAATGCAAAGTGTGCCAGATTCGCCCCCATTCAGCTGTCTTAACAGCACACCTCAGCTGCCCCCCCCCCCCTTTCTCCCCCGTCGGAAAATAACGGTTAGTGTCGCGGCTGACAGCTCAGCACGTTTGTGTTTACATGTAGTGGCCAGACGCCTGACAAACCCCGCGAGAAGCACACACGATCACCGGGTGCCGCGGCAGCTAATTTCATCAGCTTGCATCAGCACACAGCTGGGTACGATGCCAACTTCCCGACACCCAGTTAACGGGATAGGACATCCAACCTTCAGGAGTCACACAGAAAGACAGGGAGACAACCCTCAGAAATAAAAATAGCGGCCACGTGAGAAATCCGCAAAACCCGATTATTGCTCTGTGCAGTGTGCAACTATCAGGTAAATGCCAGAGCATAATTTCGTCGTTCCAAGGGCGAAAAAGCACTTAAATATTGACTTGCAAGGATTCCGATATAAATCGCACTTAGATAAATCAACGTTATCACGCCGGAATATCCACGGATGCACTGACGGAAAGTGTGACCTTTTTCCAGCTACCTATCTTATTGCCGTCTCCCTACACAGACACCGGGACCTGGGCCCTGTTTCTCGGCACGCCGCTTACAGTGCGCTGCGCTGCGCTTAATCAGTATTGGTGCGGCGTTTACGACAATTTCGCCGCGACGCTTCAGCGTTGCGAGCATCCGAGTTTGTTGATGTTTCCATGGAAACCAAATACAACGCTACGCGTAGCGCGCTGTGGCGCACTGCCGCGGAACAGGGCCCTGATGGGAGTACAAGCATTTAACGATAGCCGAGAATAAAAGTTGCATAATAACAGCACCCATATATTCGGTTAAGTTACGGGACCTCGGCAACCGGCATAAAACCAATGCCGCGTGCATCTGCATTTCAAACTGAACGCACCAATGCGGTTTAGCTGTATTCGTTAACCCTCGCCCGTAAACGGCGATCTGCCACCTTCGCCCATGCAGGGGGGGGGTTGGTGCGACCCCCCCCCCTTGGCGTTTGAAAACGGAGCGTCGTAGAGCTTAGCGGAAAAGACCAACGGATTGCTCTCGCCGAGATCTCGCGATTGGTGGTATATTTTTTGGTCCTAGGTCAACATTTGACCTACTTTTGACCGGTCAAAGGTCAAATTTTCGGAAAAATAGACTTTTTTCAACTTTCGGCGGCGATTGCGGCAAAATGGTGGGAGATATCGACTTGAAACCTTCACTATCGTGTTCCTTGATCAATTCTCTATCGTTTGGTATGTATTTCGTTTCCCTAGCTCTAAAAATGGCGCGTTGGGAGCGCCGGAAGTCGGCAAGGTCACAGTCGGCGGCAGAAATTCGAAAAATCAAAATTTAATTTTTTGAAATCTGATTGTATTTTTGGATTTGGGAGGTCCATTTGCTCCCTATAGAAGCTAATATTGCTGCATATTCCCATTGAGGTGACAAGAAATAGCAAAATAGTGGTACGGGCGCTTTTCAAAAATAGTACCGGACGCTGTTCCTCTTGTGACGTCATAGCTCCGTGACCTGACCTGACCCGGTCAAGTTTCTTATACCATATGATAGCCAATACTTGCCCCAACATGCATGGGAAGTTTCATCACGATCCATCACCCGATGTCCGTACCACCGGCAGGAAACCTCGGGCGTTGGCACTCAGTTTGTGAAAATCCGGCCGGAGGCTGTTCCCTTTGTGACGTCATAACTCCGTGACCTGACATGACCCGGTCAATTTTTTTTTTATCAAAAGATGCGCAAGGTTTGCCCCATAAGGTACCCAAAATTTGGCGGCGCTGCGCGCCGCCGTTTTTGCACTATTTCCGAAAAACCTCAGGGGGGGGGTTGCACCAACCCCCCCCCCTACATGGGCGAGGGTTAAATATTATAGGAACGAACGTTTGTAATAAATATAAAAATAGATGCAGAACATCACACTGTCAACTACCTACGTTAATCCCACCTCATCGATTCGGAGGTATGTAGCACAGAAAAGCAGAAACGCAAAATCATCAGACTGTGTGCAAACTTACTTGGTCTTTTTCTCGGAGAGTGTGACGACGGTTGTGAGGTAGTCAAATAGTTCACCTTGCCTAAGCAGTTCGAACACCAGGAATATATGGGTCGCGGACTCGAATACATCGTGGAGTTCGACTGAAACAAAAACCAGCGTGTTTAACTAGACAGGAAAACAATCGTAACCCGATGCAGTTATCTCCTTCAACTGGGATGCGATTCAGTGGTGTACTGAAATTGGAAAGGTAGACAGGATGTCCATAGTCCACCATACATTTGTTTTGCTCATGCAAACACATTTTGCTATTCCCTAACAGGCTTTTTTTTCCTCCAACAGAAGCTGGGGCCACCAGTACCTCACTGCAGCAGAGGGGAGTAGTCTCACATGTCTGTTCATAGTTCAGCGCTGTATCTGGCTAATACAGTCTGCTGAATAAGCTCGGTATCTGCACGTGGCCATGGCAGCCGGCGGTCCACCCGCAGTCACTCACTGACGTAGGGGTGGCCCTGGACCATGCGCAGCACCTCCACCTCGCGGTGCGTCGACTCTTTGATGTCGGAGCCGTGGTCCGCCTCGCTGATGTCGATAATTTTGACGGCATACTCGGTGCCCGTCTCCTTGTCGACACAGCGCCGCACAGTGGAGCTCACACCTCTGTTTGAACAGAATGATCCACCATTCAACAATACAAAAATAAACAACCAGACCAGCCTCTAGCATATGCACGAGACAGGCAAATTCAATAAATGAATCATAAACTGCACAGCTGTTTAGTCGTGTCTGCAGTTGCACACAAACGAGTAGCAACCATGCAACTTGACCATTTATTGCCTCCAGATTTATAACATTTGATAGGAAACAAACAGAATAGACTATTCCTAGACTCGTACCTAGTAGGTAACATTACCTTACAACTAGGGCTGCGGAGTCGGAGTCGGTCGGAGTCGACAGTTCTACAAGGAGTCAGAGTTGGAGTCGCCAAAATCTTACCGGAGTCAGACTTAACATCGCATTGATCAAAGTCATGCCTTATACTGTTAACTTGACAATATTGTGCTCAATGTCCCTTCAAAATCAGATTATTTCGAAGCGAAGGTCATACCCGTTTTGGAAGAGCGTTTTTATAAAAAAAAACCTGAGGGGTGTTCACGGGCACCGCACACTGCTGCGTGCGCTGTGTGCGGTGCGTCCAGCAGGCGTGGGGGTAGGGGATGGGTAGGCGGTTCTGACGTCACGGCTGCGTGCGGTGGACGGTCCGCTGTGGCCAGTCCCGACCGGCCACAGCGATCGCTGTGTGCGGTGACGGAAGGCTGACGTAGGGACGCAGTGGGCGGAGCTTGGATGCCGTGTGCGGTCCGACCGCACACAGGGCCCGTGAACAGCCCTCTGGCTGTAGCTGCGCCAAAACCTGCTTTTAACTTTGTAAGCTATATAAGAGTAAATTTGCAATAAAAAAACGCATAGACAGTCGATTCAAGCAAGATAAGAAGATTCCCGACATTAACTTTACTTTGATGATGTGGCGACTTAAACGGTAATGTCCGGAGTCGGAGCTGGAGTTAGAGTCGACGTCGATCTTTGAAGTCGGAGTCGGAGTCAACAAATAATCCGTCGACTCCGCAGCCCTGTTTCTAACTATATTTGATGCTGTGTCCCGTCAGTGTAGAATGAAAAATTCCTAGAAGAATGTGCAAAATTGTGTTGCATGCTAAGCTCACCTTCCAAGAACCTCCTTGGGCTCATATTTGCTATAGAACACTTTGGCTGTCTGTGAATCGGGCAGCACATCGTCCGTTTCATCGATCACAGTCATCGTCCTGCAAAATGGCCCAAACGTTAGAAGCACACAATGCATATTCATGTCATGTGAAACACGATCAAACATGGTCACTGGTATCAAAACACATCTTCTGTCCGAATTTTCTTCGAAGATGTATAATGGATGCTGCAGACTATTAGAATCACACCATACTTAGTACATATTCTAACCCAAAGCAATGACAATCACTTCCGAGAAAAGCATCAAGCCCATGATCACTGGACATGGACAGGAATAAGGTTCCATGTTAGCTACCTTACTATATCAGTTAATTCCTACAGTTCTTAGAGGGTGCCATGGATGAAGTAGGTATTCCTGGATAGGACACTCCGGCCTATTCCCCAACACTAGCGCTAGCGAGCATGTGGTCACCCGGATGGCGAAGTGCCGAAAAATCGGCAGCCAGGGCACCAGCGGCCACCGCAGTATGGGAGGTGTATAAACGTCATAGCGGAGAGCAAAATTAGCTAGTTTTATAAGCCATGAGCCATCTCTCCCTGGGAACCCCGAGACACAGTGTCCAGCATGCGGAACTCTGCTGAGTGTGGAGTCGATGCTATATGTATTTTATCTGCATGTTAAAAGTTTGCTTTCAAACTGTTGGGACATTAGGTATCTTTCACATCATAAGCACCTCCAGCACCCATTTAGACATTCCTCATCCTGCAAAGGTCAACCAATCTCCAGGCTCAAGCGCAAGCGTTCTCCATTCGCATTATCAACCACTGGAACACCCTTGAGCCTACCGTCGGCAGTTGTCGGATCTGACACTCGAACCAATTCAAAAACTGGCTTGATTGACGCCCATTAATAACACACTTTACACCCCTCATGCAGGCCACTAGTCAGACCCACTAGGAGCTCAACTAGGATGGTAAGGCCTATGGAAATTGGAATCTCGATTGTCTCAAATCCGTACTTCATAAGCAGGCAAGTAGGTACCTACCTAGGTTATGCAAGTGATTAGTTTTGCTGGAAAACAGGCTCTTCCACACTATAAAAACATTGAGTTTTATTAAGGAGCCGGCGAAGCGAGCAATCAGGCAAAGTCGGTCGTAGATTAACAGAAATTTCTTAAGTATGAGCGGCCGGCCGGCCCGGGCCGTGTGGACGCTTTTGCGAGGCTTATATCTCAGCAACCACTTTACCGATTTACTTGGGGTAATTTTTGTAGAGTAGGTAGCTTTATTCCTTCTACCAAGTATTGGACTATTCCTGATGCATGTGGGTGACCCCCTTATGCAAGTGCCACATGCAAAATGAAGAGGTCTCAGTTTTGTAACAATTGCAGTATCTTGGTAACTACTGGGCTGATTGCGCTGAAACTTGGCATGTCGGTAGGCACCCACTAGGCAATGCATTTGCATGTGCCACAGATGGGGTGCTGCTGTGCGTGCACACATGCAGGGGTCAAATCTAGATCTTGAGAACAGCTGGACCGCTTGCGCTCAAATTTGGTATGCGGTTAGGGACCGTTTGGTACGGTGCCATGCAAAAGTCAGTTGGGACCCATTTTGCGCATGTGTCATGCAGGCCCAGGGTGCCGCTTCCGGATCTCGAGAACAGCTGGGCCAATTAAGCTCAAATTTGGCACATTGCTAGGGACTGGCTAATAGGGTGCCATGTACCAGTCAGTTAGAGGAACCCCTCACAATTTAGCACTTGCAAGACCCACCCTCTCGCTCGCTCCATTAGTCACCCCAAAAGGCCTTATACTGGTTAAAGTATACCTCAACTTTGGCAGGCCTAAGCTTAACTCTCAAGGTCACATGCAGCAGGTCTCACAGCATGAGCATGCATCAAGACCAAGACAAAATATTATTATGAAATTCTACAAGAGCTTCCCACTATTCATTCAGACAAAAACGAAATCCCTCTCATTCTTCCTTATTTCTAGTTTCGTAAAAAGACGTTTAAGTTGATATAGTGAAAAAAAAAACAAGCGTGACCTCCCAATTCACAAAGGGCACAAATAACAAATATCCAATGGCATGTAATGAAACAGAGACAAATATTGCGCGGTAAAACTAATGATTTTACTTTAATATTTAGGTTCAATGGATTTGTTACGTCATTCTATGGAGGACTGTGATTTGCAAATTTGACCGAGCTGCTTAGCAAAAATTTATTTCTGATTTTGAAAAATCAAAGTTTTGATGAATAAGATATAAAAAATGTAACAAACTGTTTTGCTAGGTAGTTTTTGCTCGATAATATCTCAAAAAAGGGGAAAGTAATTTCAACATTTGAATTCTATGATGTCATTAGGAACTTTGCAGCTTATGAATGCAAGCGCTCTTCACATATGCCTCGCATTTGAAATTGTTTTGTGTGGTGTGGAGGTGTGTGGTTCTATTTTCATGTGTTGCCAGTTTTTTTTTTTAATTCGGTATTGAAGTATGTCCTCAAGCAACTGGTTAATCCAAGGCCCTATATACCTGGGTTAATCTGGCTAAGCCCCTTTGCCCGGCCCAATATTTCAGACTGCAAAGCAAATTAAAACAATTAAATTGTAATGGGATCCTCCCACCTTCAAAAAGTTAATGAATTGGCATAAAATGAAAAGTGATGGAACCCTGGTCCAGAAAGAGCAAAATGAATGTTTACCAAATTACAGGGTGACACAAAAAAACGGTCATCACCAAAATTTGAATAACTTCGAAAGTTTTATTCAGATCATCACCAAACTTCGGCCACTTTAGGTCACACCTATGTAGCAGACATCCACCAAGTTTCAAGTCTTCACTACGAATACTTTTAGTACAGTGTGTGCTTTACGGACGCTCCACAATGTGCTCCAGGTGAGCGCCCCGGCGCTGCAGGGCGTAGGCACACCCAAGGCTATATAGGCACACCTGCATCCGGCGGGCAAAGTTGTCGATAACCCGATAAGAATAACGTTTCAGGGGTAGCACACCCCCTGAGCACTGTCTCCAGAGGCCATTGCACTCTGTTAAGTGCACAGCCATCGGGTTATCGACAACTTTGCCCGCCGGTTGCAAGTGTACCTACGCCCTGCAGTGCCGTGGCGCTCACCTGGAGCACATTGTGGAGCGTCAGTAAAACACACACTGTACTAAAAGTATTCGTAGTGAAGACTTGAAACTTGGTGGATGTATGCTACATAGGTGTGACCTTAAGTGGCCGAAGTTTGGTGATGATCTGAATAAAACTTCCGAAGTTATTCGAAATACCTCACGGTTCGACTGTTACATCATTTGGAAGCAATAATTTGACTTTTAAGTCAAATTCAAAAAAGTCAAAAGTTAAAAGTCAAATTATTGCTTCCAAATGATGTAGGTAACAGTTGAACCGTGAGGTCCTTAACATAAAATAAAGTTCAATCTAAAAAAAACAGTCAATATTTTCCATTGTAATTTAAATTTGTGCCATCAGCAAAATTGCTGATGGCACAAAGTCTAAGTGGGTTCTCAAATGCCTGTAGCCCCTTATAATACAAAAAAACTGCAGATTTTGAAATTTAATATCACAGAATTAAAGTTTTTCTTGATGTTGTGATTGCCTAAACTGAGGGCTGTTCGGCCCTGTGTACGGTCCACCACATGCAGCCGTGTGCTGTCATACCAAATACCCCATCCCCTTCCCTATCCCTAAGCCTGCTGCACACACCGCACGCAGCAGTGAGCGGTGCCCATGAACAGCCCTCTGGTAATCGCAAGCCAGGGTCCCAAATTCCGCTATCTCAACTCAAAACTAATGTCAACTAAGGTGGGATGGTCACTTTAACTATCTAGTGCGAAACGTGGAAGGCCTTGCACATTGCATTTCAAGTCCAATTTTGCATGTTTGGCAAAAGCCCAACATTGAGCATAATAGTTAGACCTGAGACATGCAATGGAGTAGGCATTAAAAAGTCTTGGCAAGAGACCAATTCCAATTTGAAGTCAAAACCAGTGAATAATATTTTCTGTAGATAACCTACCTACCTACCCAACCCTCCCACTGGTATATTTTTTAACAATTTAGTTTGAATGTTTGAATGGACGGATTGACAGAGCCAGTGCCTATGCTAAGCACTAAGCAGAGCTTGTTGTGTTGACCCCGAACCCTACCTTCCGATCGCTCTATTCTGGGTGATGAGAGACTTTTGATGCCAAAGTTTAATCAAAGCCGTATCCGGCCTGTCCCACTCAACTGGCTGCGGCTGCTCCCACCAACCGCAGACCATCCCCGTCAGGAGTCTCAAATATCGAGCGCCGGAACTACTCGAACCCGTGCTCTCACTACCGGGGGAGTCCAGCGCTCTACCAAGTATCAACTGAGCTACGGGACAGGCATTGGGGTGGTGATAGGATGTGACTAATGGACTTGCCACTCTGCACTCAGATGATAACTTTGGTTGACTTTTTTAGTTTTGCACTGATAAGTTTTGCAACTTATCAAGAGTAGTTTTGGGTATGACAACAAATTTAGCACTCAGTTGAGCACTGGGAGCTAGCTAGATATCTTAGGGCCAATGCAACATGTGGCCGAAGCATCTACGGTAATAAAGACCGACCCATAAGAATTGATCTCGCGTGTGGAGGCTAACCGAAACTGACCAGTCACCCAAGCCAATCTACATAAAATGTACTGAGTTAATAGATCCTGACTGAAGAAAACTACCTACGGTCCTGATTTTCCTGGCATTCAGGTCATTGACCTAGCCTACAAGGTCAGCCAATGTACTTACAATCGGGTACCATTGGCTTCCTCTCGTTACAAGCAATATGTTTTTTTTTTTGTTATGTTCCTGAAAACTCTGTCTCGATCATGGGCCGACGACTCGACCGTCTAACAACCAGCAAGTCCAATCAACCCTCCCCCCCCATCCAGCCTCTATATCTTAATCACTATTGGAGTGACTGGGCCGTGCCTTGCACGCCTGATATTTGCAAATGTTATTCCTTCTACCAAAATTTTCTGAATGGTTTGTTTTTATATTTTTTGAAATATTGTATTTCAAATCCGTGGACTGAGATTTTGTGAGCGATCTTGTAAGTGCCTTAGTGTAGTGCCCTGAGGGCTGTTCACGGGCCCTGTGCGAGGACCGCACACAGCGGCCGCTGTGGTTGGTCGGGACCGGCCACAGGGACCGGCCACTGCACGCGGCCGTGTGACGTCATGCCGCCTACCCATCCCCCACCCCCACGCCTGCTGCACGTGCACACACCGCACTCAGCACTTTACGGTGCTCGTGAACGTAGTCCTGTATATTAGCGGTATACCCCGCTAATATAACACATGTTACATACATAGGTAGCGGGTAGGGGATGACTGGTGAGTGGTGAATATCCACTCCTTAAAGATAAACTGACTGAGTAATTGCCAATAAGCGTGAAAATGCCAACTGCCAAACGTATGGAAAGCTCATAGGGAAACTCTATTAAATAGCCCCCTCCCAAAAAAAAAATCGATGGTTTTCGCCAAGCCTCTTTAAGTAAGTTGGAAGAGCTTGTTTTGAAACAAAAAGTTTTGTATGTTTACCAGACGCCTATGATGAGGCAGCATAATTCCCAGTTCTGATGGTGTCTCGCCGAACATATCTCCGTGCCGACTCGCGAACAAAAGTAGGCATCGCTCTAGTCCAAGGATAAAAGACGTAGGTAGGTACCGCTAAAAATAAAAATTAGCATAACACATGGGTGTAGTTTTCCAAAAATCATTGGGGGTGCTCAATAGCTTTCAGAAAGGCATGCCATAGTTTTTGTAGTTTTTTTAGTTGTTCTTTTTACTGTAGCTATCAGGCATCATGCAAGAAATGATGTTAAATCGGTTCGAGAGCTTGTTTTAATAGCGCCACTGTAAAACAATTTGGCTCACCCAATGCATTAACCCGCGCGGGGCTGGGGTCTCCAGCCGAACGCGCGGGGCTGGGGGGATAAATTTTACCCCCCTGTTATCTCCCGAACTAATGGTCCGATTTGGAACATTCAAACGCCAATCGACAGATCTCATCACGAATAACTAAAAACATGTACTTAATTTAAAGTTTGAGGTCAAGGTCAAGGTCAGGTCAAGGGTACAAATTGCAAGTTTCTTTAGTATCGGCCTTGCACCGTAGTTGCCGAAGAATGGAGTCATGGACTGAGACTGATTGCCCAAAACGTGTTTGGGCCTGACCTTGGCCATAAGTTTGGCAGGCCAGATTTTGTACTGGACCATTTTGAGTCAACTTTGAGAAATACATAAAGTACAACGGTGGTAAAATCGTTGCTATAGGTATAACACAGTTTACCCGCTCCGGGTGTGAGGGAGGGGTGTGGGGCAATGAGTGCACTGACGTGGCGCCCTCGGAGGGCCGGTATGGGATTAAAGCTCAGCTACACTAAGGGCTTGTGTGGTGCCTTCAGTTATCGGTGGCACCCTCAGAATCACCGACGTAGGGCCCTCAGAGCCGCCGGTAAGGGAGGTACCAGTGTGGGGCCGCCATGCAGGTGCCGGTGTGGGCGATCAGAGGTGCTAGTGTGATTCTCTCAGAGGCGCCGATGAGGGTCCTTACAGGCGTTGCTCCGGGCCCTCATAGACGCTGGTGTAGAGCCGTTACAGACGGGTGTGGGGCCTTTAGAGCTGCTGACGCGAACTCTCTACAAGCCGGCAGGGGGGCTCAGTGACCGGCAAGGGGTCCTTAGGGCTTAGGAAGGCAGAAGAAGTCCTGCGGGGTCCTAAGAGAGCGGCATGGTACTGTCAGACGCCGGTGGGGCCCTCAGGGTCACCGTTGTGGGCCCTCAAGTCATCAGTGGGTGGCCTTTAGATGCGCAGGTGTTGGGTGGGTCCTCAGAGCCGCCGATATAGGGCTTTAATAGGCACTGGTGTAGGCACTCGGAGTTGGGGGTGTGAAACCCTCAGAGACACCGGTGTGGGCCCTCATAGGCACCGACGAGGGCCCCATAGTTGCCGTTATGGGGCCCTCAGAAAAATAAGTGTGGAACCATCACAGGTGGGAAATGCCCCTAGAACTGTCCCCTCATAGGCCGGTAAGACCTCTCAGAGGCCAGTAACGGGCCTTTGGAGACCACCGAGGTGTCCTTAAAAGCCGCAAAAGGCCCTCAGAAGTCGGCGTGGGGCCCTTATGGAGACCTTAGTGTGGCTGCTATTTATGGCCCATGAGGTGCTCTAACGAGCCCCACGGGGCCCTTCTGAGTAGAAATATGGCCATCTTTAACCCTCAGCGGTCAAATGGCGCTGCAGGGCCTCTCGGACCCGAGGGTCCCTTTGAACCCGATGGGGGGGAGGGGGTACGTGTCTCCTGAGACCCCTAGCTATGCCACTGTTTCATATGCATCATGTCAGGTATTTTAGGGTCGCCCCCCCCCCCAACTTGAAAATCGTTCCCGGGCCCCTGATAATCCAGAATTGGAGGATCAAAAGCATGCGATAGCATGCTTTTGCATCCGGAAATTCCCATTGGTGGGTCGCTGAAAAAAGTTCGGCTGAGCCTGTTTGTCAGTGAGTGAGTGAGTATGTGAGTTTGTCCAAGCTTTTTTGGACCTGGAGTCAAAATGGATGGACCGATCGGGACGAAAGTGGGACCGTTTGATTCGTCTCCGGCGAGGTAAACTTTTGGTGCTGGCCTCGGTTCGCTCGGTGCTTCGTGGCACATGCTATTCCGCTTCAAAGTTTCGGTGACACGAAATTTTTTGTCAAGGCTACAGGTCAACCCGAGGTCACGGGCAAAGCCATACTGGCGGGACACATCGGTAACACCTTGAACCAGTTTCCAGGGGGGTCACCGTCTGCGAAGGGTGCAGGCTGCACGTGCTGGGGTCGGAAAACTGTTTTGACGTGAGGTCCTCTGGCTCAAAGAAATTTTAAGCTATCAACCTCAAAAGCGGTTCAATGGTAGTCCCAGACAAGGCCTCCAAAATAATGCACATTTGGTTGAGCTAAACTCTGTGGTGCATGAGCTATGCACGTGCAAGCCGATTGCACCCCTTCGTACGTTGCCACGCCTGCAGAGTAAACGGCAGCTCTAACTGGTTCAAAACTTGCAGGTCATAAGAAGAATACATTTGATCACGACATTCTGGCGAGATAATATCCGAGGGGTGCAAGCTGCGCGTGCGGGGGGCGGATAACGGTTTTGACGAGGGATCCTCTGATCCCGGGAAACGTCGATCTAGCGACACAAAAGTCGGTACACTGATAGAACTAGACACACGCTATTAGAAACAGAAAGATGGCATGGCGCAGCCGCTATTAATGAAGTCATTGGGCTATGGATCCTCCAATTCTGACTCAAGGCAACGCACGAGCGCTGCCGGTATCTAGTATCAGATGTAATGTTAACACAAATATTATGCATCTTAATTTGTGGTGATTTATTCAATGTATATTCTCTTAGTCACTGAATTGAGTAAGCATAGTATTTGCATGATTCACTGGGCTCATTACAGTACTAGGAGATGGACATTCTGATTATTGAGGGCCTTGAGTCAGCTGGGAATGTTTTGAGGAGGCTGGGGGTGCTTTAAGAAGGCAGGGGGTGCTGAGCTCAGGATTGGGGGTGCTTGAGCACCCACAAAGAGATATAAAGTTACGCTTATGGCATAACATGCCCTGACCTAACCCAACTCAGCCTAGTGTAAACGAACCCAACCCAATCAAACCTACCCCAGGCAATCTAACCTGTACCTACTTTGTATGTGCGTACTATATGCCATACAAATATTTGCGATACGTACTTTCGTCCTACGTACATTGTCATTTGGCGACGTACAGTTGACTACAGAATGATGGATTACTCCTCATAAGGTATCTTTTGGTTGGAACGCTAAGTTGTGTCGTTGCCCGTTTATCACGCAATTAAGCGTGTTTATAGTGAGCGTTGAGTCACGGCGTTGAACTGTTAATCTGTAAGAATCTTGGAACCGTTATCTCACCCCGTGTGATGCGGCACAGCCTATCACTCCAAGGCAACTGATTGCCTGTGAAAAGTGGAACATCATTCTGTAGTCAACCGTACATCGGCCACGAGAACCTTTGCGATGTGTACTTTGTCCGTAACTCCTCCATGCCAGAGTCCGGGCCAAGACAGGCCTGCCGGTCGGCACTCCTTCGAACACCTGTCAGAAGTGTCGTAGGTGGCGCTGAGAGCGATGGTACAGTGCGTTAGTTCGTTCAGGTGATTTACCGTCGTTGACTTTATCAGCTCACCTAACTGGCAATATTTTTGTTTTGTTCCAGGTGAAATTTCTGAGTGGAAAAATGTCCGATAAAGAGGTAAGTATCATTCCACTGGCACTTCGATACTAAAACTCCTTAAACTTACAAAGCCTTAAACAACGGTCTTGAACTGTGTATTTCGCTAAGAATTTCTGGTACATTTTGTTTCGCCCCTTCTGGAAGTCGGGCGTAGGTCGCGCGCTGAGCTAGTCTGGAGCTGGCTACTCCACCCTCGGTTTGCTGTCCAGTGCCCGGGTGTCTGATTGACGATATGTTGCTGCCCTATTTGGGCGCTGTGCTGGCGGTATTTTGGTGCCGGTACCGGCGCTGTTCAGGTACTGTACCGGCGCTGATCTTGTGTCGGTGCTGTCGGTGCTAACCTGCCCTGAGCCCTCTGTGCTGTCGGTGCTAACCTGCCCTCTGTGCTGGCATTGCTAACCTGCTCTCTGTGTTGTCGGTGCTTCTCAGCTGTGCTGTCGGTGCTCCTCAGCTGTGCTGTCGGTGCTCCTCAGCTGTGCTGTCGGTGCTAAGTGCTAACCTCTCCTCTGTGCTGTCGGTGCTAACCTGCTCTCTGTGCCGTCGGTGCTAACCTGCCCTCTGTGCCGTCGGTGCTAACCTGCCCTCTGTGCTGTTGGTGCTAACCTCCCCTCTCTGTGTAGAATCAGCAGGAGCCGGAGTCGTCGGCGGCTCCCGAGGCCGGGGAGCCGGCTCCGGCCAAGTCGGCGCCGGCCGCCGGTGATGAGGACGAGGAGCCCGAGGCGGCGCACGACCCGCACTACGAGCCCATCGTCTCGCTGCCGCTGGTCGAGCTGCCCGACAGCGAGGCCGACGAGGAGACCCTGCTGCAGCTGCGCGCCAAACTCTACCGGATGGACCGCTCCGGCGAGCAGCCCGAGTGGAAGGAGCGCGGCACCGGCGACGTCAAGATCCTCCGGCACAAGAGCAAGCCGCGCGCCCGCCTGCTCATGCGCCGAGACAAGACGCTCAAAGTGTGCGCCAACCACTTCGGTGAGTAGCCGCCACCCGGGGTGTTCGACATATGTCGAGCTTACGAGAAAGATAAGTCGTTCGCGGATTTTTATTGGCATTATGATAAACCAATACAATTGCATGAACACGCTTAGTTAACACAAATATAACTTTATATCAGCGTTTCTGATTTAGAAGCCATGAAAAATATGTACATATTTCCCCTATGTTTTGAGCTATTTCCAATAGTCTGGGGTCTACTCCCAATGCATGGCTGATGGGCAATGGCTGCATTTCTGCCTATTATCTGCTCGCTCATATAACCGCAGCGGTTACTTGATGCAGCAATTTTAATGTCTCTTACGAATAACGATGTATTGTAGCGTGGAACTACGGAGTCGGGAAATGCTAATAAGTCATGCTGAGTATAACTGAAGTGCTGCGACGAAAAGTGAAATAGCGACGGGACTGATAAGGTTTTTCTCTCTCAGTGATTTCTTTTGGTACAGTTGGGTTATGGACTGGTAAAATCTACTTTTATCTTACTGGGGCAACGAAGAAGTTAAAGTCAAACTATCTGTCAACTTAAAATATAGCATAGTAGCGTATAATAAAGGGGAGGTGATGCCTTACAGAGCCGCCAAAGTCTTACGATGCGTAAACATTACCATCCGGCTCGCCCTGCAACAGCTGAAGCGTTCGTAGCTCTGTGGTGCGCCGTAATGTCGTCAGACCGATTAGCCGATGGGCTTCATGCATTTCCCAGACTGCTCTTTTAGACGACACATTCATTGATAGTGATAAATTGAAATAATAAAACTTAAAGATTTACAAGCGATTAGATGCCACCTCATATTATGGATCCTTCCGCATCCTCTCTGACCCTCATCCTGATGAACAAGCGTGGCCTCGGTCAATGTGACACACCAGTCTGCAGCCAAACGTTTCCCGTAGTTTCCGTTGTCCGGCAGTTGACCTCGAGACAAAGCCAAGCTACGGTGCCAAGGCTGGCGGTTCGGCTTTGTGCCTGTCCCGGCTGGAGGTGCCGCGTCTGGTCAGGTTAGCTGGCCCGCCGCTGTGCACCGCGGTCCGTGGAGCGGTTCGCCGCGGCGCTCACCGAAGGATGTTTATTCCACGGGGCAAAGATCGCGGCTGACCGCCAGGGCGTGAACGATCGGTTCTGGATGTCTGACCGGAACTGTGTTGTACGAGGTGTGGGTGGCTTGGTGTGACGTTTGCAGCCTCCACAACGTTTGCTGCAGTATCCGGATGCTGACAAGGCACATTCCTTGCTCGTGTGTTGTGTGTAAAACCCTGTAAGTGCTGACAGACTATTCAATTTGAATGGAATGAACGAAGCTTGTTTTCCATAAATATGCGCGGTTATCATAAAAATTGATTAAGAAAATTTGACTAAAAATCCAATGATTTCGTACGACAAAAACTATAGTTATAAGAGTCCCGTGATTCCCTCACTTCGTAGCTCGTGGCATTGCTATGTGACACAGCTGCTGCAGTCCCGGATAGTTATAGAGACGGACGCCTTCGTGTACTGCATGGCTCCCGTTTGGCGGCCGGGGTGGGGTCTAGTGGCCTGTTATTTGGCGCCCCTTGGACGGACTGCGGAGGGAGGGTCCGCCTGTACCCGTCCGTGCTCAGCCAGACCATGTACCGGGTACCCGTCCTTGGCGGTCGGTCCATGGCCCCGCCCGGGTGGACGGCCGGTCCCATCTGTGTCGGTCCTATCCTCCCGGCGGGACGGCGAGCCGACGGACCAACGGACTCTGAATGACAGATGGCCGGGGACGAACCGCGGGCGGCGGCCGGCTCATTAAAGGTGCCGCCCGTCCGGTCGGGGTGCCTCCATAATTCATCACATTCCACAGATGGATGTATTATTCTGACGGTAATCGGCACTCGGTTATAGCACGCACTCCTCGTTATCGAAAGGCGATGTGATGTTGCTGTGATAAGACGTTTCTGATTTTACAGTTCGACCTCTCCTCATCCCGCTTCCTCCAAGGCCACTATACTCAGTCACCAGAGAAGACGGCACGTGGACCGTAAAGTAACGTCAGCGAATTATTATAATGAAAAAGATAACGTCGATAGGTCGTCGATATCAAACGATAACCTGATGTTCGACGTAGACCATATGTTGATACCAATCATTATGCGCGAACATGTATTTGTAGGCATAAATGTTTAAGAACATTTTATAATTGTTTTCTCCAATATTCCCACCTTAAGCAGGTTCCAATTATAGCATCAAAGTATTATTTTACTCGGTCAGGCTTTATCTAGTGTGCTGCAATCAATTTTACATCTCTCCCAATACCAGCGCATATTTCACAAAATGTCCAGCGGTGGGGGAGTGTGTAAAGTGGCGCCCAGTTTTAGTGCGGGTCGTAAAAAGCTCGATGGCGGGCCCATCGGGAGGTCCGAGGATGTGTCTTCCTTCTACCGGCTCCTCTGCCCACTCTCGTCCATTATGCAAATGTTGGCGACCGGCGGCGGTTTGAGGCCGTCGGCGGACACGCCGGCGCCGGGCGCGGTACCCGCGGCTCGCCTCAGAGGCGCGGGATGCGGTACCCACGGCTCGTATCAGAGGCACGGGACGCGGTATCCACGGCTCGCCTCAGAGGCGCGGGACGCGGTACCCACGGCTCGTCTCAGAGGCGCGGTACCTACAGCTCGTGTCGGAAGGCGCGGGACCCGCGGCTCGCCTCAGAGGCGCGGGACGCGGTACCCACGGCTCGCCTCAGAGGCGCGGCTCTCCCCCTGCTCGGCCTCGGTGGAACCGGGTGCGGTAGCCGCTGTTTGTCGCGCCGGCCGCCCCTCGGTTGTTCCGTGTCGCCAGCCATGGTAATTGGTGGCGGGAGCGCCTTGTGGTGGGTACGGCACGTGTCGCAGGGGATGGTCGCGCTAGTCACCCCTCGACTGGGAGAGATGTTTTGACTGCGAATGATTGACTGGTGTGGATGGACTGGCGGCGCTGTGTGGGTCACTCCGGGGTTGTTTTATGATCGGGTGGGCGACACTCTCCCGACGTGGCGCCAGTACGAGAACAATGCACTGGTGCGCGGAGGCAAACTTCATCTCGGGAAGCTTTGGAAATGTGCGTGGAAGTTTGAAGTCCGTTTCTATTTCTTTGTGGGCCTTTCCGAGCCGAAAAACGTAGCGTAAATGTCTGCTTTTTCGTCGCTATTTACACAACCCAGGAATCATTCAGTATCAGTGACGCCGCTGACGCGCCTTTCTTGTGTTTGCAGTGACGCAGAACATCAATCTGATGCCCAACTGCGGCAGCGACCGCGCCTGGGTCTGGAGCGTCGCCTGCGATTTCTCCGACGAAGAACCCAAGTCCGAGATGCTGGCCATCCGATTCGCCAACGCCGAAAGTAAGTCGCTAGAGCGGATAACATTGGGCAGGCCTTGTCCATACAAATCAATGGTTTGCCCGATACCCGTTCCCCTGACGATACACATTTAGATTGTAGGTGCTGGTGCCTGGTAGTTTTCTGTGCCGAACAGTGTCTGTGTTCGTGTGTCCAATTCCCGTGGATATTTTTGTTAGGGCTCTTGGCGATCCGTACACCCTAGTTGCCTCAGGGGGTGATCAGCCGAGGAGAAATATTCATCATATGACTTAATTGGTTTACACAGTCCTTTATCATCCTTTATATCGACATTTACCTGCATTTTGGTGGAACAAATGATCAGCTGGTATCCGCATAATGTTAAGTTTATCAACTATTCGTGCGTTGTGGCAAGGTCCAACGAATGAAAACATATCGCTCGAATAGTTCCTGGTATTAAATGGCAGTAGAAAGTGCACGCTTTTGAAACATCTGATCTTCGAATGTTAACTTTGCAAGATTTTGAAGATTTGCCAGATTTCTTTATGCATCAAGTATGCGTGTTTTGAGGCAATTTAAAGGTTTTAAGTGGACAAACTTACGAGGACGCAAACCACGGTTTTAGAGCTCGCATACTTTTGACATGCTGTCCTATCTGGGACGGTATGTCAGAGTTCCAGGGAGTTTTGGGGGAGACGGAACGAAAGCAAATATAGCGCACCCGCTTACCCGGGCGGTGTTTCACGACAGAGCGCTGCGCGCGTCGGTGCGTTGGGTTTCCATGGCAATATCAACAAACTCCACTCTGACGCTACGCTATGACGTCATCGCAAACGCTAGCACCCCAGCGCCAGCACCATCAGCACGCTAACAGCGTTTGCACTCAAACCTCTGCTCTCTCTGTACTTGGTTCCTTAGGACCTCTGTTCCAAACGCGATTCATCATAAGCTAACGGATCGCACGCAACTTAATTCGAGTGACGTTAGGGGTATGCCTCAGCTCCCAGCGCGCTGCAGCGCGCGCAGCGTCGGGCGGTGAAACAGGGCCCCGGGCGCGGTTTGTCCCATTCGAAGTGTCTACCTGGATGTGACTGATCGCAGTCCATCATTTGTATGCAATCTCCGTTATTTACATATACCGAGCCTTGCATCCATCGGGCTCTTGATGCGTTGAAATAGCATTTGAATTGCCTTGGACCATTCTCGCTTTGTTTAATACTGAAAATTGCACTTATGCCACCTTGTAATGTCCCGTCGTGAGCAATGAAATGAACGTCTTTGGCACGAAGCCCAAATCAATGGATCGTTTCGGGTCGGATTAATACCGCTGCTGATCCGTGACTGCCTGTGGGTTTGTCGAACTCCGGCAGCGCTGCCGAAATAAACATAAAACTTCACTTTTATATGGCCAGTTAATTAGCTGAGTTCTTTTTGTGTCAGTGATCCCAGGCTTTACTGCCAACTACCGAAAAAACGTGCAGAGAAGAGCGATTCTCGGCGATCTCGCCGTGGCCAGTCGTGGCTCGGTAATACTTCCCTGTGACTCATTTGCCGTCGGCTGATGTCAGCGGCTGTTCGGCCGGGCCGGGGCGCGGCCGCTCCTCCGCAGGAGATGTTCGCAGTGTTGCGCGGCGCCAAAGGTCACGATAAGTATGCAGTTCCCAGCCGCGACCCGAAGGCGGGCCGGCCACGGCCACTCATTATCCCCTCGGTGTGTTGGACAGATGCGAAGAAGTTCAAGGAGGTATTCACGGAGGCGCAGAAGATAACGCGGGAGGACCCTACGCTGCCGGAGGAGGCGACCGAGGAGCGCGAGGCCGAGCCGGAGCCGGAGCCGGAGACGGAGGCGCCCGGAGGGGTGACGGACAAACTGGCCTCGCTGACGGTGCGGGAGGGCGCCGAGAGCTAGTGGAGCGCCCCCGGGCACGGGTCGCGCTGTCGCCGGTTCTCTCAGACAGCGGTGGGTCGGTGCGCCGTGCCGGAGCGCGGTGCTTTTATTTACCAGTGTGTCTATGCACCCGGCGCTGGTGCGAAAATCTCGCTGGCATCGACTGGTCGCGGGCGGCGGCGATACGCGAGCTGCCAGCCGGGCGACTGTTCCGTTAGCTGTCACATTTCGTTGCATTTGTCGTGTACCATGAGCTGAGCGGCATTCCATTGTTTCCGTTTTGGCTTTTGTCGGCTGCTTTGCGTTTGGTGGTGTGGAGCACATTCCTGTGACACGGCGGACTACTGCGGGCTGTGTATCGCACGGGAACCAAATCAAATTCGGCGTGTGCGCTGTGGCGACTTGCGGCGCGTTGTTAGCCTGGCTGCTGGCGTGCTCGGCATGCTGTGCTCTGTCGACGTAGTGTGGACGTGTATTTGACGTGACGTGATGTGAACGTCTCCGTCATCCTGGTGAGCTGACCGCTGCGGTCCACAGTTGGAGGCGGCTGGCCTGAGAACAGGTTGTGATGACGTCATTCCCAGGGTGGAATAAATCTGACTGGCATTTTCGCCACCACTGTTTTTTTCTTTACAAACGATATCTATAACTGATATTTTAATACGTCAGTGGAATGTTCGTTAAGTGCGTATCGAATAGCGTAACTGTGTCCTGAGCCTACAGTAGCTTCGGTGGATTTTCGGGATGGCTGCAGCGCTCGTGGCGACGCGGGCTAATTGATGGGAATGATGGACGAAGACCGTCGGTCGGCGGTGTTGCGGTCGGCTGACGTTATCCCGGCTGGAATAACCGGGCGACACATCAGATATACCGGCTGCCTGGCGAGCCGGGGTCATTGGTTGTCGGCTAACGGCCGCCGGGTGCGTCACCGGTCACTTCCGCCATGGACCGGCCGCCGCGCGGCGCTCGACCATGCGGCCATGACGGCGACGCTCAATGCTGAGGGTATGTTGCACGTAGTGCGCTGTGCTGTGTCAGAGATTCGCTTATAGGCTGTTTTTTCAGGGTTGGAGATGTGGCAAAATATTGCAAAATGGGGAAATGCATGAGTGATAGACACGACTAACTAAGGATCGTATATTTACAGACCCGTGTCATCTTGGAATTTGCCAAGTTACCGTACTTTGTCAACAGTTGCTTGTTAACGTTAGTCGCGTCTTTCTGCGTCCGACCATGGTATTTCGCAAATAGTATTACTTTTACAGGCTCCGTTTGCGGAACAACCTCAGCTTCAGTGTGTGTATCAATAGTGCCTATTTAATTGGCTTCATCTGCGACTTCCCCAAGGCTATGTCGCGTGACGTTGATTTATTGCCTTTGTCCGGAAGCCCAAGGAAACGTGACAAGATTTTTTTCGAAAAGAAGTGACGCTGTTGAGTTACTCGGCAAGTTCTTCGGCCTTGGTGCTCATTTTAGGCCTTCAGCGTTTGCGATGTCAATTGGTGTTGTGTTTCTCGTCCCCTCGCAGCATGTGATAGCAAACATCGATGTGGTCGTCTTGTTTTATCCAGAGCATACTTGCATAGTTTATCTGTTATCTAAATACTCTGGGTTCTCTCACCTCTCGATTTCGATTAACAATTCATAGTTTGTGCTCGCGGAACATATGACGTTTGATGGGGCCTTTGGCCCTTGCGTTCTGTGCAGGTATGCCGAGGAACTCGCCGTTTACATGTGAGCTGCGGCTGGCTGGTGGGACCGGCGCCGTGTGACCGGCCGCGGCGGGGGCGGGGGCGGGGGCGGCGGTCGCCCCGGGCGGGAGAGGAGCCGCCGCCGAGAGTCGGGCTCCGCCGGAGCCGGCCGGGGCATTGACGCGCCGCCATCGGAGCCGACAACATGCACCGGACCATCCGTAGTCTCAGGTGAGCCCAGAGCCCAGCCACTCGGAAGGCATTGGGATTTGTTTCATGTTTAATTTGTCACTAATATGCTCCCAGACTTCCAAAGCTCACCCATGACCCACCAGCTCTGTCTCGCCTTGATCTCGCGCTGCTACCTGTCTGTATCGCACCAATATCATTTCGATTATGATGTCGGATATTGCCGTCTCACAGTTTTCAGTTTCGATGTCATGTGACTGCATAATGCATAGGTATGCTACTGCATAAGCTCAAGATATGAATAGGATAGTCCTACTTGGGAATCCGCATCAGATCAATCACCGCAAATGGCTACTCCTGGTCCAAGTTCCCTTGCTGTTCGATGCGTTTTGTGAATAGACTGACACATCGGGATAGAAAAGTTCAATCGAAATTGACCCACTGTGCTGCCGGTACCGTCTCAGTTGGAAATAACCGCCACTGAAAGCACATATCCGTTCCCCAGTTGTCGTCTAAACTAAGAATTGCGCTTGAACGCGTTGAAACGTATCGTCGACAAAGTGTCGTGTCACTACGTAAAACCTGACCCTCTCGCAGGTCTTCGTCGGTTTGGCAATAATGTACATATTTCACTGTCCTTGGTTTTTATGTTCGTGGCGGAGTGAAGAATTTCGGTAATCTCCCGCCGCTTCGACAGCGCTTTTAGGACTCGGTCTCGGTTGCATCAAATAACGGTTGCAATGCGTGTACCTGATTGGAGGGTTTCTCTGGCACCCCATCCCTGAAGTTTTCATTTGTCGCTTCATGCAATCACCTGCCACTAACCGCACTGAAGTAAGATTTCTCCAAGCTTTACTGTATAAAAATTACAAAGTCCATGGATTGCACAGCAAACGACCAAACCGTTTCCTCTTCCGGATATCGCATATCAGGTCCACCATTTCGGCGACCTCACATCTGGCGATAAGGAATGTATTTCGGATCGATCTTGATGATAATCAGCTTCCCATCTTGCTTGCACGCTCAGAGAGCCGAAACGCGGTTCGGCGACCGTCGCGTCGGGGCAGGGCGGGAGCTGCAAGGTTCCTAACTACAGACGCTTTCTGCCGCAGACCGGTGTGCCATGGCTGCGGCGGTGCGTATGCAATGCGTATGGCTGCTGCCCTATTGTTAGTACCAGTGATAATAGGGATGCCTAGCAAAACAAAAGCGGCTGCCAAGGTGTCCAGAACTCATTTGAGCTGCTGACGCTGGCACTGAGTTTGACCCTTCCCCAGGGAGTGGTATGACGAGGACTGCCATTTCTCGATGCCCCGCGTAATGCTACCCTGGCATCGTCTGTATACCGACGTGCCTCCGTCTTTGTTCCGCGGGGGCGGTAATTCACGGCTCTCCTCCTCCGAGATAATGCACAGAGACGGCCGTTTGCCGGCCCACCCCTGCTCCGCAGTTCCGGGTCAGCCCGGCCCGGAGCGGCCGGGGAAGCAGCCTCAGCGCGGCGCCCGCGACCCTGACCCTGTCCTTCCCAGCGGCCTTGAACCCGCGCGTGGTCCGACAACGGACGGCCCCTGTTAGCACCGCAGCCACAGACTGGCGCCGACCCTAAACACCGGCGCTTTCCCAGGCGCCGCCGATCCGCCGCCTGCAGACAGGACGTGCATGTAGCAAAAACGTCCGCAATGGCCTTGCCAATGTCACCCCGCGGGCAGTGCTCAGGATGTGACGACTCGTTCCATGAGAAATCAGTAAGCCCTCTTGCCTCTAAACGGATCGAAGTCGAAGTAAACGATATATTTAATTTTCTTCCGTGATGGTCATGAGGGTACTGTTTAAAATCGCGTAGCAATTACGTTTACAACTACAATCAATTTTCATGACCGCACTTCATTGTTGCTTAAGGTCGATCTGGTACGAAAGGGCGATGTATCTTTCCCTCCAGGTCACACCCGGCCGAGGTGATGTCATCCTCACCCGCCGTTTATCCAGGCGTGAATAAGCGCGTCGCTCCATCACTCAGATACCATAGTGATTACGCAGTACGCACGTAAGCACCCGGCGGCTATTCCAGCCACCGGCAGCCCGATGAGTCATACGGATTAGAATACCGTCACCTCTCCGCCGCGCCGTTACGGAGTCGGCCGGGAGAGGAGCCGAGTCAGAGCGGGCCGCAGTGGCCGCCGCCGGTCCCCCGCGACCTTCCTCTGACCGGGCGGAGGCGCCGCACGTATCTCAAACTCAAAGGCACCGCTCTCGAGCCGGAACCGGTCGGAAAACACGGCCATAAACACGCGAGTCGGCACACGGCGGCTATGGATCCGAGGGGCACGGTGCGTCGGATGCCTGCATGTGATTTGTCGCCGTGCACGCTCACGCATGCACGCAATTGTTGCACGCAATCGTATGTCGGTATGGGTCTCATTCCAGTGTATTAGAGTAAAGTAGCCCGAATGATAAGCCTGCGCTGTACTGAGGGAAGAGAAAAATAACTATAAAGAACGCCACCAACGGGCGCTTACAGTGTACCTGGTGTCGGGTCTGTCCGATTCCAACCTATTACTCTACGAAGCTTCACCTCCTCACTTGACTCGTGTATACGTTTCAGCGTACTGGTGGCGGCCGCCGTGCTGCTGGCGGGGCCGACCTCCTCCGAGCGGGACGCGGTCGGGAAGCGGGTGTTCACCAGCCACCCGTCGGCGCCCAGTCAGCTCTACATCAACGAGGCGGTGGGCGACACGCGCGTGGTCACCCTGCCCGGCAAGAACAAACTGTACGAGCTGCTGCTGTACCCCACCAAACTGGTACGTACGCCGGCGGCGCGCTCACACAGTGACCTCACAGATAACGCCCGGTCGAGAGAGTGGAACCGAAAGTATAAACGGATCTCACTGACTGAACAAGCCAGATAGGGGGATATTATGAATCTGCTCCCACAGCTTTCATTGGACGTCTCATCTGACCAGACAGTGGTCAGCCTTTGATTGACATAGCACAATGCACAGACCCTTGACCATCTTCGAAACATTGTTCATTGAACACGAGCGTGAGCTTGTGCGAAATTTAACCGAGCTTTGACCGTCCACTATAAAAAGTGCAGCACGTAGATGACCCGTCATCTGATAATGTGTGTGTGTTTCACAGACGCGGAAGCCGCTGAAGGCGGTGGTGATGCTCAGCGGGGACATTGCCGGCACCCTGTACCTGACGCAGCAGAAGCCGCCGCTGGGACCGGTCGACATCGATGGATTCGTACAAGGTCAGAGACTCGGGCGCTGAGAGTTCGCTAACACCACGGCACAATGGGCTGCAGCCGAAAGACAGGTAGCGCCGTATATACGGTACGACAGGCTGCAACCGAGAGCGCGGTAAAGTCACGGGATGGGCTGCAGCTGCTGAGAGTCTGGTAACGGCACACAACCCCAGGGGATAGCGGAAAGATTGGAAACGGTTTCCCATAGTCCAGTAAAGCCACATTCGTAGGGGCTAAAGCGGAGGGCTCGGAAAATGCTAGGAACCAAGCCAGGGTGATTCAGGAACATCAATGCCACTTTAACCCGCGCACCGACGGGGGTCTGCGCCAACTTCGCACCGACGGGGGGGGGGGCGGATGACCGCCCCCCCCTGAGATCTCGAGAACGAAGCAAGATAGCGACAAGCGGTAAACGGCATCGGGTACGCACGGTCAAGATCTACAATTTTTACCAAGGTCATTTTCAGGTCAGGTCAAAGATGACGTCACAGGGGTCGAAAAAGTCAAAATGGCGGCGCTAGATATGGAGAGAGTTTTTCTCGAATAACTTTCGAATTAGTCAAGATAGGAACAAACTAAGGGCATCATCGTAATCTTCTCGTCAATCCGCATCGAATGATATATATGTTGACCTCGGAAGGTCAAGGTCAAAGGTTGACCTCAGGTCACGTGACCTCGAGGTCATCATGTATATCATTCGATGCGTCTTGACGAGCTGAACACAATGAGACCATTCACGCATCTGTATCTTGTTCCTGTACGGAGTTATTGGCCAAAAACCTTTGGTGACATTTGATGACGTCACATGACCTCACAGCTGCCCAACAACAAAACAGACCTCAAGGTAGTGAAGGTTGATCGTATATGAAGTCATGTATGGTATATGGGGCCATTCCGACCCGTTTTAGTGGTAAAAACAGGGAGTTGATTTTCCCCCATTGACTTATAATGGGGAGGTCGCGAAATTGACCTGACCTTAGGTCACCGATATCAAAATTCCGAGATATACAAATTGTAGCTACTAATGACCTAATAACATCCTGCGACTTTCAAAGGCCTCCGACATCTACTGTAGCTCTGGCACGGTGACAAAGTTGCAAAAAAGTGACTTGAGGTTGGGTCATTCAAAGTGACCTGGTGACCTGACCTTGAAAGGTAGGAGATTCAAACTTGCACACCATGTGTAAAATTGATGAGGGAATAGTCATACCAAATTTCGCGGCGCTACGCGCGGCGGTTTTTCCGCTATTTGCGAAAAACCTCAGGGGGGGGGGCGGATATCCGCCCCCCCCGTCGGTGCGCAGGTTAATCTCCTATAGAGCTGCCGCAGAAACTGGAATCCGGATGTGGCAATGAATGATGCGACAGCCAATGAAGCGGCCTGAAGCCGGTTGACTGTTCCACGCTGGGCTGAGAACTGGCTGACCGCTGGATTGTCCCACAAACTTTTTGTTTCTGACCGTTGGACTGTCCCACAGACTTCTGTTTCTGACCGCTGGACTATTCTGCAGACTCCTGGTTCTGACCGGTGGACTGTTCCACAGACTTCTGTAGCTGACTGTCCCAAACTGCCCTGGTTCTGACCGCTGGACTGTCCCACAGACTCGGAGACTAGTCTGCGCGTGGTGTTTGGCCAGTACGGAGATCTCGGAGCCGGCTGCAGTCTACAGAACCTGAACCAGTTCAACCCTTACGGCGTAAGTCACCGAGGACAGCCAACCCACCGTGGTGGGCTTAGTTCGTAAGACTGGCGTTCGGGGTGGAGGGTGCCCGAGGTCGCTAACAATTTGGCTTCCTGGGGCTTTGATGGAGTAGCATGAACCAGCATGTTGAAGCATGTTAATTCTTCGCGTGACGAAGATTGGCCATTAAGAACCGATTCTATAAGTAATATCGACTGGAAAGGCCGCCAGTGTGATTTATATGCAAGATATGCCGAGTCATGAGCTGATAGGTAGCTGTGGTGTGTAATCAGACTGCACGAAGCCCGCCGTCTGACCGCTGACCCCCGCCCGGCAGAAGAGCCACGGCAGGCACGGCGACCCGTCGCGCTCGCTCGGAGACCTCGGCTACACGGCGGTGGCGTCCAACCATTTCCGTCTGCTAGACTCTGCTGTCTCGCTGACGGGCACGCGCAGTGTGCTCGGCCGGCTGGTGCTGGTGCAGGACCGGCAGAGCGGCCGCACCGGCTGCGGCGTGGTCGGCTACGCGTCGGGCGGCGTCTGAGGGCCGCGTGGGACCGCACGGGGCCGCACGGAGGCTCGGTGGGTTGTGTCAGAGTGTGTCTGAGGGCATTATCATCCCCGGTTGGCCACGGTGTGAGGCACGTCGGACGATGTGTGACTGACGGTACGAAGTACGAACATATCGTAGGTGCGCAGAACAGAACTGACTGATGAGCGAGGACGTCTCAGAAACTCCGAGAGCATGTCTGTTCACAGAGCCCTTGTCGGAGCGCTGCTTAACCCTTGACCGCTCATAACCCTTGATGAGCGCTGACACAGTGCTAGACCAGAATAATACGGGTGGACCATTGCAATCTTATCCGGTAAAACTACCGTTTATGTGTCCACTGAGTTTTCACTTCATGTAATTTGCGGTTTTGTAGCGAGGCTAGGATGAACAATATGCAATATGCACCCTGATCAGCACTCCTGACGACGGCCATCTTTGAAACAGTCTGCTTTCTGGAGTGAACTGGGTGTGCCACTGGAGCAATACCGCATAACGTGAGATGCTGTACAAGTGTACAGTCGAGGATTTGAGTCATGGTGAACCAAGCAGGCACGCAACAGCCGCGCACTGCGCGTGTCCTTTCGGGGAACATCGATCATGCTCAAGATGTGAATGCAATCACGGTCTGTAACGAATGCCATAGCTTCGCATCAAGCCATGATAGGTGTTCGCTTGAGGCAGGTCTCATTATTATAAACCGTGTCATGAAGCGAGGCCAGAATATATAGGTCTAATAGTCGCATAAATGACTGTAAGTCTGATGACTCCTAGAAAGTGATTACTAATAACTGCACTGAAGTGCACTGAGTGATTGAAGTGATTACTAATAAACGTCATCTATACTTCATACACTCATACAGTAAGGTGTAAATACATGTGTACTTTGAAAGCGATGGTGCATCTTCAATCATTTTGAATGTTTTTTATTCTGTACTAAAGCCGTTGCACGAAGAAACTGGTGAAAAGGATTACCATATTCAGGCATCAACGGTCTAAAAGACTAGACAAAACGCGCAAAAATAGAGTTCACGATGTATTGATACGAACACGAGAATTCTTCAACCAATACTTGACATTCGCTAACAACACTCACAATAGTTAGCTCTGTAAAGTTATACTGAAATATGAAATATGTGCATATTCTAAATGAAAATAAATAGTATGGTATAGTGCTTTGATATTTTAACACCGTTACTCCATGCAATAAATAAGACATATGACCACGGACAAGAATTTTCAACAATAGTCGCAGAGCTATATTGAAATCAGCTCCAATATCACAAGCGCATGGAGAACAGTCGCAGGTTGGTGCGTTCTTTGGACGGCTGTATATATAGCCCATGGCGAGTACCAGAAATGAGACCAGTGAATAACACTGGACGAAAACAGACTCCACCCACCATCGGCCACTACGGCAATGGCAATAACACACGAGTCAGACACACGAAAACATGCACATCTCTTCACATCCGGGAAACCAGGGCTGGGCCAGGGCAGGAGCCTCTCTCAATGTCGCGCCATTTTCCTCTTAAACAAGACAGGGAAATTTAGCAAGCAACACAACGCCCAAAATACCATTCGATTTCCCTTCATCATACAACCTACAACAAGCGATTTATTAGACTATCATAGTCTGCAATATACTATTACGAACTCAAGCTAAACAAGTCGAGCAAATACATCCTCTCATCCTCGAGAACCAATCGCGAGTAAATTATGGCCGCACCACCCGACCCGTCGTTCTCAAAAGGTGTTTGTTCCTCCAAGTGTCCCAGCCGTGCTCCCAGTGAGATCAGGTGCGACTAGGTGTGTTACAGGGGTGCCTGAGTTTCTCCGGGCCGTGAGATCGAGAGTGACTAGCAGCGTGCAATCGTGTAGCAGGGGTATCACAGCGTGGGACGGACTCTATCACGGTATCACGTGCAGTGTCACCAGGGGGGGGGGGGGGAGGTACTCTGCTACGGTGCGTGCCAGGGGAACCAAAGAGGCTCTTGGAATGAGCAGGCGGGTGCCCAGAACGATAGTGAAGCGCCAGGAAGTGCAGAGAAAGGTAAAAACAGCAGCACCGGCCAGGGATCAATTCAGCTGCTCCGTATAGCTGCGGATCGACTTGGCAGGCAAAGCTCAATACCAGGCGCCGGCTAACTGACACTAACAGCTGGTACCATCGCTACCTTCGATGGTTCCTTCCATTCTAATCAGTTTCATGGAATAACACTCCCGAACTATCAAGAGCGAAGGACATACATAGGCGTACCGTACACCAGTCAGCTATTCAAGGCACTGAAGCAGCTACTTGCTCACCACCATCACATTACCAGCAGGCGAGGTGCGCTTAATGGAGCCAGAAAAGACTGTGATGCAGCGAAAATTTAACTCAGAATATAGGCGGCAACGAGCTTTACCTGATCATTCCATAGTCTTTTATCCAGGGATATTCGTATTGTCATAAAAATAGCCGCCATTTTGTTGTAAAATAACGACCTTAAACAAACACCGGTACCTAGATCATCGACAGGACAATTTTCTGAAGAATGCTGTGCAATCTGTACTTTCTGTAAGATCTGAACGCCAACAAACGTCCCATGCAAGCGAACACAAGGGACCGCTATAACGACGCCGCTAAATTGAGCTGGAACTCATCTGTCTATATTGGCAAGGATAGTGAGCATGAACGCATATCATCTTACTCGAAGCCCCAGGACTGACGGCGTGTTCAGGAATTGACATCCTCACTCACTCATCTATCGGTGCTTGGCATCCGTATCACTCGGAGGGAGGGAGCTCTGTGGCGACCTCTGTCCGACCCCCGGCCCCACACACCACGGATGGGTGCCAGCGACGGGTCGTGGACGGAGCGTAGTACTAATACTGAGCGGACCGTACCGGAGACGGTAGGTCAAACGGTCGCAGGAGGGAAAACTCCACGGACGGATACTGTGCCGAGGAGCGGCCTGGAGGGCTAGATCGTACCGGGACGGCCCACACTCCGTTGGCAGCGAGGGAATAACTATGGTCCTATCCGATGCCAATGGTTAGTGATTTAGGTTTAAACGATACAATTTGCAGTACGACATACACAGCTTGAGGACGACGTGCTCTGTCTTCACAAACCAGGAACATTCGGCTAAAGCACATTGGCTCTTACACTAGATGATAGTAAATATTGTCTATGTGCACGCAGTAGTATTCGCTAACACTCGATCGAAGTCGCCCTCGGACGCCTGAGCCGGCCGCAGCGGCGCTTACCGGTCGTCGGGCGGCGGTCGGCGGCGCTTACCGGTCGTCGGGCGGCGGTCGGCGGCGCTCAGAACGAGTTGGCGGTGGGCTCAGAACGAGTCGGCGGCGGCGCCCCGGTCGACAGCGAGCCGCAGCTGCTGGCGGATCAGCGCCCGGCCGCCGGCCACGCCCACCGACTGGTTCAGCTCGATGGGCGGCAGCGAGACGGCGGCCGAGGGCCGGCGGCCGCGGCCCACCGGACGCACCAGCGCCGCCTCCTCCTCGCTCAGCCGGCTGAGACCGGTGCCCGGCCGAGAGTCGGTGCCCGCCACCGCCGGCGGCGCCTCCGTCTGACAGGCCACCGACGCCGTGCCGACGCACAAAGAAGACGACGAGGCGTTCCGTGGCCGCGAGAGGCGGCGCAGTCGCGCGCCGGTCGCACGCGCCTCGTGCAGCTGCGCCGTCAGATGGCGGATGGCGTCATCACGCTCACTGATCTCGGCTCGCAGGTGACGCGCCGTCTGCGCGCGCGCGTCGCCCTCGTTATTCAGCTGCAGCTGCGTCCACTTCACCTGCAGAGGAAACGAGAGTCGGCGTCACACCACAGACAATTAGCACCGTCCGCTTCACCTGCGGAGCACTGCGCACGAAGACGTCACCCAATTGTTCAACCCTTGCCTTTCTCAAACAGCGCGCGCCTTCTGACTCAGGTACTCTTCAAAACGACAAATTTTGTTTTGTGTGCGTAACCACCAAAAATGTAACAGACAGGACAGAAAGTAACTAATGGTGGATAGCAGCTGTTGTAAGGCAAAAAGGTGGTTTGTGCTGAGTCAATTAGCGTGCAATTTCGTAGCAAACCAGTTTCACAATTCAGCGGACCTGAGCACCTGTACTGCAGCGTATCTCCATCGAGAATGTCCGGAAACACCTGGCCCTAGCCTGGCGACCAAAATCAGCGCTAGGGCCTGTGATAGAGGAGGTGTGTGAGAGTTACCCACCTCATACGGCTGTTTCCCCGCCCCGGCTGAGTTCCCCCGTATCTGACCTGCTGCTGCAGGGCGGCCACGGCGTCCTGCTGCTGGCGGCGCTCCGTCTCCAGTCGGTCGGCCGTCTCTGTCTGCTGTCGCAGGCGGCGCTGCAGCTCACCCAGCTGACGGCGGTGCCGCTCCTCGGCCTCAGTCACCTGCTGGGACGTCTGCGTGGCCAGCTGGAACTGCAGCTCTGCGGGAGCGCCGGCCGTACTGGACGTCAGCGGGCGGCCGGCGCGGCGGCACACAGAGGGGGTGCTCCCAGATCAGCCAACGCCGCTTCACATACACACAACGCGATAGGAGTGCTCAATGAAGATAACGATGGGTTTGTGTCAAGAAAAATGCCATTGGGATCGTACCGATCAATCTGCAGCTATTGCCCTAATGCCTCGCCACATAGATAACAATATGTTTCTATGCTATTCCGAATCTGTTGCATTTTGATCCCGCCATGATATCTCTAGTTTTCTTCGCCAGCGGAAAGACTAGCATTGATCAAACATGACCTTTAACAATACTGATCACCTGATTCCAATTAAATCGGTCCCTACCTTGGCACTGTCGTCGAAGAGAGTCAATCTCGGCATGGAGTCCACGGAGCACATTTTGATGCTGCTCTTGGAGAAAAACTAGCGCCGAATTAGAACTTTTCAGCTTCGCTTCCAAAACCGTTAGCGCCATGAGATGTGCCAGAGAAATGCATGGAGAATTTCAGTCTGAAAGGCAAAGAACAGAGGGTTAGTATAAGTGCCAGGGAGTAAGCAGTGCGTTCACATGACACCCTGTCGGCTGTCCGTTCTGGGTGGGGGAGTGCGTCTGTTCGTCGGTGGCCGCGGTAAGGTCAGCGGGTGGGAGGGCGGCGCGCTGGCCGCGGTCAGGCGCTGACCCTGTGCCGGCGGCCACTGCACACCCAGTTTGCATCAGCAGCCGGTGACACAGAGCAGAGCAACGGCCGACGGATTCGGCCGACAGCTAACGATTGTTTATTTATCTGGGCGCCAGTGACGCCCGCTGTCACATGCGGCTCACAAACCTGCCCGGCACTGGACTCGGACGGGGCACTGGACTTGGACCGAACGGACGGGGGGCAGCGGGGAGGGCGGAACCGGGTGGAAGAACTCTGTGTATCTGTCACAACAGATAGAACGTACACACAGCCCCCAGCGTTGACACTCTGTGAAGTGTTCAGAATCTGATCACCATACATTGGATGGGCCTTCTTTTGGAAACAGCAATTATGCATTAAGCAATACCTGGCTATGCGTCAGTAAGGTCTGACAACCTTTATCCCTATCAGTGTCGATCACTTCTGGGTAAGAATTCATTTGCTAGTACAATGTTGCTTGCATTCCATTGAAGAAAAAGAACTGCCCAAACTATAACTATGTACACAATGCCATCCACCTTGCAATGAAAACAAGCATGATGCCTCGTGTAGGCATGGATGGGTATTGGGTATCAATTTCAAATGTGCATTTCGATCAAACAAAATAGGAGACCACATGTGAACCAGAAGTGATAGGTACCTGTCATCTAATTGACTAAACAGAAACCAATGTGAAACATGACTCACTAACGACACGCCTCCACCGACAAACAGCTGGTACCATGTGTAGGTAGTGTCCCGAACTTCCCGACTCGTTTCTGATGCTTTCTAGCGATGTGGAACTTATAAGATCACCACTGGCCCAAAACGTCAAAACAATGAGCACATACATAACCTTATCACTTTTCTGGTGAACTTCTATGGAATTCTGACTTATTTCTTCAATTTCTTCACAACTGAGACACAATACTTTTCAGCTATATGATCATCAACCCCAATAGTCCGTACCGACGTCTCCTGTCGCGGGCCGCAGCGGGTACCGCCCAGCGCCAGCTCCTAGCCACGCCTCTGACCGTGCGAGGCGCCGCCTGAGGGCGAGGCGCCGCCCTCCGGGCAGGGGGCGCAGACAGCCAGCGGCCAGTGGTCAGCGGCGCGCCGGTTTGAGCGCCCCTGGGTCCACTGTCGCGCACTGTTTGCCGTCTCAGCGGCGGGCTGAATGGGCTCGGAAGCGGTGTCGGCGGCGGTCGGAGCGCGGCGCCGCGCAGTCATGGACGATCTGTGGAGTGAGCTCGAGCGTCTGACCAGTCTGTGTGAGCGCACCGGCGCCGAGATGGCCGCGGCCGGCGGTGTGGTGAGCGGCCCGCCGCCGGCCTACAGCCGGCCGCCGCCGCCGCAGCTGCACCGGCCGTGCGCCCCGCCGGAGGGAGCAGACGCCGCCCGGCCGGCCGGCCTCGCCCTCCTCGACTCTCTCGGAGCTCCGCAGCCACCGCAGCGCGCCGCTGAGGTGGTGTCCAGCTCACACAGCCACCAGGGCGGTCAGCCGCATCCTACAGCGGCCGGCAGCCCGTACCAGCCTCACTCCGCCGCAGGCCATCGCCCACCGCCTCCTGCCGTCAGCCAGTACCAGCCTGTGCCAGCAGTCAGCCGATATCAGCCTGCACCGGCGGTCGGCCTTTACCAGCCTGAGCCAGCCGACAATCAGCAGCCTGCGCCACCAGGTCATCACCAGCCGGCTCCTGCCGGCAGCCCATACCAGCCAGTGGCGTCAGTCAGTGGATACCAGCCTGCGCCAACGGTCAGCCAATACCACAATGTGCCTTCAGTCAGCCAACATCAGCCTGCGCAAACGGTCGGCTATCACCAGCCTGCGTCAACAGTCAGCCAATATCAGCCGCCAACAGTCACCAGCTACTACCAGCCCGTTTCAGTCGTCAATCGACAGCAGCCTGCATCAGCTCTCTGTCACCAACACTCCTCGCCAGCCGTCATGCAGCACCAGTTTGCACCAGCGGTCAGCCAGCACCAGCCGCTTCCGGCCGTCAGCCAGCACCAGACGGCCCCAGCAGTCACCCAGCATCAGGTAACGCCGCCAGCTGCCAGCCAGCAGCATTTTACACCAGTGACCAGCCAGCAGCCGCTGACGCCAGCCGGCAGTCGACAACAATTGGCGACTCCAACTCCGACGCCGACTCCACCATTAGAGTCTGCGACCGAACGGACTAGGCCGAACCGTGCCGGCCGGCTGGCGCACCTTTTCTTCGGCCGTCGTCTGGAGCAGTCGGCGGCGCCGCGGCGGGACGCCCCCGCTCCCCCGCGGCCCGAGTCGCCCGCCGCCGGCCGGCAGCAGACCGCTGGCGAGCCGCCGCCCCGCCCCGCGAGACCAGCGCGGCTCAGCGGCGCCGGCCGCGCGCCCGGCCAGCCGGAGAGGACGGCGGACCCGGCGAGCGGCGGCCGGCAGCCGGTTCAGCCCCCTGGCACCGGCCGGTCGCAGGGCGCCGACCGCTCCGACACACACAGCTGGCCGCGGCCGGCGCCGGGAGAGCCGGCGGGCGGGGAGCAGCGGCAGCCGCAGCCGCGGCCTCCCGAGAGACCGGCGCGGCGAGAGGTGCGGCAGCGCGGCCACCCGAACGGCAGCAGTGAGCCCTGGCAGCCGCGCCAGCCGCCGCCGCCGCCACCACCGCCCGACAGCCGCAAACTGCTGGAGGAGGAGCGACGCCAGCACAACGAGACGCGCCTCCAGCTGGCCGCCGTGCAGCAGCTGCTCTACCAGGAGCAGCAGCAGCTGCAACAGGAGCGGCAGCTGCTCATCCAGGAGCAGCAGCAGCACCAGCACACGCGGCAGCAGCTGGAGATGTCTCAGCAGGCGGCCGAGGCGGCGCGCCAGGCGCTGCGGCAAGCGCAGCAGCAGGTGGCCGCCAACGCCGTGCTGCGCGCCGAGTTCGTGCGCGCCTCGTCAGCGGCCGCCAGCGAGCTGGACCGGCTGCAGGAGCGGCTGCGCGAGAGGGAGATCCAGCTGGGTGAGCTGCGCGAGCAGCTGCACGCCGTGCGCAGGCTGCAGATGGCCGAGCCGCCGCCGCCGGACGAGGTCCGCGTCAGCCACCATCAGCCGGAGCATGACCGGCGCGCGGGCAGTCTGCCGGGCCGGCCGGCACCGCCTCCCCGGCCCGCCGAGGCGCTCTTCAACCAGCTGGTGCAGAACCGGTATCAGAGTGACACCCTGCCCGGACAGCCGGTCAGTTTGCGCTCATCCGAGCGAGACGCGCGTGCCATGTCCTCATCACTCAGCCATTTCGGCTCAAAGTCGTCACTGGCGCAGAGTCTCACCGGCAGCAGCAAGTCGGCCGAAAGTCACAAGGCCTTCGACAACTACTACGAGATGTCGAACGCCGACGACAAGTGCTCACTGGAGGAAACAGCGCTAAACAAACACGGCTTCGGCACCCAGCAGCAGCAGCAGAACAGCTCCGAGAAATCCAGGAAAAGCAAGACGAACATGATCCGAATGCGAGGCACCGGATGCAAGCAGAAGACATCGACAATGCGACAGATGCTCAACAAGGTGTTCGGTACAAAACAGGCCAAGAAGGCCACCTACAACCTGTCGTCGTCGCCGATTCAGAAGACGCGCTCGGAGACGGGTCTGTTCCGCGGCGGAGAGCAGCCGCGCGGCTGCAGCACGCCTCTGGCCGCGTCCGGCGCCGCGCCGCGCTCCTTCTCACTGCAGAACCTGGCCAGCTCGGGCTCGGCAGGCCGGCTGAGCTACCTGCACAGCAGCCACGAGGAGGTCTACGAGGACGTCACCGACTCAGAGTGGGAGTGTGCCACAGAGGACGAGCAGGACGGCTCGCCCATCTACATCAACATGGAGTTCCACAACGGCTGTCTGGTCCCAAAGGCTAACAAGCTGATCGGCCCAAAGATGAAGTGATCAATGAACAGCCAATGTTGATACTTGATATTGTCTTATGTGAATACAATATATTGTGTTGTTTCTAGACAAGCTAGCGGGGCAGCAGTCTAAGAATGAGACAAAATTTGATGAGATTTGGAGCCATGCTCTGCAGACTGACCAGATAAGGAAGATCATTAGGTTTGGTGAGTTTCAATCAAGTTATGAATGATTTAAACTAAAAGAATATGTACCAGAATAAGATTCCTAAGATTGAAGCAACAAAGAACACTTCCTTCACTCTCAGATGGTGTCATCCAGGCTCATAAGCTGCAAAGTTATTAGTTATATACTTTTCAACAGTCAATAAGTCTGCAGATTCTTTCAATAGCCCATAAGACAATAAATTCAATTTAAACAATGCAACATTTCCAGGATGCAAATAGCGAACCCTTGACACACAAATATGTAGGAAGTCTGCTCCCTAGGCTCAAAACGGAATAAGAACTGCACCATATTACCATTGTCACACCCAGGGATGCGGAGCCGTGGGAATTTCAGACGGCTCCGGAGAAAAAAATCGGCTCCGGCTCCGGGTGAAATGGCATGTCGGCTCTGAATCCAGCTCCGGCTCCGAGTAAAATGGTGCGGCTCCGGCGGTTTCGGCTCCGGCTCCGACTCAGTACATTCCCTATGCGATCAATTAAATACGGATGGCCAAAACAATGACCGCCACCTGATGACCGGTTCTCAGGTTCTGGGGATGCAGTAGAAGTGGGGTGGGAGGAGCAGACAGGAGGTTGTAACGTACTGTGGGACACTGGGGATACGTATTCAGCTTTTTTTCATCCACGTAATGGCCCATAACGTACCACATGTTTTACTGCCTTGTACTGTCAAACCGAACTAGGTCAATTAACTTTTTTCCTCTCCAAAAAAGGAGCTGGAGTCGCCCCCCCCCCTCTTTGACGGCTCTGGCTCCGGCAGCGGCTCCGGCTCCGGGCTATATTGTTTCACGGCTCCGGCGACCGGCTCCGGGCAAAATGTGCCGGCTCGAGCGGGTCCAGCTCCAGCTCCGGCTCCGCACCCTTGGTCACAACCATTTATCAACCTAGAAAATTGTTCATAAAATCATTTAAAAAATTAAGGTGCACTTAACTAAAAATAGCAAAACCTTATCTAACCTGAACCAACCTTACCTAACCTAACATGAAATAACAATAACGGTAGGTACCTGACTTGGTGCGGTAGTTGTAAAGCAGGCGTCACACTTGCTTTTTGCAACCACGGAGAGGCCCTATACCCACAGATGCTTTCCTATCAAATCAAACCAAACCAAACCAAACCAAACCAAACCATACCAAACCAAACCTAACCAAACCTGACCTAACCTTACTTACAACTTCCAGGTGGTGAAACACGGTGAAGAATCAATGAATGCACGTGAACTGAAATATGCAGTCAGATGTGAAGAAATTTCAACCATATCCATTACCACATTTTTCACCAAAAATTTCTTAATTTTCTACCAAAAAATTGGTATTGAATTGTGCTTTTCACAATGCTGGCCGTGCTGTGCGAGATATGTAATGGAATCGTGATCTATCCGGATGGAATTTAATTACTCTTTCTAATGAGCAGCTTCCTAAAGCTGTAGGACGCACGGTTGCAGAGATATTGTCGATATTAGTTGGGGGCTCACTTGTTTTTAACACCCTGTATATAGGTAATAGGTACGGCTCTCGCGAGATTAAGCGGTAGTTTTTGCACTTTAACATTTCCGGTTATATCTCAGAAACTAATCGATATACGATTAAGCCATTTTACACGATCGTGGCCGGCTTGTGAACCAACAAGTCGATCGCATCTTCAACACTTAAAAAGCTTAAGACGACGAGGATATAACCTGAAGTACACTAAATTTTCTAGGTGCAAAATCTACCGCTAAAACCCGCGAGACCTGTACCTCCCCTGTAGGGCAGAGCATGGCTGAGTTTGAGGAAAATGGCAAAAATGGTTGAAAGCTAAGGGCCGTTAATTTCTTTGAATGGTGGGTGAGATACAGCTCGTCGGCGCAGGAAGTTTAACATGCAATTGATGCAAACCCTATGGGCTGTTAGGAAGTAAGTGTATGCCAGTCTGCAAAGTACGGCAATTTCGACGAGATCTCTTCGGTGCGGGCTCGTTCAGCTGGTGCGGATTTGGTGCGGTGCGGTGCGGATTTGGCATGGTGCGGTGCAGATTTAGTAAAGTGCGGTACGGAATCGGCTTAGTGAAGGAAATGACAGACCTGACAAAATAGGTGAGGAAAGTCAACATTGTTGGAGCTTCGACATCACGTAATCTAGCGTGCTCTAGGGGCTAAATGAGTGTGCGGTGGTCAGAACGGCCTGCCATCAATCACGTGGGTCGCCCCCAAGTTCGCACTCTGCACTGTTGCAACATGAAACGCACCGGCCGCACCGCTCGGCTCTGTGAGGCGCTGGCGGTAGAGTGAGAGAGATGAGCATGGCCGATGAGAGGGATTCAAGATTTATACAGCTGATGGGAGGGCCAGAAAACCACCGCTCCGCCGCTTCAAGTAGTCAAATGCGATGGGTACATTCGACACAGCCAATAGGTTGCGTTAAAAGAAGCTGAGTTTGTTGCATTCTGCATTCTGCAGCATATGTGAATGAGATGCGCTTGGCTCATGTGAGGGTTTGGCGTTCTCGGTGGTAGGTAGGGCAAGCTGCGCATGGCTGATGGCAGGCCAAGTGAGGACCACCACTTTGATGCGGCTAAGTAGTCAAATCCGCTGTGAATCACTTGCCTATCAGATTTTTTGTTCCATACAGCTATGACCTGACGAGAGATGCCAAACTTGCATGCATGCAATGGGCCCACTTTTTGTCATTCATATTTCTATTTTTGTAACTGGGACTTTCACAAGTTGTCAACCCTTTTAGCTAAATGCAGTGTCGATAACCAATACCCATGGTACATCACATAATACCCTGGATGAATCGGTAAATGTCAAGTTTAAGTCCTAAGAAGAGTTCATTGATAAATTTTTCATATTTATACATTATTTGACATCCTGAATCCAAAAATGATACTCATATGTCTCGCAAATAAAAGAAAAAAACATAATCAAACCTGACCTAACCTTACCTACTTACCTATAACCTACCAACCTACAACCTACAAACCTACCCTAACCTAACCTAACCTACAAACCTACCTACCTACAACCTAAAACCTACAAACCTACAACCTAACCTAACCTAAAACCTAAAATTTTTGCTGTTTCATATTCGTATCAAAAGCGCCACAATTGTAGTTAGGACCTAAACTTGACATATACCGATGAATCACCAGGGGCAGGTATCAGATAGGGTTCTTGCATTTGAGTGACATTCTTTATGTTCTAGTTCTACGGTGCGTATTTCTCGTTTCGTTTCCATGCTACTGTGACGGCAAGTGAGGTCAGTGCGGTCAACTGGTCACCTGCGAGGGTTCGGTGCGGCTTTTTACGTTCTCTCAGCCAGCTTTGGTGCACATTTTCCGGCTCTGTTTGAAGGATTGGTACAGATTTTGAACTTGGGCCAGTGCGCATCGTCGACCTCCAAGCCATACCAATACTTTGCAGGCTGGAGACTTGGAGTGTATTGGTATGCCGCGGAGCAGCCACCATACAAGGCGTAATAGAACAAGAAAAAAGTTCAAAACTTGGACTCCGGGTGATCAATTGATGGTAAAAATGTTCCCGACCTATTATAGAATCTTAATCCCACAAAAAAAGCAATATTTGTATACACTATATCGATAAAATAACCGTCCACTTACGCCAATCGCAACGTAAATTGTCGAGATAATCTGAGTGCTGTTCAGTCACTACTTTCTTTTGTCAGCATGCTGCCGTTTCTCGGCTTTTGATTGGTGAAATTTTCGTAGTCTCTGCTATGAACCAATGAAATGCCGACAAACGGCAGCAAAAGTCGGCCGCCTACTAATAAAATAAACAGTAAAAAAAGTTGCTTAGAATCACGACCTTTTTAAATTGTTTACAAAAATGACGCCATTAGCTAATAAAATAGCGAATCTTGAATTTGGGGCAAACGTCTCCTTGAACTTTGAAGTGTCAGACATCGATGCAACTTTCCCGTTTTTTTTAATAAAAGAGGAACAAGTCAACATTTTTTCACATTCAGGAGAAAATATTACTTTTAAATGCATATCGGCAAATGGGAAATTGAAATCCTTGAAATCTTCGTATTTTTTTAATTTAGAGAAACTTTTGGGGTTTGCATGGTTGATTTCTTTGGATATGATCTCTGCAAGGTCAGAAATTGCCTGCGCATCGGACCTTTCCAATATCTCTCCTTTTGAGTATTAATGACGTTATATATATGCAGATGATGATATTCAACAATATATTAAAATGATAGAAAGTTGAAGCAGAAATTGTAACGGAAACGACGAAAACGGCGCGGTAGGTTAGGTCTAGGTGGTGACGGCGGTGAGAGGAGTGTAAAGGCGGCCGCACACTAGGCCATTCGGCGGGCGACATTCCGCAAAAACGCAATTCCGTGGCGACATTACGCTTTCGTGGACGCCGAATCAGCTGCCGAAACGACAAAATTATCAGCCGACCGCTGCCAGCCAGCTGTCCGCGGGTAGAGTGCGCATGCGCGCGAACAGCCGCGGAGTTGCGGAAAAAGCTGGACCGGTTCAGCTTATTCCGCGGCAACGCCGCGGACACCCGAAATTGTGGAACTTGAAACTCACCAACTATTGATGGAGCAGCCGAGAAATAGACTTCACTTGATAAAAAATCGTAGCGGCACTTCTTTCCCCATATTAAATGGTTTTTATACACTTCATTGGTTATTCAAATAATGGGTTACTATGTGCCTCTCCACAATTGTCTTTAGGTTTCTTGCATTTGTCGACAAACACGGTTGTTTACATTAATCACGAGCTTTATTTTTTGCAACTTCCTGCAGAAATTATGTCAAATTAATAGATAGGTATTCAAAACTTTATTGTACAGAAATATAGCATAATCGCATTAAATAAGCAAATATTGTATTTACTTAAATGTATTTAGTTTGCATTCGTTTATATTTATCATAAAATGTTTCACATAAAGTTCCTGAAAATACTAAGTAGAAAATCGCACCGCCGAATGGTCCTGTAAACACGTTTATATACTTAGCTTCAAATTCAAATTCAGATTCCAAATTCATATTCGATGGAAAAAATGATAAAAACGGACCCCTTAGAATCTCACCAAATTTACACCAGCCACTCAGCATGACCTGGTCATCACAGAATAAAATTATCTAAGCTCGGCAAGCCCTGGGGGCTGAGATATCAGGGGTCAAAGTTCAAGGTCATTGAGGGCGGACCCCTCAGAATTACCTCAAAATTTGCACACAGATGCAAGTTGACCTGCTGAGCACGATGGGCATAAAATCTAAGCCCGGCAAGCCCTGACCTGGAAGTTAGGTCAGGTCAAAGTTTGCAGCCACGTGGAGGTCACGTGACCCTTTTACAGCGGACCCCTCAGATTTTAATGAAATTTTGTCAGCTAATGCATCTAGACACCCTTATTAATATCCTAAATTATCTAAGTTCGGCAAGCTCTGGGGGCTGAGATATCAGGGGTCAAAGGTCAAGGTCATTTGAGAGCGGACCCCTTCAATTTTTGTCAAAATTCAAATCACCCCTCAACTTTGTCTTCTGAATTTAATGGTAAAATTTTCTAAGCTCGGCAAGCCTTAGAAAAGCCAGAATGAGTATTTAGAAAAACGAGCATTTGTTTTCCAATATGGCTGACAGGTAGGTATTGTGGCGCATCAATGACATAATTGACGCGTGTAAATAGGCACCGCGCCATATTCATTTTATTTTGTAGTGTAGGCCCATGGGTTCCATGGTGTAGGTAAGGGTAAATCTTGGGTAAGGGTATATAGGGCCTTGAGTGTAGGTATATACATATAACATATTGATATAACATGCTGTGGTGTGTAAGTTAAGGTGAAGGTGATATGTGTGTGATCCATGGAATGGGCGTGGCTTCAGAATCAGGGTTATCAGCCACAATTCTTAGAATGAGTTTTTATGCTAGCTGATTATTATAGGTACTTTTGAAAATTGAAACCTATGCATACCTATGACCTATCTGAGGGCTGTTCACGGGCCCTGTGTGCAGTCGGACCATACACAAGCTCTAAGCTCTGCCCACTGCGTCCCTAAGCCATTCTTCCGTCACCACACACAGCAACCGCTGTCACTGTGGTCGGTCGGGACTGGCCACAGGCCGTCCACCGCATGGCATGCAGCTGTGACATCAGAACCGGTTACCCTTCCCCTACCCCTAAGCTTGCTGTACATACCACACACAATGAACTCAGCAGTTTACGATGCCCGCGAACACCCCTCTGTATTCAGTTGCAGGAAGGCTCCTATGTGCAGACTATCCAATTTTGGAACTGTACTCAAGGCTATTGTCACAAGGTATGCATGCCACATGCTACACCAGATGTTCGTCTACAATCTTTCTCCACCCAATGTATTCTCATCGTCATCTGGAATGGCCTCGCAGAAAATGTTGCGACCGCACCTGACCTAACTAGCTTTAAGAGGGCCTAGGGTGATGTGACATATAACAAACTGTACCAGCCCGCAAAGTAGGTAGTTGATAAAGATGAGCAGCTTTTGTCAAATAATCTTGATTCACACATAATTTTTGTATGAGTTTTTCTTATGGATGCTGTAACTCCAGGTGTTATGTAACCCCTGCCTTCCTCTGCTCACTGACTGCCTCTCACTGCCTCTCACTGCCTCCCACCGGCTCTCACCGCCTCTCACTTCCTCCTGCCCTGCCTCTGACTGCCTGCCTCTGCTCACTGACTGCCTCTACTGCCTCTCACCGCCTCTCACTGCCTCTCATTGCCTCTAACTTCCTCTCACTGCCTCTCACTGCATGTCACTGCCTCTCACCGCCTCTCGCCGCCTCTCACCTCTTCTCACTGCCTCCTTCCCTGCCTCTGACTACCTGCCTCTGCTCACTGACTTCCTCTCACCGCCTCTCACCGCCCCTCACCGCCTCTCATCGCCACTCACCACCTCTCACTGCCTCTCACTGCTTCTCACCGCCTCTCACTGCCTCTCACTGCATGTCACTACCTCCCACCACCTCTCGCCGCCTCTCACCGCCTCTCACTGCCTCCTGCCCTGCCTCTGACTGCCTGCCTCTGCTCACTGACTGCCTCTCACCGCCTCTCACTACCTCTCACCGCCTCTCATTGCCTCTAACTTCCTCTCACTGCCTCTCACCACCTCTCGCCGCCTCTCACTGCCTCTCACCACCTCTCACTGCCTCTCACTGCCTCCTTCCCTGCCTCTGACTGCCTGCCTCTGCTCACTGACTTCCTCTCACCGCCTCTCACTGCCTCTCGCCGCCTCTCACTGCATGTCACAGCCTCTCACCGCCTCCCACCGCCTCCCACCGCTTCCAACCGCCTCTCACCGCCTCTCATTGTCTCACTGCCTCTCACCGCCTCTCACTGCCTCTCACTGCCTCTTACTTCCTCTCACCGCCTCTCACCGCCTCTCATTGTCTCTCACTGCCTCTCACCGCCTCTCACTGCATGTCACTGCCTCTCACCACCTCTCGCCGCCTCTCACTGCCTCCTGCCCTGCCTCTGACTGCCTACCTCTGCTCAGTGACTGCCTCTCACCGCCTCTACTGCCTCTCACCGCATGTCACTACCTCTCACCACCTCTCGCCGCCTTTCACTGCCTCTCACCGCCTCTCACTGCCTCCTGTCCTGCCTCTGACTGCCTGCCTCTGCTCACTGACTGCCTCTCACCGCCTCTACTGCCTCTCACCGCCTCTTACTGCATGTCACAACCTCTCATCGCCTCCCACTGCCTCTCACCGCCTCTCACCGCCTCTCACTGCATGTCACTGCCTCTCACCACCTCTCTGTAGTAAACTCCTTACGTCCACATTGCCGTTGTATTGCCAGCTGCCTCCGTCGCGCGCCGGCCCAGACTGGCCGGGGGTCGTACGTGACCCACCTTTTATTCAACAGGCTACGAAACGTCTAGAACACGCCCAAAACGAGTGCGAACTTGCACAGCAGCGACGTGGTGACGGAAGGCGCCAGCTTGGCGGCCTACGTGCCTTAAATGACATATCTTAAATTTACAATTGCGCTGCGCGTGCCGCCGGCCGTCTCCTCCCGGCCCCGCCCCGCACAATGCCATATAACTCATCCCGAGCCTGGACGGGGCGGCGGCGGCGCCGCAGTGGCACGGCGGCCACAAGATTCTAATACACTCTCACTGCCTCTCACTGCATGTCACTACCTCTCACCACCTCTCGCCGCCTCTCACTGCCTCTCACCGCCAATCACTGCCTCCTGCCCTGCTTCTGACTGCCTGAATCTGCTCACTGACTGCCTCTCACCGCCTCTACTGCCTCTCACTGTCTCTCACCGCCTCTCACTGCCTCTCACTGCATGTCACTGCCTCTCGCCGCCTCTCTCTGCCTCTCGCCGCCTCTCACTGCCTCTCACCTCTTCTCACTGCCTCCTTCCCTGCCTCTGACTGCCTGCCTCTGCTCACTGACTTCCTCTCAACGCCTCTCACTGCCTCTCGCCGCCTCTCACTGCATTTCACAGCCTCTCACCGCCTCCCACCGCCTCCCACCGCTTCCAACCGCCTCTCACCGCCTCTCATTGTCTCACTGCCTCTCACCGCCTCTCACTGCCTCTCACTGCCTCTTACATCCTCTCACCGCCTCTCACCGCCTCTCATTGTCTCTCACTGCCTTTCACCGCCTCTCACTGCATGTCACTGCCTCTCACCACCTCTCGCCGCCTCTCACTGCCTCTCACCACCTCTCACTGCCTCTCACTGCCTCCTGCCCTGCCTCTGACTGCCTACCTCTGCTCAGTGACTGCCTCTCATCGCCTCTACTGCCTCTCACCGCATGTCACTACCTCTCACCGCATGTCACTACCTCTCACCACCTCTCGCCGCCTCTCACCGCCTCTCACCGCCTCTCACTGCATGTCACTGCCTCTCACCACCTCTCACTGCCTCTCACTGCATGTCACTACCTCTCACCACCTCTCGCCGCCTCTCACTGCCTCTCACCGCCTCTCACTGCCTCCTGCCCTGCTTCTGATTGCCTGAATCTGCTCACTGACTGCCTCTCACCGCCTCTACTGCCTCTCACCGCCTCTACTGCCTCTCACCGCCTCTCACTGCCTCTCACTGCATGTCACTGCCTCTCACCACCTCTCGCCGCCTCTCACTGCCTCTCACTGCCTCCTGCCCTGCCTCTGACTGCCTACCTCTGCTCAGTGACTGCCTCTCATCGCCTCTACTGCCTCTCACCGCATGTCACTACCTCTCACCACCTCTCGCCGCCTCTCACTGCCTCCTGTCCTGCCTCTGACTGCCTGCCTCTGCTCACTGACTGCCTCTCACCGCCTCTACTGCCTCTCACCGCCTCTTACTGCATGTCACAACCTCTCATCGCCTCCCACTGCCTCTCACCGCCTCTCACCGCCTCTCACTGCATGTCACTGCCTCTCACCACCTCTCACTGCCTCTCACTGCCTCCTTCCCTGCCTCTGACTGCCTACCTCTGCTCACTGACTCTCATCGCCTCTACTGCCTCTCACTGCCTCTTACTTCCTCTCACCGCCTCTCACCGCCTCTCATTGTCTCTCACTGCCTCTCACCGCCTCTCACTGCCTCTCACCGCCTCTCACTGCCTCCTGCCCTGCCTCTGACTGCCTGGCTCTGCTCACTGACTGCCTCTCACCGCTTCTACTGCCTCTCACTGCCTCTCGCCGCCTCTCACTGCCTCTCACTGCCTCTAACTTCCTCTCACTGCCTCTA